ATGATCACTGGCAGCTACCCCTGAATTGTTTGTTGGAGTAACTTTCCCCAAGGGAGCAGGCATTGAGAACTTGTAGGGTGTTGTTTATAAGAAAAACACGGACCACCGTGCCATCAAATCTTATGAATAAAGAATAACATAATTGCACTCGATAAGTTTCTATGGGAGGTCTTCAACGGTAGTGCTTTCTTTAGCATTTATAAGTTTCACAAAAGAAGTGTTTTTTTGTGTGAATACACACACCTGTCTGTGACACACTTTTCCTTAAAAATTTGTACATGTACATGAATTTTCTGCTTCAGTTCACAGTTTTATATGAAATTACTCATATTTAAAATTGATGGAGGTTCGTCATGTTATTTGGGAGGATAGCTTAAAGGGGGGGGGGGCAGTGTTACTTGTGGTAGAGGGTCAGTATTTGTATAGGGTAAAATTTAGAATATACGATTAAGGACAGTTGAACAGCTATTATGCTTTTTGTTGTGTTATTGTTTGGGACGGGGGGGGGGGTATCTAGTGTGTGGGAGGGACAGTATTAATTGAACTTTTTTCAAGTTAAATATAAAGTAGAACATTCTGTAGTTATTTCATTCTCCAAAACATTATAGATAACATTATACATAAATGCTTAATAGATATTTAATGGCATATTTGTTTTCACGTCTGCACACTTCCAATTGTAAATCAGACAACCATAGAAAATGTACAGGAACAAAATATATTGGGTTAGCAGGTTCTTTATTATTCAAATACTTTTACACGTTTATCTTTCATCACAAAACCGGATACTTTTAGTAGGTTTGAACATGTAGACATGGCTCAGAATGGGAAACATCCTTTATAACAGACTAGAAGTAAGGTCAGGTTTTATTACCCTGGTGCTCAAACATTAGTTTTAATTTTAACCTCTGATTAGGAAAGAAAATTTTATAGCTGATATGATCTAATTTCATATTTTTCATGTTTCATTTGTTTTTATGTCACCGTCAGATGTGGTGAAATATTGTCATAGTCTAAATTTTCTATCGACGGTGTTCGGCTGTTGTCATTTGGTGGTTGGCAGTTGATGTTCCGTGTCTGTAACAAATGGCAGGTGGTATTAGTGGTAATATTTTGAATGTTAAATGACAGTTGTAATGTGAAATGCAATTCTGATTGGTTAGCTAACTAGATATTGATCCTAATATCTGACTGAGGCTAGATACAAGGATTATCTCTTATTCAAAAAGTGCAGGTGAATCTTTCTTTTAAAGGAGCCAAATTTGATGATTGAAAAGGGAAGCAACAGACTGAAACTTAGGTCAGGTTTTAATATAAAACAGAAGGGAACTATTCCAGTATTATGTGGTCTACCTGGAAAGAATGTTCTTGTATTGTGTATGTTTCGATGAGGGAGTGTTTTTTATGGAAATGCCATCTGCCATTCTGGATATTATAGTACATCCTTTAAGTTGACTAAAATGGACCTTGTTAGTGTAAAAATAAATTCTTCAAAATAGGCTTAATTCAGTCTATAAAGAATAAAGAATACATCATAGTCATATTTTGATTTGTCTAATCTGATCGGGTGAGGTTATTTTTATATCAACAATGATTATTTTTATTTTTTTATTGAAAGAGTATATATGAATATCTTTCAAAATTGCAAAATCATTTCTTGAAAAGGGTTTGAGAAACCTGCTTTCAGTTAATAACAAAAATAAATTCTATACTAACTAGCTAATTGACCAATGTTATCTTACACCAAGGGGTCTTATACCCCTTGCATTTGTCCGACTTTGCTTCTTAAAAGAGAGCTTCGTCGTTGCAGGGTAGGGGTCTAATAGGGAATGTATCACTCTAATGAATCAATTTAAAGGTTATTTTGACATTCTGATACTCATCACTTTTTTCTGTTATTCATCTGTGAGACTGGAGAGGAAATGATTTGGTTTATCATGAGGTATAAACATCAGTTGTTAACTAATTACATTTAGGATTAACATCCTATATCTCATCTAAACATAAGAGGTGATGAATTGATTTAATATTATATTGGATGTATTTTTTTTCCGGCATACTGGCTTACATGTTTGATTTCAATTTTTTAATTTCAAACCTCGGAAAATCAAGATGGCTTTCCAGTCATTCATTTTAACAAGTATATGATTGTATAAGTATGTAAGTCGCGCCCCCCCCCCCCCCTCCCCTGACCTGAAATTCTTTCAAAATCATGCAGTTTTTCACTATTCTGAGCACATTTTGCATGATTTCTGCTAAAAACTGTCAAAAAGTCCCCCTTGGCAAAACCGCTCCCCCCGTGTAAATCCTGTCTACGGGCCTGTAAGTTAGTATAAGTACATGAGAAACTTTATTATCCTACCCTTTGCATTCGTTTGACTTCACTTCTTAAAAGAGAGCTTCGTCTTCACTCTTTCAAACTAAAATAAACCTGTGAACTCACCGCGCCAATCAGTGTTCGTCGGCCAAATTTGACCGACGTTCTATATATGGTCATTCATTCTGACGTCATCGTTGAGCCCGGAATTGACCAATGACATGCGCATATTTAATTAGAACGCATTTGGCGTATGTTTGTTCAGGCTCGCTGAATGGTGGAAGAAAGGTCAGCGCATAGGTCAGAAGTGATTTATATTATTACCCAAACTGTCACCGGTACCCGTCGTGGGGGCGGGGCTACTAAACTGTAATATGGTCTCTACTAGGCAGAGTGTAGTTTAACTAGACTCTGCACGCAGGGTATTATTATCCTAACTCATTCTAACTTTCTTCAAAAACAAATATATTTTACTTGAATCAGTATCAGTATAAGCCGAACAAACCCAAGTGGTTGTTTACCCCTGCCTGCTCTCAATACAGAATCTATTTTTTTAAAAGTACACTTAGATCTTGAAAACTAAAGAGGGGTAATGGATGGTAAGGATATTTTAGCCCCCAATCACCCCATACTCGTTTCCCAGTTTGATTTTCATCATAAAAATTTCATACCTTGGTAAGATGCAATCACCCCAAATCTATCCTAAAAAATGATAAAAATGGTAATTTTTTGTGAGGGTCACTATATTGTATTGATTGTGATGAATGGCTAATTATGTCCAAGTGATTGCAAACATTGTATTGTATCAGAGGATCTTTTAAGAGCATTGTTCGATTAAGTGCTTAAATGGGCAGTCAGTTAAAGGCAATATTTTCACAATTGTCTGAATTTGTTTTGGAAATGATATCACAATAAAACTTGTCTTGTATCTGATATCATTTAGACCAGCCAAAAAGTGTTCGGATTAGCAGGTGTTCACATTTCAAGGTTTTAATGTCAATGGGAGATAACAAATTTATGACCGAGAGAAGTGTTCTGTTCACATTGAGAGGTGTTTGGATCAGAGAGGTGTTTGGATGTTTGGATACAGGTTTCACTGTATATAAACAACTGTCATTTTCCAGATTTTTTTCTCATTAGGGCGCTAACTCCTTATTTTACCAATTTTAGTGACAATATGATCAAGGCTTATTCTTTCTGTCAGCTTGATACCAGATTTTTAACAGGATTGCACATGGTATATTGTAGCTCAGCGGTAGCACAGGTACCTCTTACGCAATAGGTCCCGGATTCGATCCCCGGTTCAGGCAAGACTGCTTGTTTGCGTGAAGTACTTCAGGGTGTTTGACTGAGTGGTCCGCAACTCGTACAAAAGGCTGTGGTGTGTACTTGTATGTCTATGTATAAGTGCACATAAAAGAACACAGGGCTCCTTCGAGGAAGGGTTTCTGGGTCTATCTTTCATGTTAATTACGTAAATTACGACCGTATATATACGGGACATACCCAAGAGGTATTGCTCACCTTCATTGGTGGTAAACAAAATACAATACAATACAACAGAGCGTATATACTTAAAAGTGTTTATTTTTAACTTCATGCTCTTTGTGTTATTTGACATCATATTTGACTCACTTATGTGACAAAGATAATGATACTCATTTTTATTAATTTAATAGCTGCAATTTAATATAAAATTATTGATTTTAGAAAATTAAAAGAATTGACCCTTAGGACAAATCCCTTAACATTCCTCATTAATTTAATGACTAATTAAAAACAGATTAATAATATCATTATTCATTTTTTCAAATAATTGATTTGTCATATTTTTTATACCGATTTTTGTGCTTCCAGATGTCACATCATGACAAGAGGCTCAACTAATATTCCATGACTCACATCAGAACGCCTATTTCTAAGCCACGACAAACACCACTACCCTATATTTAAATATGGAAATAGATCACTGATTCAAGGAAATTGAGGATTTCGGGCGATACCAATATTATGCTGATAAATCATTGATTAGACATTGCCAAGAGTGGATATCCGCCAAGTTGTTAAAACGCTTTATTTATACCAGATAGTAAACTCATCTACAAGCCATCAACAAATCTGATTGCCAAAACAGAGAAGAAAGGAAAATATTGATAAAACAGATTGCCAAAAAGGAAAACAAAGCGATTTAAAATATCACAGTTATTTAAGATATCTGTTGATGGAACTATCAACAAAATAGATTGCCGCAAGTCACGAGGTAGGAAATAGAGAAGGAAGATCATGTTAAACAATAAGATCACCATAACAACCAGTCAGTTAAACAGACTTTAGATAAGGATCTTGACGATTTAAAAACATTTAAAAGTTATTGTTGAATGTACAGTTTCCACAGTCATGATTCTAAGTTGAATGATAATCTGTAGGATTTAGAGAATTAAGTTTTGAGTGTTCAAGAAATGAATGTTGAGTGTTCAAGAAATGAGTGTTGAGAACTTAGAAATTAAATCACAAGAGGAAAGCTAAATCAACCTCTGTATTTTGGAGAATTAAATATCAACAGAATACTACGAACTGGATTCGCTCAAATATAATATCAAAAGATGAAAACCAAATTATTATGGGTGTCATTATTTAAGAAAATATATCACCAAGAAACTCATAAGTTAACACATACTCTCTGAATCATTGTAGATAATTTAAGGATTACATCCAGGGACAATCCCATAGGATTTGCCTCACATTTATAGACTTTAAGAAACGATCTGCATAACAGAATCTCCAATAATATCAGACATAGGAACTGCAAGCCTGGAGTATACACAATTAGCCAAAGCACCTACTTAATTTGTGGGATTCTGGTTTTCTTGTTAATATGAAACAGACATTTTAAGCACTTTATGTTTAAGTTCTGTAACTTATGATAACTCGATAAGCAGAAAAGGCTGGTTAGTTTCTGTAATTATGAAACGCTCTGTCAAATCGTGAATGTTTGAGGGATAAAATAAAAGAGCATTACAGATACATTTGTGTGGTTTCATTTGAAAATGAATCTCGAATAATGGAATACATTTTGAGGAGTTAATAGATGAAATATTCTATGAAGGAATGTTGTTATTTGAGAAAATGTATGCATTAACAGCCGAATTATGATATGACATCAATCTGTGAATTACGTGCAACAACAATTGGATTAACATTAATATAATATGGCAAATTTAACACCAGCAGTGGATAATATTGATGTTACCATGACAACCAATCCAGTTGCCATAGATACAGTCACATTGTCTGATGCTAAACTCATGACACATTCTATGCCTGTGACTCATATAAAATCGACTTTGGACCCTTCATTGGAGATGGACTCTAAAGGGGGTGTTTCCATGGTAACAGATTTACCCAACAGTGCAATAGAAATCCTACCAACCCCTACCCTATCGCAATTATCATTAACTAAAACTTTAAACCCTGAACCTGCAGAACAGTATCATTCCATTATAACGGATAATGCGCAACTTAAAAGCACACAGACTTCAACACCATATTTGGATGTATCTAAAACAGTTACCATAGGAACGCAAGTTGTTACCCCGGGAACAGCACCAGTGTCATCAACCTCAACAATACAACAGCAATTTGATGTATTAAAATCAGACAATTCTGCATTGAACAGTACAGAAACAGAATTACTCAGTGGAACTCTACATTCTCTAACACCCAATGCAGGAATGTTATTAACTTCAAGTGTATTGCCAACAACTTCAACCTCAATTAATTCTCCCTCGAAGACTGAACCATTGACCTTAAATTCTGAAGCAACCTCGAGTGTTAGAATGAATACTCAAAGTGCATCACTTCATATAGATACTGGAGTAACTTTGTCTGGATCAACTTTAGAAACTTTTTCTGGATCAACTTTAGAAACTTTACCAATATCAACTTTAGAAACTTTATCTGGATCAACTTTAGAAACTGAATCTCCAAAGTTAGGCTCTACTTTAAATACTCATATGAAATCTTCAGAAACTCTAGAACCATCTGGTACAGGTATAGATTTAGAGAAGACTGTTTCTGCCACAGTGCCATATGCTAGTGCTTCCAAGTTTAACTCGGTGCTAAATATGTACACTGACTTACCGAATCTTAATCCTGAGCAAACTAAATCAACTCGAGATTTTTTCTCAACTCAAACTCTTCCAAGAGAATCTCATAGTGTAGTGCCTACATCACCATTAAGTGCATTTCAGTCAAGTACACTTCCAGTTGAAAGTGCAATTCCAATTCCACCAGTGGATATAGTCCCATCATCGAAAATACCGACTCCAGTATTACCCAGCATTCTAGACTCTAGTAAAGGGACCAATGAGATTGCAGGGATTCCACCCATGATTCCATCATTTACTCGGAGGGTGACGTCAACTTCAACACCCCCTAGTGAGGTTGCCATAGCAAGCTGTAAGTCATTCTCTTAAATTTATCCTCATAATTAAGAAATCATTTTTGATTCTTGCAATATTTTTATTTATTCTTTAAATCTGGTCAAGCAACTGAAAAACGTTCCTATAATAATTATTCCATTTTAAGGGAAACCAATATATTTTCCTAATCAAAAAGTTAAGGAATTGGAGATGTTTGAGTAAAAAGTATACATTTGGATGAACTGTCCTTTCTTTCATTATCATATGTTTTAAATTTAAGTTAAGTATTTAAAAAAAATATATATTTAAGTAAAAAAATATGAATTAAAAAATCTGATCAACATGTCAAAAAATATTGATGTCTTTCAGCTCCAGAGCCAGTGCCTACCATTGGTGGTGTGTCCTTATTGACTATAATTCTGCCAATTGTTGGCATAGTGATATTGGTTGCTATAGTAATGACCGCTGTTTGTTTATGGAGAAGGAAAAAGGGACATGTAAGTTTTACATATATTTAACTTATTAAGATATTGCATCTTGATCACTTAATAGTGTCAGAATAAACATTTTTTATATAGAGGATATAACTCCTCAAGATTCATATCAAATATTTTCTAAAAATGTAATATATTTTAAAATATGAGCATGATTTGCTCAAAAAATCAACAATTAAATCAGATAATGAATTTAACATAGAACCATGTTTTGTCAAATTGCATCCCGAGAAATTACTAAATTTTTTCTTAAAAACTGTTTGTGTTGGTTAGAGCTAGAAACCATTGGCCCATTGGTAATTAAAAAGCTAATGGTATTGTGTCTTTGACATGTTTTAGGGGCCATCAAATCGTCGTAAAGCAGTTAACCACTCAAAAGATAATCGGGATATAACCATAGATGACATTCTGCCTGTTTTACCCCCAGATTCTCCCAGCACCGCTGAAAGCACACCGCGTAAGTTTATGTGATTGCATGAGAACATTAACATTAATTTTTGGACCATGTAAAATCTTTGAGTTTGTGTCTGTTCATGGAAGGAATAGAATGGGATTCATGCGTATGTTACAGAGGTTATGTCTTTGAAAGGTGTTTAGGCTTTGGGATTTAATAGTATGTTTAACAGTGTTGTGACTGACGGTTATAGTACAGTAATACCTGTGTATATTGAACATAAAATTGCTGAGAAAAAAATTTCCGTGTTGGCAGGTGTTCACTACAGAGAGATTAATTTATAAATAAATCAATTGAGTATGTACTGAGGAAGGGTGTCCACCATAGCCAGGTGTTCACTAGACAGAGGTGTTCACTAGAGAGAGGTGTTCACTATGACAGGATTTACTGTATATTGATTACCCTATAAAGGAACATGCGGCCATTTTACTGTCTTGACAATGACATGGCATCCGTTTTGTCAGGGAAAACTAATATCATACTTTCCTAATCAAAAAGTTAAAAAATTTGAGAGAGGTTTGAAAAATGTAAGGCAAAGGTCAGGAAATTCAACTCAACAAAATTTAATTTTTGTCTTAAAACCAACAAATCAAAACCTTTAACAAAGACATTGGAATCCCGCAGTTGGCAAAAAATAAATGAATATAATTCTCACTCATAATGTTTATATATTAAAGGATACCAAAAGTTGTCCCCACTTAAAAACAACACTTCTTTAAATATGTATATCTTTATAATACCTCTAATTGCACTGATGAATTTGAGGAATGTGACTAAATGTTATTATAAATACCTACCCTTTTCACCTACCCTTTTCTTATTGAAAAAATTAACTACACTCTTTCAATAATTAGAAATAATTCTTAAAGGGGTATTCCTTGCCAGACCATCTCTCTCCTAATATGGTAGCTATAACCATACTTTGCAAGTTTATCAAAAAACAGAAAAATGTTTTGAAATGGTCAATATTGATCACTTAAAAATGTAGTGCTCAATTCCAGTAGGCTGCCATCTTTTAAAATTTCCCTCAGGAAGTGATGTCATCGACTCTCAACTTTGCATATAACATTAGGTAAGGAGCTATTAGAATTACTAAACCAGCTGAATATTTTTTCAATTTGGTCTATGATTAAAATCCGTTGATGATCTCTTCTTTAGTTCTAAGTTGACAACTCCTGAAAATATTTTTACACAGAAGATAAGGGCTTCTTGTTTAGAAGTGATTTTGTACTTCTTTCCTATACTGTAATAGACAAGGTTATAACAGGTGAGAGTCGATGACATCACTTCCTGAAAGAAATCTGAAAAGATGGCAGCTTACTGCGAATGAGTGCTACATTTTTAAATGATCAATATTGACCATATGAAAACATTTTCCCGTGTTTTGCTAAATATGTAAAGTATATATATGATTGTAGCTACCATATCATGAGAGAAATAGTCTGGCGTGGAATGTTCCTTTAAGCCTAGCCTTATACCCAATCAGATTGGATCAATTGTATAGTAAAAACCTGTCTGATCCGGAAGCTTCTGAGACCAACCAAAAGTGTTAGAATAAGTAGGTGTTCACATTTCAAGGTTTTATAAAAATGTAAGACAATTCATGAGAGAAAATCAATTGGGACCAAAAAAGTGTTCAAAGGTGTTCAGATTAGACAGGAATTCGGATATGCTGGATTTACTGTATACTGTAGATACTCAATCAGATTTGTAACTGCATAATATTCATATTCGGTCTGATTACTGATCGTCAGATGAAGGTTATTATTACCATTTAGCTTTTTAACATCAGGGTTAATCGTACTGAATGCATTTGAAGAATGTAATTGGTCTAATAAATACTCAAATGAGATCCATAGTTTTTCTATCAATTTTGCCTCAAGCCATAATCCATTCATTGCTCAGCCCGTAATTGGCCCATTGTCCCTAAGTTTAATAATTTTCCCCCAGCAATATTGTCAACTGACATAGTCTGTACTATCTACTCCTCTTTAGTTACCATTTGTGTGATAATGTGCCAATGTGTTATATAAGAAGACAGTGTAATTTCTTATATAATCTGATAATATGCCACAATATGTGTCAGTGTGTCATACAATGTGTATGTATCATATATTATATCAGTATGTCACATAATGTGCTATTGTATCATATAATGTGTGGTCTAATATGTCACATAATGTGTCATAAAATAATGTGTCATATATGTCATCTTTCTTTTGAATTATTTAATATGAGTTTTAATTGCGAACATTTTAATTTCATGCAAATCAGTAAATATTTTGCTTCCTTCCTTATTATTTTTCAGCAGTTTGTTTAGTTAAAGGTATTTTTGTGGCACCACCACAATACAAGTGGTGACACTACTATTATAATCCCCAATATTTTGTGGACACCAGTAGGTGTTTGGTGTCTGTAATATGGCATCTGTAACAAATGGTAGGTGGTTCATGCCTTGTTTCATATTGAATTGTAATATCACCTTTGGGAACAGGTAACTTGACTCTTTTTGGAGAAGATATAATTCTCCATTTAGCCCAATTATTGTTTCGTTTGATTTTTAGGAAAAAGACTCTACAGGGTAAAACATGATTATGTTGCCCTTAGTGATGACCAGTTGAGCATCGAGGCTGGTGAGCTCATAGAGGTCATGCAAGAGCAGGGTCAAGGTCACCAGTGGGTCAAGGGCAAGCAAGGAAACAGGGAGGGGATCATTCCAGCAAACTATATCGAACCAACAGGTATGAAATCTTGAATCAAAGCTGAGAATTCATTTTTGAAAAAACATTAGATATTTCCAGTTGGTCGTTAACTGAATCTTGAAAAGTTGAAAATAAAGTTAATAATTCCTAAAGTGCATTGTTCTCATAATGTCATTAGTGCAATGGTTATAATTATTGATTATATTGTTTTTCTTGCATCATCTTTATGCACTGAATTGATTTACTTTGTTCACTTTTGATATGATGTCAAATATAATTTTTGTGTATGAAAACGCATTCATATTAAAAAAGTAAAATATACTAAGAAAATACCCTTGATATTGAATGGAATACCACTAATAATTCAGTAAATACCATTTATATCCTTAATAATTTCAGATGACCCACCTATGGCAGTTACTCATTTTGTGAATGAACTTTCCCCCTATGCAGAATCCCATGTACAGACAAAGCTAACCCACACTGCTATATACCCTTACACAGCTAAGCATCCAGAGGAGCTCAGTTTGAAACCTGGTGACCTTTTGATCTCAATTGACCTTGATGACCTTGGCTGGATGAAAGGTCAGCTGAGGTCAGGGTCAACTGGTTGGTTTCCTGCTTCATATGTTGAAGAAATTGGACAGGTAAGGGACCAGGTAGCCAATCAGAATTGCATTCACTGAACTGTTATACATTCATAAGGACATGGCATTTATTCCATGAACAAAGTTCCTTGAAATACCATGACAGCTACTTTTTGGACCAAATCTTACTAGCATCAAAACTAATTTTTCATCCTAGCAAGACGGTAGTTATTATTACAGGTAGCCAAAGGGCTCCATTGCAGAATTTTCAGTTTTTATATTCATGTGCCCGCTTAATGGAAGAAGAAGTCCATTATACAAGCCAGTAAACCAAGGACTTTCTCAAGCTTATAACTGAGCTTCCTTATACGCTCACATCTGAGCTGTTCTCCTGATTTGTATACAGCTCTGTATACTTATTTCTATATTTTAGAATGCCTCACAGAGTGAAAATATTGACCTATACGGGACACTGAAAAGGAATAAATTGTCCAGCTCAAGTGATGATGTCCTCTCAGTTACCAGTAGCAACAGCAGTGGGGACTATATAGCTATAGGTAGGACATTTCATACTAGGATAATTTTTCAATGATGTTGTTTTTCTTCTTGCAATAATGTTTGCGTAATATTATAATAAAGAATCATTTCAACGAGTATAAAGCAATTTACTAAAGTTAAATATATGAGTCTGGCCAGAGGAAAACCGGTCTTATCACAAAAATTGAAATTGTGCTACACAGCCAAAAATGTGCCCAAGATTAAGAGGAAAGTGTGCTAAATTCAAATCTGACTTTTTGGTCTATATATGCAAGGAAAAATTGTTAAGACACAAGCCATGGCTGAGTTGAAAGGTCTCTGTGCTTTTTAAGATAAACAAAAAATCAGAATATTGAAAAAATCTGTGATAAAACCCCTTTCCCTGTGGCCTGGCTCATATAACATAAAAAATTACAAATTTTGAACATGAGTTTTCTTCAGCTGGAAGAGGGCATGGTGCTGCTATAGTTATATAATATTATATTAATGATTATTCCATTTTAGAACATGTGGCTCTATATCCCTACACTGCTCAACAGGAGGGGGACCTGTCATTCTGTGCTGGTGATACCATAACAGTACTACAGGTGTTGGACAATGGCTGGTGGAGGGGATGCCTCAATGGAGATGAGGGTTGGTTTCCTGGCTCTTATTGTCAGGTAGGGAATTTACAAAATGGAGTATTATGTTATAGTATTTTTTTGGATGATTGTTGGTGTTCGGCATTCGTGGTATCTTTTGAATAATTGTTGTTATAACATACCTATTAGGGGTCAAACGGTTCAAAATTCCAACGGTTCGGTTCGGTCACGGTTTTTAGGTTCACGGTTCGGTTCTTTCACGGTTCTCGCGGGTCTCGTAAATTGGTGATATTTCCTTATAAAATTGTAAAGACAGCTCATAAAAAAACAGGTTTTAGCTTTCTTTCTAGCCTTGCCCAAGTTGGTCACTTTCTGGTCCCACTATCCTTTTTTATTAAATTGACTTGACAAAGCAAAGTTTCTAGTGGCCCACTTTAAATTTTAAACTTTAGATTTTTCTGTCCTTGATAAGATTTCTGTCAGATAAGAGCTGAGATCTACATGTAGCACAAGCAGTAACATAGCCCCGGGATTCTTGTAGTCTGTCAAAGCAGCTGAATCAGCACAGATGGCGCTGCGATTGTGCGGGAGATTTAAACACAAATATGTTTCAAGTTTTTAACAAAGACATTAGTAATGTTATAATTTCTGTAATTGCAGTATTTTTTAAATAATATTGATTAAAAACTAACTCATTATAACAGACAAAACACCTCCACGAAGCAAAATTAATTGTACTATGAATAGCGTAATCTGGCGAGACCAACTTCCGGTCTATTTATATGTCACAAAAATGTAAACAATTACTTGTCTATCGATTTGTGAGCGATCTGTTTCATATCTAAGGTAAAAATTGAATGTTCTCTATTGCTATAAACATGTTTTTGAGGAATATATACATGAAGAATAAGTTCATGTCGAACGAAAGAGAGAATATTGAAGTCTAAAAAATTTCATTTTTCAATTTTTCCTCGAACCGTGGATGAACCGAATCTCATGTTTATGAACCGAAAATACCGTCCTAGCATCATTAACCGCGGTAACCGCGTACCGCGGTTAACCGTTTGACCCCTAATACCTATGATGATGTATAGTGCAAAGTGTACACAAGACAGCGGGCCAATATAAGTTTTGAAAAGCCCGCGCCCGCTAACTTTCTGATTGGTCAAGGCGCTGACGTCATAACCAATCAATCGAAGATAAAACTGCGCGTGATTTCAATCATTTTCAAATCATTTGTTTGTCAATTCTATAAGAAAACGGTACTCTCTGACCAGTCTACATCATCATAGGTATGTTATAAATCGTTTATGTCACTATCGTGGCACATATGCCCTCGGTTCTCAGAGATCAATGTCCCTCCCAAGGTCGGGCCATATATCACTGAGATCTCGGGCATATATGCCACGATAGTGACATAACCTCTAAGTATTCAGCATTCGTGGTGGGCGTCCAGCATCTGTAACAAATTATGGCATCTGTTACAAATGGCAGATGGTGACATTTTGCATGTAAATGCCTTGTTTCATATGTACACTCCCCTCCAAAAATTTGGTAACCAGATATCACCATTTTTGCCCTTATGGTAAAGCCTATAATACCTAGTTTATAAGTTCATACTTATCGTAATTGAGGAACAAAATTTAGATTGAATTCACAAACTGATTATGACAATCTACCATTAGGGACTTTGTGTTGACAAAATTAACCAAGATGTCTCTGCTGCCCTAGGAACTTCAAATATGGACATCTCTAATATTGTAATCTGTCTCAATTCTAGCTGGTTGAGGACTATACCTTTCCCTGCAGTTCCCCTGAACAAGACTCTGATTATATGCCCCTGGTAGGCTTTAAGCCTGCTCCTGCGACAACAAGTCCCTACGCTGCCCTAGACAGTCACCAAATATGGACATCTCTAATATTGTAATCTGTCTCAATTCTAGCTGGTTGAGGACTATACCTTTCCCTGCAGTTCCCCTGAACAAGACTCTGATTATATGCCCCTGGTAGACTTCAAGCCTGCTCCTGCGACAACCAGTCCCTACGCTGCCCTAGACACACCAAATATGGGCGTTTCTAACAATGGCTTTGATGAAAATGCTCCACAAGGTCAGTTATCAATCAATAAGATAGTAGAGTATGGCAGTTCTGTGGCTGCTCGACATTTCTAACATCAAGTCATTTTCAAAATAATAATGTTAATTTGATGGTAGAAATGTCAGCAGCCGCAGACTTTATGATCAAAACATAGACAACTAATGTAGAAACTAATGTTAACAAAATCTACCATGCTGTAAACTATTAAAGTTGCTTTGCAGAACCTGTATCTCAATAAATTTTTCAGGGAAATTTGAAAAATATGAAATACTTCTTTGAAAATTTGAATGATGAATGACAAGAAATGAAAGTTTCAGAGCAAAATTAGCTTTACTTACTGATTTCATGATTTCATTCTATTTTTACTCCAATTCCAGGAAAGAAAATGACCCCCACAAGAAAAGCACCCGTGCCTCCTAAAGCTGCTAAGAAACTCAGCCCCACAAGGAAGGCACCCGTCCCTCCAAATGACATCAAGAAGCTACGCCCTACAAGAAAAGCCCCCTCACCCCCCAAAGGACAGCCGACAAGAGTGAAATCCAGATATATGGTTACAGATAATGACACAAATGTAACAAACTCACCTTCAGAGGAGGACACTCCCATGAAAAACACTGAGAGTGAATCAGAATGTTCTCCTGTTAAACGAAAACTTGAAATCTCAACTCCACAACTTGTAAGCTCAACAGTGCGGGAGTCAAAACTAGGAGAGGATATTATTCAACCAGTTTCAGAACCTCAGTTACAGAGTACAACGATGCGGGCATCAAAAATGGGTGGAGACATTAAAAAAGAGGAGAAACCTCAAAGGCCTGATAAACCCCCATTGCCAATTCGGTTTGTGGAACCGAAATTTGTGAAAATTCCTAAAAATAGTTTAAAGTTGAACACTGCTCAGACTCCACGAAACAGAGCTGTTCCAAAACCCCCACCAAGGCCTCCTCCCCCTAAGTTAGCCAAAAAAGCTGTTACACCAACTAGACCTCCTCCCCCTCAGAGTCCTTTACGTAAGGAATCAGAAAATGTATTCTTAAAAAGACCTGGTGGGGCAAAAACTGAAAGACCCACAGAACCTATTAAAAAGAGATCCAAGAAAGGACCAAAAGAAAGCAATGTGCCAGTGATTATTGAAGAAAAACCTAGTAGGCCATCGTCGTTAGATTTAAACAATATGGATGTTAACATAAAACAGCCTAAGAAACCTCCCAACAGGCCTCCCCCTTTGAATATCCCCTCCCCTGGTCGAGAACAGGATGTTGACTCATTAAATGTAGAGAGAAGGGAGGATAATATTACACCACTGATTGACCCGGAATTTCTGCCGTTTAGTGAGAAATCTCTCCCTCCTATACCCCCTCCCCCTAATGTAGCACAATCTAAGCCGAAACCAGCCCCGAGGACAACTGTTTTTGATGATTTGAAATCAAACCTGAAGGTAATGGCCAAAGAGAGGTCAAAACTTACTCCACTTAGAATGTCAAGGTCATTGAGTGATGAGACTATTAATCAACCAATCAGGCCACCCCTTCCAAAGGTCATGTCTCCAAGGTCACAGGTGCCTCCTGGTGACTGGACTAAACAACTAGATCACGAGGGGTTACAAGATACAAAAACAGAACAACTTGGGGTTGACCATATTGAAATGACTGAATTAGGGAAAAATTCTTCAAAGAGTCCACTGACTAAGTCCATATCAGACCAGGGTCCACAAAACAGGAACTCTCAATTGAATAGCCCTATAAATTCATGGAATAGGAAGTACGCATCATCTGCGAAAGCTCCCACCCCTCAGCCAAGGACTTCTTTAATGAGGCTTAACTCAAATGGATCTGAAATTAGTGAATCGCCAAGTCTAGGAAACACACCAATAAGTGCAAGCAATTCAGAATCATCATTAGCTAGCCAACCAATCGGAGGCTATAATTCAAACACACCCCCTAGATCCTTGGGAAGGTCAAGGCCAAGATTAGGGATCTCATCTTTAAAATCACCAAAAGGTAAAAAACCTGGTGACCCATTTTTGTGTCATATTGATGATGAGGGGGGTCACGTAAAACAGAATAGTATTAGTGGTTTATCGAGCGATGGAAGCATATTAGAGGAACCAATCAGAGTTGAAGGTAGTAATGGAATTCAAAATGGTGCTAAAAGTGAAAATAAAAACACAACTGGCGACAACTTTCATGAAAATCGATCGTCAGTGAATAACAATGAAGGTAGCCCAGAAAGATCTGAAAAGTGCAATATTAACCAATCAGACAATCCCTTGCATTCTACCAGCCAATCAAAAAACAGTTTACAAGCTGGAAATGGTGAATCTCAGAATGATAGAAAGGACTCTGTGCCGAAGCCACGTGTGAAGCCCAAGCCAAAAATAGGCGCAAAGCCAAAACCAAAACTTGTGCCTAAGCCATCTGGACCAACTTGAAGGTACTGCACATGTTTTTTAAATTATTAGAATATAAATTTTTCTTATTATGTCAAAAAACTACTTCCAATTGCGCATGTACATGTCTGATAACTCCTTGTCATCCGAGGGTTTAACTAAAAGGGAGGGGTATTTTGGTTCAACGGTGGTTATGTTGCTTCAAGGGGGGGGGGGGGGGGTAATGCTTTACAAGACTTAGCCATCAGAAACAATCTTCAGTGATCTCCCCAGCATTAAAGGAACTGGACACAGCACCCACCTGAGATTTTAATAACAGACTTGCACCCATCTGAAAATCCATTTGCACCAACTTGAAAATGAGAAAAATCATGGAGAACATTGATTGATTTATTGTATCGTATCTTTTTTACCACCAATGAAGGTAAGCAATACCTGTTGGGTATATCCTGCATATATAAGGTCGTATCTAATGCAAAAAATCATGAAAGGCAGACCTAGGAACCCCTCCTTGAAGGAGCCCTGTGTTCTTTTATGTGCACTCATACATAGTCATACAAGTACACACCACTGCCTTTTTACAAGTTGTGTATCACTGATGTGAACAATATTAGCCCAGTCAAACTAATGAGAAAAATAGCTTAACCCAAAACAAATTGCAATAGAAATCAAAATAGGTTAGTTATTTACATTTATTAACCTTAAAATACATACTAAAAATCTACCAAAATCGAAATAGTGGAACAATGTTAAAATTTGAATCGAAGATACCCCCTACCCCACCCCCTTCAATTCATAAGTGCAGGACTAAAAAACATATTTCTTAAAGTTGAGGTCTTATTTTTACATAATTTAGCTTGACCACAATTGGATATTGTTTTTCCTAGATAATAATATTAATTTAACCAAGAAAAAGTTCATTTGTCTTCTTTTTAACCCTTACAAACCCAGAAAATATTGAAAAAATCTCTCAAATTTCGCATATAATAATTTGAATATGTGTTTTTATCATGATAGGACCTTCTAGAAAATGTCCTATAATTTTATAACGATGGACCAACATTACATTTATTATTCCTTTGTAATATTGAAATGATAGGTTTATTGAATTTTGAGAAATAAACTTTTTGATACCGTATGGTTAGGCTACTAGAATGTAGGTCGGAAAATGAAATTTGTACAAATGAGAGGAAAGGGCACAAATAAGGTACCGTTGTAAAACTAATGACCCAATCTTTTCAAATCCACTTGTTTCCCAGTCTCAAATTTGTTACCAATAATGTCAAATGCCAGTTTCCATAGCAACCATTTGAATATTGTTAATAGATGTAATACGATATTAGGCAAATTCCACTCATTATTCCTCGACTCAAATTCATATTTGTATCATAATGAAGCAATAAATATGCAATTAGCCCATATGCAAATTAGCTTGTTTGCTAATTTATTATGACATCATATGATGTGTATTTTATCGTACCTAAAAAGGTACGATACTGTTGTCTGCTTGGCGGATGGGTGGTGTTGCATTTTTCTTGGAATCACGATTCCTGGAAAACCACTTAATGGATTCACTTCAAATTTTCACAAATGTTACATGGAAAGAAGTTCTAGAGCTGATTCACTTTTCGGTGGCCATCTTGCATTCTGGCGGCCATCTTGGAAGTTTTTAGATAAATCTTGCCATCACAATTCCCAAAAATCTCTCAACATATTTATTTCAAATTTTTCACATGTTACATGGTAAGAAGTTCTAGATCTAAAAATCTTTTCAGAAGCCATCTTGCATTCTTGTCCCCTTTCAGTGGCCATCTTGCATTGTGGCGGCCATTTTGGAAGTTTTGGATTAATTTTGTCGTTGGCATTCCATGAAAACCACTTAATGGATTAACTTCAAAACTTTACACATGTTACATGGTAAGATGTTCTACAGCTGATAGACATTTTGGTGGTCATCTTGCTTTTTGGGTAAACAAGCCCACACTGCTATGGTGGTTAACCCTGTGCCTTGTTCTACATTGTACTAATATATTTAGACACAATGTTGATTGGTATTGTAAAAGTTAATATTGTCACGCGGTAAACACGATACAAATATATGTTATATTCCGCAACGAATATGGCATATCCACTTGCGGTGTATGCCAGATTCACCCGCGGTATATGGCATACACACTAACCAATGAGAACTTTAAATGGAAACAATCAAATCGATGCATTCTGTATAACGTTTTCATCTGCTGTATATGGCATATTCGGCAGTTGAGTGTATCGCATATTCACAGCGGAATATGCCATACTCACCATTGGAATATGCCATATACTGCAAATATCGCACAACCATGAATATATGCCATATTCCGCATAACAACTATAAGAGTATGACTGGAATATGTAAGCACTAGTGCTAAAGGGTAAGGACCAAAACTTGTTCAGAACAAAGTAAAAAATTAAGTATACATCAGTCACAAGAAAAAGCAAACCCAAATTGAATGCATCACCAGTGAAATTCAGACTAAATACAATTAAATTTACTGAAAGCTACTTGAATTCACAATTTTGACACTGAAAAGCCAAGGTCATATTTTTGCGATTCTGACACTACACTTTCATAATATTCTTCGAGGTTCGATGTACTGGTAGCCAAGAATATGCTAATAGCCTTAGCCTCATGCAGTCAGAGGGTATCTTAACCTACTTTTGAGATTTGTATGGAAAATAGGTCAGAACAAAAAGTTCTAAATGAATGCAATGTTTTAGGTGTCAAAATACTGCAAAATTTCTGAAATCTGACTTTGAGTTTAGATTCTTTGATGTTTTGAAATCTCGAAAAGTCGACTTGATGATATCCTCATGTTAAGTCAATGGTGCGAACTTGATCAGCAACCCACTAAGCTTCTTAATCAGCTACTTACACAGCTACCTATATCATATTTATAGTGTATATATTATTAATAAGATTTCATTTTCAAGTCCATAAGGGTTATTGGTCTCAATTCTCCCAGTAATTTAAAAATAAGTGAAACAAATGAAGGCCTATCCCTATTTTTCAATTTGTTTTAAAAAATTATGACTTTATATATATTTATATTATATTTAAGGCATACATTATATATATATGATTTCATTATAAAGTCCTTATGGGTTAATGATCTAAATTCTCCCAGTGATTTAAGAATAAGTGAAGCGAATGAAGGCCTACCCCTAATTTAAAATTTTTTTTCTTCGAAAGTTATGATTTTTTTCTCAATAACTAATGAATACAAAATTCTCTTGCTTTGTATATGTATGGATTACATAACAAGGTAAAACTGGGATTTTTTTTATACATGATTGAGTCGCTTTTTTGGAATATAATGGCGTTCACATAAAATTACCGTGTGCATTTAATGCAAAATTTCAGATGAATAAGGGTTAAAAATATTCTTATTCACTCTGAATACCAAAGTTAAAGAGATACACAGATTGGGATACCTTATTACAAGCAAGAAATTGTAAAATTACTTTAAAAAAATTGCAGGCATTTGAAAAATAATTTTCCTTAGGGGGGTCTGTTTTTCAAGGGGAGGGGGTACCAAAAATGATTTTTTTACATGTTCCACTGAATAGATTTTGGTAGATTTTTAGTATGTCATTTCATATGTTGATATAAATTGAAAAAACAACATTTTATTACTATTGCAATTAGTTTTGGGTCAAATGTTACTTTGACTGGACTATATATTAATGTTATATTTTTGTGAAAGTAAAATGGGTAACCAATAATATATGTATATTTCCAGGAGATTATGATATTTGATGGGGCAATATGTCACAACCAGGACAATGGAAAAGATATCAAAATATAGATTAGTTGATGAAATGAAATTCAACAACATTACAACAATGCAATTAAACAACATTACAACAATGGAATTAAACAATAATAGAACCTTGGTGAAATGCATTCTGATACAAAACTGAATGTCTTAATTTAAACAGTACAACTAAACCAGTACAATACAGCTTAAACAGATCAATACAGCTTAAACAGAACAATACAGCTAAACCAGAACAATGCAGCTTAAACAGAACAATACAGCTAAACCAGGACAATACAGCTTAAACAGAACAATACAACTAAACCAGAACAATGCAGCTTAAACAGAACAATACAGCTAAACCAGAACAATACAGCTTAAACAGAACAATACAGCTAAACTAGAACAATACAGCTAACCCAGAACAATACAGCTTAATTACTGACTGGAAAGTAAGCAAATAGATAAATTGTTCAAGGATGGTGTGTTGTTCAGGTATTGGGACATATTACAGGAATGTAATTTTATATGTTGGAGGATGGGAGGGGGGGGGGGTTTGGTTGATATAGCAAGATCTTGTGATATATTGAGATAAGATGGTGCTGATCGGGAGGTTTGGATGTTGTAATTAAACTAACATTGGATTATATACATTTAAAAACTAAATATAGGACCCAAAAGTTTACTAATGAGATTTAAATTTTGTTGCATAAAAGATGGCAGCAATGTGTTTAGAAACTTTGGATTTTGCTTATCGATTCAAGCCCTTGATTTCACTTTTAGACAAGAGAGCTTTCGATATAAGTTTTCAGCCTTATTCGTATTCTGTAACTTTAACTTTTAAATGGTGTAAACGCCACTGGGGAGGCAGGTTTCTTTTAACAAACCAGGAAATTACTTTCATTCGAAATTTTTTCCCTGTTTCCTAGACGAGGGAATTGATTTGTGGATATCCCTGCAATGGCATAATTAATTTCTAAGTTGTAATCATATTTGCCAAAATATACTTGCCAAATATTTTGGTGTGATTTGAAGGACGAAAGCACCCTATCTTTGTTTCCAGAGTTTCTCCCCAGTGCTATACCTGACTTCTACAAGTACAAGTTTGTGTATACGTTTTCCAAATAACTTATATCGAAAGCTATCTACAATCTGATCAGAGACTCTTAGATTAACAGATCTGAATTATGTAATAATAACAGCTATGATGGGTGATAAAAGAGAGATTTCACAACTCACTTATAGCATAAGGTATAATTTATGAAGCATTTGATTACGTGTGAGTGTGATATTGCTACATATAGATGACGATTTATAAGAATATCATACTTATGGATGCTGTGCAGTAAATGTTGACGTAATCAAACGCTTCAAAAGTTATACTTTATACGGGAATGATAAACATGCTATAAGTGAGTTGCAAAATCTCTCTTATAATACTCATACTCGTAGAACAACTTATATAAAGTTTAATTTTACAGTGTTTTATTTTAATGTATCTTTTTGTTAGATATGTACATGTATGAATCTCAGATGAATTGTCTCAGAATCTTGTGGAACTGGATGTTTTCAAATTAGATAGAAAATGTCTAATAAAAAAATGTAACTGTTCTCTCAAAATCTGAAAAATGTAATAAAAAATGTTTAGTTCTGTAAAGTGTAAATGTTCCAAAAATCCAAGTAATTTTTGGTCTCAATGTTCTTTTATATTTAAAGTTTTCAAAAGTGTTATGGTCTCAAAATCAGAATCGGAGAATAAGAAAGATGTAAGCAAATTAGTATCAATTTTTATGTTGTATCTTGAAAAATGAATGTTTTAAATGTAAATCCTCTGTTATCAGACATTGGATCTTTTGCACCATATACATGCAAAAAAGCGTACATTTTATATATTGTTAAGTTCTCATGTTTGGTAATTGTCAATTATTATATTGGGTAATTGTCAATTATTTTTAATATTATCTTAACAGTGAAGTCTGACAATGTAAATATGTATACAATGTTATGCACAGACTAAACAAGAAATATATCTGAAATTGAGAGCAATCCTTCCATTTTGATACTGTAGTCTGACTGTATTCAGCATATTTCCAGTGTATTTACTCAAGAGATACATTTTTTTTATTAATCATTTTTATTTCAAGTTCATATATTATAACATTTAATATCATACATGTACAATGAAAATTCAACAAGGTTAATCAATTTAACATTTGTGTTGAACTTCGAAGTAAATATACCATACACTAAAATGCAATACAAATACAAATTTGTTACAATTATTTGTAACTGTTCAGATATAAACAGAAAGGAATTAAGGCTGATATTAGAATGCTTTACAAAAAAGGTGTGCAGTGGTGTAAATTATGGGGTGGTGTAATATACATGTTAGTCAATCTTGGTTGCTTTTAGGAATTTTAAAGTTGCTTTCAGAAGAAGTATATTATCTTCATTACTAAGTTCAGTGTTACCATTCAAAAGCATATTTACTTTGCTAACAGAGTTAGCATCTAAGAATCTTTCTAAACAACCAATAATATGGAGATCTATAAGTAGTTGGATTCTCTCATCTACAAGTTGAGGGCATTTGAGGAAAAAATGAGATACATTGGGTATGTTATTTGATTAAGAGAAAGGGAACTGTTCAGCACAATTAAGAAAATTTTTTTTTTGGTTAGAACATAGGTCTGAACATTTCCTTTTAAAGTGTATTGGTTCTATTGCATCAGATCATCCCAGTCTCCCATATTTACTTAATTCTGTAATAGTTTTGCGTCAAGCCCTTGTAGCCCCCATCCCCAACCCCTTGCACCCCACCAGATGAAAGTGAAACAGATCTAGAGACTTAAGGGGTTGGATGGGCAGATGCTTGATGCAGTAATAATTATACCACCAAATGAAGTTCGAGAGGGTAACAGAAAAGCTGTCCATTCATCTATTAATCCACTCCTCTGTTTGTTCGTCTGTCTGTGCAATAACTCAAATACCATTCTATGGATTTTGTTCAAATTTTAAAGTCTGATGGGCCTCATGGGGAAAGGACTTCTGCTTCACTGCTTTTTGTAAAAATGTAAGCTTTGATCACTGTCGATAACTAAGATAACGGTGAACAGATTTTATAGAAGTTATAATCAATTAGTTAATATGACTGGAGTTCTAGTCTATATTCAACATGCTGAATAGTCAACTAATTTACTGTACTGACATGTTTCTACCTAACTGTAAATATTATATAATAAAAGTCCAGATTCAAATAAGTCTCGACCTATGAGAACTGTTATAACAGCTTGTAAGGAAACTGATCCGATGTTAGATTTAATCTATTTGTGTAACAGAGCTAATTTTTGTCATGCTTAGGACTTAACTTGAAAACCATAACTTGAAAACCACCAACTCATTTACATCAAATATCACTCTATTATACCTAACCCCTAGAAATGCATAAGATACTTTGTTTGTCTAATTGTATTGACAATGTTTAGTATATTTTTGAAAGTACCTTATCAACATCTAATAGTCATCCGATGAACCACTAATAAGTAACAGATATATAAAAACAAAGAACATAATCATTACTAATAAGCTAAATGGGTTGCTCATGAACAACAAATGCAAGGTATAGTAGAGGGAATATTTGTGATTTCTCTTCCATTGATTCTAACCTTCCACACAGATGTGAGGTTCACACAAGGGCGTTACAATACCCGGGAAATAATCGGTTCGTGCAGTACATGTTTGTGATGGCGAACGCGTGCAGCTCATCCACTGAACGAAACGCCACTTCCCGCTGAAATCACCGGGTATTGATTTCTCCCTTGGTTCTCACAGATGTAAGGTTAGAATACAGCACAATATCAAATACCAGCTCATACGAACATTAAAAAGAACTGAGAAGAGATTGTTATGTTAAAGCTTTTTCTGAAATTAGTTTTGTAATTAATCAATGTCATAAAATTACAATTAGAAAGTTTATTGTCGAATACATTATTTGAAATGTTAGTATAAAAGTTCAATTTCAAAGTATTGGGCGAGTTCAATAGTTAATGAGTGGTCCATAGAATCGATTGAGTGTATCTTCTGGGTTCGCACGGTAATCAAGGAAACCATTCACAAACTCTTCTTCACTTATCTTTCCATCATGGTCAGTATCCATGTAGTCAAACTGCATCTTTGCAAATCTCTTGTCAAGATTGAATACGTTCCAAAACACCAGGTACTGGTCGAATGTAAGAAAGCCAGTGGCGTTGAAGTCAATAGTCTGCAATAGGAATGGAAAAGTTGTAAATCCTCGTTTTCTTTCCCTCTCAGTTAAACACAAGCTTAAGGAAGTCGACAATGTGTTAAAATCCAAGATGCCCTCTCGTTATAGTTACATTTCATAAATGGCACTCAGCATTTTTGACTATGGAAACTTCATTTAGAAGGCCCCCATTAATTTTCTTATTTCAGATTTTTGAAAAACATCTTTGCAGAATTAATATAATAAAAGTTAGATAATCGATAAATGTAATAAATTAAATTGAGGTCTCAAATACCTTAGGCCACTTCAAAAAATGAAAAAACGAAATGTCAAATCAAAAGGTCCACTGGGTCTAGAGACCTCCCCGTATAACTCACATTGTTCAAAGTATATAGATGAACCTGACATATTCACTTATTTCATCATGAATGTCATATGTGTAATACGAGCAAAGATGAGCTCAGTCTTCTCTTTTCTGTTCAGCTTTACCTTAAACATGTCAGAATACATTCCGTGAATCCTATTCCCTATGACTGGGTTATCTTTGGTTCTCCAAACTTCCATTAGCTGCTTGGGCATAGATGTTGCCGTGGCAGCTCCTGCATCAGGGTTATCGCTTGTGTGCTTAAATGCATCTCTGTAGCACGCTATTAGGTTATCGCTAGATTTTCCTAGAAGTGACCTATAATATAATATTTATTGTGAAAATCAGATGTAATATTTCAATAGTAGAATATGTACCTAATGGAGTGGTCACACTTATGCCGTGTGGGCTCACGGTTCGCCACCGTGTAAGTACTTTTGGGGCAGTCGGCGGGGCACGGCATAGAAACACGGTGGGCAAAACAAAAATTTTCACAGCAAGATATCCCCCATCACATCAAATACAAAATTAATTAATTAATTGAAAAATTAAATTTTAAATTAGCCACACGGTGGCGAACGGTGAGCCCACATGGCAAGTGTGACCGCTACTTTAAATTGATCACTTCTTAATTGACTACGTCTTAATTGTGGATATCTGATTTCCCATAAAACTGCCTAAAATGATAACTTACTACTCGATTGTGCAAATGATATCTTAACATTTTGACCTTGATGCGAAAACCTGAAAGGAAACCGGATGTGTAGTTACTTACCAACTTTGATAAATTTGTCTACTATTTTCATTGCGTCAGCATACCCAACACAGCCATCTTTGTCCAAATCCCAGGCATCAACAATCGTAAGCATCTTCCGTATCCATAAATTAGGCATTTGTCTGATCTGAAAATGTACAAATAAACTGAAAGTGCACGTTTTCTGACAGTAGCCAAAGAAAGAACAAACGGTATTTAAGAGACACAGTCAAGGATAGAACATTGAAGTACAATCAGTTGTAATAAACAGACCTTAACATTCACTCTAAATTTCAAATGTATCATATTTTCTTGAACCACCAGGCAAGTCTGTGTACAATACAAAATCATATTTACCTCTGACACTTGTTCATGATCGTTAGAGTTTTCTGATTTATCAGCCATTTTGATGTAGTTTCTTCTAAAAGTTCAAAACAGTAGAACAAGCTAATACGTTATTCCTTACACCTCATATGCTAATAAAAAGTTACCTTGTTTAAAAATGTCATCTAAATTTATACAATGTTTGGATATCTTATGGTCTCTTTGTATTTACTTTATGAGCCGTGATTATATGCAACCTCCTTTCTCGTTTCACTTAACAACATACCTGTGTTTTTTGTACCATGGTTATAAACCTGAATCTGACGTCTATCCTGTGGCGAATCCAAAAATTAACAAGGGGAGACAGATTTAGAGCCCAAAAAATTTGAGCCCCTAAAACCAGAAATTGGGCCAAAATTTAAAAAAATTAAGCCCCATTTTTAGATAAATTATGGTAAAAAAGGTCCATTTTTGAGGTCCTACAAAATTTTGGGGCACAAAAACTGTTCTATGTAATTATGTTAGAAATGACGAGCTTTTAATAAAATATGTTTTGTTCAGTTGGATTTGCTACAGTAGATAGTTGCCGTTTTCCTAGTTCCTTCTGTTGAAGTTAAATAGAGAGGGTTATAGAGACTTGGGAGAGGTCTTGACACTTAGAAGGGGTCTAGAAACTTGGGCTGGGGGGGGGGGGGGGTACCGGATGCAAGGATTATTCCTTTAAAAGATGTCAGTATGTTAGTGATTGGTGATGCAAGTATGTATTGATATTTTTTTAACATATAGGATGTATCGATATGTAGTTCTTATACGTATAATATAACATGAGAGAATATTAACACGAATGCAAGCCTAATGATATGTTTTTTATGGAATTTATTTTGTATCAAAATTGGACATTACATGATGTATGGGAAAAATCGAACTATATGATGCGATACTCGAACCATATGATTCGAAACTCGCATCATACTATGCGAAATACGCATCATTATATGCGAAACTCGCATCATCGTATGCCATTTTCAATCCATGTTATACCAACAGTTAATTTTCTTACATAACTTATTTTCATTCACACACGCACTGGTTGTATCAAGTGTCACACAAAGAGTTAGCACTAACTCAAATCACTTTCCAAAAATCCAAAAGCAATGTTGAAATGTCACACGGATTGTGTTATAAGTTGCATAGAATACTGAAAGAATTACACATGGATCAAAGTAAATTTCGAACGAACATGTCAATTTTACACACGCATTGAGTTCAAACTCGCATAGGATGGCTCCCGCTCGCATAGGCTGTCACAAACAAGGCACTTCACACAGGGTGCGAGATTTGAAGTCACGTGATATTTACATCCTGATTTCTACAATATGGCGCCCTTCGTTGAAATGTGATAAAATGTAAATTTTAAATTAAAAATATATAATAGGATACCCTAGGCCCTAGGCTAGGGAGACGTACAGTGGCCATATATTGAGAAACTACAAACTAGATCATTTTATCTTTTTGCCGCGCTGATGTGTTATTTCGTTCAGTGCAAAAGTAACGCGAGATTTAGAACAAAATCTCGAACATCTCTAGAAAGCAATTTATGTTACATCAAGGTGTGTGATCGGTACTTCAAGGTGTGTGATCGGCACATCATGGTTTGTGAAGGGGAAAACGTTTGTGCGAGCCGCACAAGAGTTTGTTCGACTTGTGTACCCTGTTCGATGTCATTTTTAAACAATGCATACACAAATACGCATGTACAAGTGTGATTTTACAAACATAAAGTCTACAAACTCGAACAAACCGTGTATGAAATCACACGGATTGTGTATGCATTCTGCTAAACGCTATTCTATGTGTTTGAGATATCACATAAATATAAGATGTCCAATTTTGATACAGTTTTAACACCATAGTTTTTTGTCACCATGTATTGTTATAGTCTACAACTTTTTGGATGGTGTTCGGTAGAGGTGTCACACCGACCTGAAGTCGACCCGAATCTAGGGTCGGTAGGCTCAGGTTGGGTCACATACTACGACTGACCAATTTAGGTTCGGGTCAGAACGCTCAGGAATATCGTAATTGCTTAATACTGTATCCCCGGCACAAATTTCAAACTTCTATCTGGTACATTCCCTGTAGACGTATAAATTACGTAACTATGGGAAACAAGTTACGGATCTTCCCGAACAATTATTGTTAAGTTTCTATCATTTCCTTTATCAATGCATAATATACAGCTATGATGTCTTCAAAACACATGGCAGGTGGACTTTTTGCATCTTAATGCCTTGTCAAAAATTTGGATTTCTCACCAGTTTTGGACATTTTGCTGAATAAAAGAGTTAAAAGGATATAATATTTGAAGTCTACATGTAAAATTGGATCTAGAAATGTGGTTTAAAAAGTATTTACCAACTTTGTTTTCTTTGAAAATGTGATTTCTAGGTCGGGGAGATTTCCCATAGACCCCATGTTACAAAACCACAAAAAGTAAAATATATTTTCTTATGTTGGGCATATAATATTTTCTTTTATTCCATAGTTAGCATGATATTCATAGGATAACATGTGAAAATAAAAAACGGTATTTTTGTAATCAGTGGTAAAATATGATATTTTTGACTTTTCACTTAACCATAGCATACGTTTTTTTAGCCATGACATACGACGCCGTTTGCGATGGTTTATGGATTTTTGCTACTTCAGACTCAAAACGAGGCTAAGTGTCAACATCGCCGGATCGTTTGGAAAATTCGAATTAAATCACTTAATTTCCGACGATTCTGATGATGACTTTAACTATGGAATAAAAAGAACATCCTATGATTTACTCGTGATATGATTTTAATCCACTCATGGATATTGATATCTGCAGTACGCTCGCTCGTGCAGATATCATATCCATTCGTGGATAAAAATCATATCACTCATAAATCATAGGATATCCTCTATTTACTGGAGATATTTTCGTTTAATAATCTTCAGACACACAAGGATTATATGAAAACTGATCCACTTAAATTGATGATATTCAAGTTGAAGGGAACTTTCTTATATACCTGCCATGTTATTTACCCCTAATCAGCCACCTGATGTTGAAACTGGTAACTACTTACTCGCATCTGGGTAATACAGTACATAGTAATTTCGGTGTAGTAAAGGGAATGGACTCGTATACTCATATAATATCTTAGTAGCATTGGCATCTCATAACATTTTCTTTTTATATTGATATAATATTACACCAACTTTTATGTACTAGTTAGTATAATCTAACATATGCCTTCAGATTTAGACAATAAGGCTCTTTCATTGTCCTAGAATAGTACTAGAACTACTTGTAATAAAGTAATAATATAAAGAAATACCTCTCTTTATTATTTTCACAAATAAAATAATAGATTAATTGTAAACAGTGCATTGAATCTCCACAAGCAAAATTGATATAATACAGTTAATATAAAACGTCATCGTAGTTAGGTTAAACATAAATGCAAAAGGTACGTTAAAGTTTGATTCAATAATCAATATACAGAAAGTGATTCTTTCTTGCTATTCAAAGCTTTTAGTAACCTATATAGGCCTAATCTTTGTATACATTTAATACAAAAAAGCAATGGTTCAGTTAAGTTAGGTTAACATAAAGACGAACAAGGAAGTTTGAATCCAAAAAACAAGATGTTCAACATGCAAAAATTGATTTGCATTGCGGTTGTGTTTCTAATTACCTCCAGTCTTTCGAAGACGCGTCGAATTGTATTAGATGAGCCTCCGACTGAGAATTGGATAATGTACATAGCTACGTCCCAAGATATTCCAGAAAACAAATACAAATGGCCAGTGGAAAACGATCAAGGGCAGGTTGTCATTGATCTCGACAGTTCTAAAAGGATGACATTTGGTCCGTATTCTACCTTGAAAGATGCGAAGAGCAACATAATCTTGGGTATGATCTTTCCCTATGGCATGAGCTCTAATTGGGAAGATCGTTGGGTTCAAAGAAACACGACCGTTTTGCATGCTAAATGTCGAGAATACAATGGGTTGAAACCTTCGATTCCTAAAAACGTTACTTTGGGACAATATAAGGATATACGTTACTCAAAAATCGAATGTTTCTTGAACAACATTTCTAGGCCATTCATAGAGAGTCTTATTCACCTAAGATGGTTAGATTTAGCGAACAACAATATTACTGAAATTGATCAGCATGCGTTTGATGATTTGATTGCATTGGAAGAGTTAGTCTTAACCAGAAATCCAATAAGGTTCCTTCCTAATGGACTATTTTGTACCATGCCCAAATTGAAGACACTGAAGTTGGACAACTTAAACCTGACTGGATTCCCAACCGATGCGTTTCATCCTAACATAGACACAGCACACAACCAATCCAAAGCGACATGCCTGGGTAATCTCCAAGATCTTGATTTTTCAAATAATAAATTGATTACCATTTTAAATGGTTCTTTTTCTGGAATGGATATGCTGGTAAACCTTAATCTTTTCAATTGCTCCATACATACATTGGGAGCGAATGCTTTCGATGGCTTAGCGAATATACAAATTTTAAACCTTGAAGTGAACCTGATAAAAGAATTACCAGTAGACATATTTTCGAGGATGTCCAAATTAAACTCACTTGGACTCGGTGTGAACAACATTACTCATTTTTCTTTCGATTTACTTGCGCAATGTGAAGAGTTGGTATTTGTTTACCTAGAGATGAATGGAATGGAACGCCTAGGCGGAAGTATTATGAACAACACTCGGCTCGAATTTCTATCATTGCAAGACAATGCCATCGGATCTTCACCTTTTAATGCGTTCTATTCTAATGAAGCAAAATCTCTTGACCTAACCAATTGTGATATATCAACCATTCATCCAGATGATTTGTTCATGCCAAATCTAATGGTATTAAGATTAAATAGCAATAACTTGACATTTCTGGGAAACTACACATTTCTTCATCTAGGTAATCTTAGATTTTTGAACCTAACGAGCAATAGCATTGCAGAATTTGGTGCACTAGCATTTGCAGGTCTGAAACAACTTAAATATCTTTTGCTGGATAACAATAATGTCAGCCAGATTCCATCTGGATTTGTTAAAGAACTGCAATCTTTGAAATTCTTGTCACTGAGACATAATAATATTCTTAGCCTAGATGGAACAATGTTTGAAGGCATTGGCTTGTTGGAAGAAATATACCTAAACAATAACATGATTCAAAGAATTGAAAGAGACACATTCAAGCACTGTGGATTGCTTAAAAATATTACACTTCAGTGGAATCACATAGATACCATACAATATGGTACATTTGGACACATACGCGACTCATTAAAACTAATAGATCTGAAAGGGAACAACTTAAATTCACTGCCAGAAAATATATTCACAGGATTTTTACATTTACATGGCATCGATCTCTCTCATAACAAAATCGCCAATCTATCTAGGAATCTAGTTGATGGTTGTTCAAGTTTGGAAGTATTAATTTTAAGTTACAATCAGCTGAAAGTGTTCAACGTTTCATTGGAGTCAATGACTAATTTAAGGGCATTAATTATTAGGAGGCCCCATCGGGGGGCCTCCTATTAATTTTGTAGATATTATTCTTTATTATTATTAGACTCCAGATGTAAATCTGGAGTCTATTGTTTTCGTCAGTATTCTTTATTCTTTATTATTAGACTCCAGATGTCAATCTGGAGTCTATTGTTTTTGTCAGTATTCTTATTATTATTCATTATTATTCTTTATTATTCTTTCCCAGTTTTCTCGATAACCATAAGGCTTCCAATAAAGATCATTATTCAGTCAATTTATGTCCAGTATCTAGTTCCTCGGAAATTGGGTCAAATTTTTATCTAGGTCAAAGGTCAAGAACTAGGTCAAATCCAGTACTTTGTCACTTTTTTCGATTTTCTCGGTCGTCCTTCAATATTTTCGATCCGTTTTTTTTCATTGTGTTCCTTATAAAAAAGTAGGAATCCTAGGGTCGATTTAGTTTTTTGATATCTCAAACCGATTTCGAGATATCAGTGTCCGAAAACGAGGTCCAAAAAAAAGTTCTCCGAATCAAATGTCCAGGATATTAGTCTTATAGGAAATTTTCTCAGGATTCCGAATCTGAAAACGAAATTTGGATCTGACTTCCAGTTCGGAAGTTATGGCGTTTTGAAAACTCAAAAATCGCTAAATTTGGTGCCCATGTTAAGTCAATGGGAAAAAATATTTTTTTGAAGTGAAAAATACGGAATATAGACTGAGTTCAGCTTCATATAATCAAAGCCTTTAAAAGAAGGGGACCTCAAAAGCCATCTAGCTTCACAATTTGGACACCGAAATGCCTAGGTCAAAATCTAGGTCAAATTCATAGGTTTTCCTTATTTTTTCGATTCTGACACTACACTTTAATTATATTCTTCAAAATTGTGTATACATGTAGCCAAGAATATGCTAATAGTGTTAGCCTTTTGCCGTCAGAAAGTATTTTGACCCACTTTTGAGATATTGTGTCCGAAAAGTAGGTCAAAATAAAAAGTTCTCCAAATTGAATATATGAGTTATGAATTAAGGGTAGAATTTTGTCAGGAATCCGAATCTGCAAACCAAATTTCGATCCGATTTCCGGTTCGGAAGTTATGGCGTGTCCGAAAAGTAGGTCAAAATAAAAATTCGCCAAATTTAACGTATGAGTTATGAATTAGGGGTAGAATTTTGTCAGGAATCCGAATCTGCAAACCAAATTTCGATCCGACTTCCGGTTCGGAAGTGATAGCGTTTTGCAATTTCGAGAAAAATCGATCTGATGGTATCCTGATAGAAAGTCAAGAGTAGAGAAGAAAATATTGAAAAATTCATCCATCCTCCTATCTCATCCTACCCTATCCTTCCTATCTATCCTTCCTTCATATCTTTTCCTTCCTATCCTTCCTATCCTATCCTATCCTATCCTTTCTTCCTATTCTATTCTATCCTTCTTTCTTATTCTATCCTATCGTTCTTTCCTCTTCTATCCTACCTTCCTATTTTATTTATCCATCTCTTTCTAGATGACTCAGCTTATTCTGGATGACTCGGCTTATTCTGGATGACTCGGCTAAAAAAAGTCTAGATCTGGAGTCTGAAATTGAACTTCGTTCAATTTCCAAAATCTAGTTATTATTCTTTATTATTCTTTCCCAGTTTTCTCGATAACCATAAGGTTTTCAGTAAAGTCAGTCATTTGGTCAATTTAGGTCCAGAATCTAGTTCCTCGGAAATTGGGTCAAATTTTTATCTAGGTCAAAGGTCAAGAACTAGGTCAAATTCAGTACTTTGTCACTTTTTTCGATTTTCTCGGTCGTCCTTCAATATTTTTGATCCGGTTTTTTTTCATTGTGTTCCTTATAAAAAAGTAGGAAACCTAAGGTCGATTTAGTTTTTTGATATCTCAAACCGATTTCAAGATATCAGTGTCCGAAAACGAGGTCCAAAAAAAAGTTCTCCGAATCAAATGTCCAGGATATTAGTCTTATAGATAATTTTCTCAGGATTCCGAATCTGAAAACGAAATTTGGATCTGACTTCCAGTTCGGAAGTTATGGCGTTTTGAAAACTCAAAAATCGCTAAATTTGGTGCCCATGTTAAGTCAATGGGAAAAAATATTTTTTTGAAGTGAAAAATACGGAATATAGACTGAGTTCAGCTTCATATAATCAAAGCCTTTAAAAGAAGGGGACCTCAAAAGCCATCTAGCTTCACAATTTGGACACCGAAATGCCTAGGTCAAAATCTAGGTCAAATTCATAGGTTTTCCTTATTTTTTCGATTCTGACACTACACTTTAATTATATTCTTCGAAATTGTGTATACATGTAGCCAAGAATATGCTAATAGTGTTAGCTTTTTGCCGTCAGAAAGTATTTTGACCCACTTTTGAGATATGGTGTCCGAAAAGTAGGTCAAAATAAAAAGTTCTCCAAATTTGACGTTTGAGTTATGAATTAAGTATAGAATTTTCTCAGGAATCCGAATCTGCAAACCAAATTTCGATCCGACTTCCGGTTCGGATGTTATGGCGTGTCCGAAAAGTAGGTCAAAATAAAAAATCTCCAAATTTAACGTATGAGTTATGAATTAGGGGTAGAATTTTGTCAGGAATCCGAATCTGCAAACCAAATTTCGATCCGACTTCCGGTTCGGAAGTGATAGCGTTTTGAAATTTCGAGAAAAATCGATCTGATGGTATCCTGATAGAAAGTCAAGAGTAGAGAAGAAAATATTGAAAAATTCATCCATCCTTCCTATCTCACCCTACCCTATCCTTCCTATCTATCCTTCCTTTATATCTTTTCCTTTCTATCCTTCCTATCCTATCCTATCCTTTCTTCCTATTCTATTCTATCCTATCCTTCTTTCTTATTCTATCCTATCGTTCTTTCTATCCTATCCTACCTTCCTATTTTATTTATCCATCTCTTTCTAGATGACTCAGCTTATTCTGGATGACTCGGCTTATTCTGGATAACTCGGCTAAAAAAAGTCTAGATCTGGAGTCTGAAATTGAACTTCGTTCAATTTCCAAAATCTAGTTATTAGGAGGCCCCATCGGGGGGCCTCCTATCAATTTTGTAGATATTATTAGGAGGCCCCAACGGGGGGCCTCCTATTAATTTTATAGATATTATTATTATTAGACTCCAGATTAAAAATCTGGAGTCTATTGTTTTTGCCAGTATTCTTCTTTATTATTATTATTCTAAACACGTTTTCTCCTTAACTAGAAGACATTGAGTCAAGTCCTGTATATGGCCAATTTAGGTTCAGTATCTAGTTTCTCGGAAATTGGTTCAATTTTTTATCTAGGTCAAAGGTCAAGAACTAGGTCAAATCTTACATTTTCAACCTTCTGTCTATTATCTCCGTCGTTATTTATCGAAACGTCTTCATCTTTTTTTCATCATGAAGCTTAGAAACAGCCCTTTCATAAGTGTGCCATCCGTTCTTTAATTTCTCTTACCGATTTTGAAATACGGCGTCCAGAAAGTAGGTCAAAATAAGAAGTTCTCCAAATTTAACATATGAGTTATGGATTAAGAGAAGAATTTTCTCAGGAATCCAAATCTGCAAACCAAATTTTGATCCAACTTCCATGGCGTTTTGAAAACTCAAAAATCGCTAAAATTGGTGCCCATGTTAAGTCAATGGGAAAAAAGATTTTTTGAAGTGAAAAATACAGAATATAGACTGAGTTCAGCTTCATATAATCAAAGCCTTTAAAGGAAGGGGACCTCAAAAGCCATCTAGCTTGAAAATTTGGACACCAAAATGCCTAGGTCAAAATCTAGGTCAAATTCATGGGTTTTCCTTATTTTTTCGATTCTGACACTACACTTTAATTATATTCTTCGAAATTATGTATACATGTAGCCAAGAATATGCTAATAGTGTTAGCCTTTTGCCGTCACAAAGTATTTTGACCCACTTTTGAGATATGGTGTCCGAAAAGTAGGTCAAAATAAAAAGTTCTCCAAATTTAATATATGAGTTGTGAATTAAGGGAAGAATTTTGTCAGGAATCCGAATCTGCAAACCAAATTTCGATCCGATTCTCGGTTCGGAAGTTATGGCGTGTCCGAAAAGTAGGTCAAAATAAAAAATCTCCACATTTAACGTATGAGTTATGAATTAGGGGGAGAATTTTGTCAGGAATCCGAATCTGCAAACCAAATTTCGATCCGACTTCCGGTTCTGAAGTTATGGCATTTTGAAATTTCGAGAAAAATCGATCTGATGGTATCCTGATAGAAAGTCAAGAGTAGAGAAGAAAATATTGAAAAATTCATCCATCCTTCCTATCTGATCCTATCCTATCCTTCCTATCTATCCTTCCTTCGTATCTTTTCCTTCCTATCCTTCTTATCCTTTCTTTCTATTCTATTCTATCCTATCCTTCTTTCTTATTCTATCCTATCGTTCTTTCCTATTCTATCCTATCCTACCTTTCTATTTTATTTATCCATCTTTTTCTGGATGACTCGGCTTATTCTGGATGACTCAGCTTATTCTGGATGACTCGGCTAAAAAAAGTCTAGATCTGGAGTCTGAAATTGAACTTCGTTCAATTTCCAAAATCTAGTTATTATTATTATTATTCTTTATTTATTCTTCCTAAACCTTTTTCTCCTACTTCCAACTAGCTTTCAGCTAGCTTCTACATAACCCTACTAGGGACCTAGGCTGAACTTGGGGGGAAAGGAATTTTTATCTAGGTCAAGGTCAAAGGTCAAAATCTAGGTCAAATCTAAGTTTTTTTTAAGTTTCTCAAATCCTGACACTACACTTCAATACTTTTGGCTGAATTTTTGCATACAGATAGATATTAGTATTCTATTAGTCTTAACCTTTTGCCGTCTAAAGAAATTTTGCCTAGATTTTGAGATATTGAAGGTCAAAAAAAGGTCAAAAAAGGTCTTTTTTCAACTTGCTTCAAATTGACCAATTTTTTTTTTAAAACTCATCTACAAATTCTCAGAATTCCAAATCTGACCTTACTTTTGACCTTTGACCTTTGGTTGACCTTCAGTGACCTCCGAAAGGTCAAAAAAGTTGATTTTTCAAATCGATTTTCTGGATTCAAATTTAGGTATATTTATTCACAAGAGACCTCCTGAGGTCTAAAAAAGTAAAATTTGCAAGGTCAAAGGTCAAGGTCATCAAACGAAATCACAAACTGTGTTTTCTAAGTTTCTCAAAATTGGAGACTACAAATCAATTTTTTTTACTGAAAGTCAGAATATATATTCATCTAAAGGTTCTACACATATTAGCAATTGACAATTTATTAAAATTTTGCTCCAGTTTTGAGATATTAGAACTCAAAAACTGAAAAAAGGTCAAATTTCGAAATTTTTCAAGGTCAAATTTCAACTTGCTCTAAATTGACCAAACTTTTTTTTAAAATGCATCTACAAGATCCCAGGAACTCAAATCTGACCTTAGTTTTGACCTTTGACCTTTACTTGACCTTCAGTGACCTTCGAAAGGTAAAAAAAGTTGATTTTTCAAATTGATTTTCTGGATTCAAATTAAAGTTTATTCAATCAGAAAAGATATATTGAGGTCTAAAAAAGTAAAATTTTCAAGGTCAAAGGTCAAGGTCATCAAACAAGATCACAAACTGTGTTTTCTAAGTTTCTCAGATTTCGTCCTCATACTTCATTATTTCTTGCGATGAATTAAAATGTAACTAGATATTAGCATTCTCTACAAATTGCTCACTATATGTACGCGTTAATTTTTTACCGTTTTTGAGATATTTGACGTCAAAAATCGGCAAAAATCGGTCATTTTTCAACTTGCTTCAAATAAACCAGATTTTTTTTTTAAAATCATCTACAAGATCTCAGGAACTCAAATATGTCCTTACTTGTGACCTCCGACCTTTGGTTGACCTTCGGTGACCTTCGACCTGCTGAACTCCAAAAGGTCAAAAGGTCGGGGCCTCCTTAAGATTGCTTGCAATCTTCGATTTCTAGTTATTATTTATTCTTCCTCCCTCTTTTTCTCCTACTTCCAACTACCTTTCAACTAGGTACTACATAGTCCTACTAGGGACCTGGGCTGAACTTGGCGGGAAAGGAATTTTTATCTAGGTCAAGGTCAAAGGTCAAAATCTAAGTCAAATCTAAGTTTTTTTCAAGTTTCTCAAATCCTGACACTACACTTAAATATTTTTGGCTGAATTTTTGCACACAGATAGATATTAGTATTCTATTAGTCTTAGCCTTTTGCCGTCTAGAGAAATTTTGCCTAGATTTTGAGATATTGAAGGTCAAAAAAAGGTCAAAAAAGGTCTTTTTTCAACTTGCTTCAAATTGACCAATTTTTTTTTTAAAACTCATCTACAAGTTCTCAGGATTCCAAATCTGACCTTACTTTTGACCTTTGACTTTTTGTTGACCTTCAGTGACCTCCGAAAGGTCAAAAAAGTTGATTTTTCAAATCGATTTTCTGGATTCAAATTTAGGTATATTTATTTACAAAAGACCCACTGAGGTCTAAAAAAGTAAAATTTGCAAGGTCAAAGGTCAAGGTCATCAAACGAAATCACAAACTGTGTTTTCTAAGTTTCTCAAAATTGGAGACTACAAATCAATTTTTTTTACTGAAAGTCAGAATATATATTCCTCTAAAGGTTCTACACATATTAGCAATTGACTATTTATTAAAATTTTGCTCCAGTTTTGAGATATTAGAACTCAAAAACTGAAAAAAGGTCAAATTTCAAAATCTTTCAAGGTCAAATTTCAACTTGCTCTAAATTGACCAAACTTTTTTTTAAAAAGCATCTACAAGATCTCAGGAACTCAAATCTGACCTTAGTTTTGACCCCTGACCTTTAGTTGACCTTCAGTGACCTTCGAAAGGTCAAAAAAGTTAATTTTTCAAATTGATTTTCTGGATTCAAATTTAGGTATCTTCAATCAGAAAAGATATATTGAGGTCTAAAAAAGTAAAACCTGTAAGGTCAAAGGTCAAGGTCATCAAACAAGATCACAAACTGTGTTTTCTAAGTTTCTCAAAGTTTGTGACTACAAATCAATATTTTTGAATTAAAGTCAGGATATATATTCCTCTAAAGGTTTTACACATAATAACAATTGATTATCTATTAAAATTCTGCACCAGTTTTGAGATATTGGACCTCAAAAACTGAAAAAGGTCTAATGTTGAAATTTTTCAAGGTCAAATTTCACATTGCTTCAAATTGACCAAACCTTTTTTTAAAAATCATCTACAAGATGCCTGGAGTTCATATATGTCCTTGTATTTAAGATTTGACCTTTGGCTGACCTTTAAATGTTCAAAAAAGCCTACGGGGCCTCCGTAAGATTGCTTGCAATCTTCTAGTTATTTATTCTTCCTCCCTCTTTTTCTCCTACTTCCGACTAACTTTCAACTAGCTACTACATAGTCCTACTAGGGACCTGGGCTGAACTTGGCGGGAAAGGAATTTTTATCTAGGTCAAGGTCAAAGGTCAAAATCTAGGTCAAATCTAACCTTTTTTTAAGTTTCTCAGATTTCGTCCTCATACTTCATTATTTCTTGCGATGAATTAAAATGTAACTAGATATAAGCATTCTCTACAAATTGCTCACTATATGTACGCGTTAATTTTTTACCGTTTTTGAGATATTTGACGTCAAAAATCGGCAAAAATCGGTCATTTTTCAACTTGCTTCAAATGAACCAGATTTTTTTTTAAAAATCATCTACAAGATCTCAGGAACTCAAATATGTCCTTACTTTTGACCTCCGACCTTTGGTTGACCTTTGGTGACCTTCGGAAGGTAAAAAAAGTTGTTTTTTCAAATTGATTTTCTGGATTCAAATTTAGGTATATTTGATCACAAAGGACCCACTGAGGTCTAAAAAAGTAAAATTTGCAAGGTCAAAGGTCAAGGTCATCAAACTAAATCACAGACTGTGTTTTCTAAGTTTCTCAAAATTGGAGACTACAAATCAATAGTTTTTCATGAAAGTCAGGATATATATTCCTCTATAGGTTCTACACATATTAGCAATTGACTATTTATTAAAATTGTGTACCAGTTTTGAGATATTGGAACTCAAAAACTGAAAAAAGGTCAAATTTCGAAACTTTTCAAGACTAAATTTCAACTTGCTTCAAATTGACCAATTTTTTTTTTAAAACTCATCTACAAGTTCTCAGGATTCCAAATCTAACCTTACTTTTGACCTTTGACCTTTGGTTGACCTTCAGTGACCTCCGAAAGGTCAAAAAAGTTGATTTTTCAAATCGATTTTCTGGATTCAAATTTAGGTATATTTATTTACAAAAGACCTTCTGAGGCCTAAAAAAGTAAAATTTGCAAGGTCAAAGGTCAAGGTCATCAAACGAAATCACAAACTGTGTTTTCTAAGTTTCTCAAAATTGGAGACTACAAATCAATATTTTTAAATGAAAGTCAGAATATATATTCCTCTACTAAAGGTTCTACACATATTGGCAATTGATTATCTATAAAAATTTGGCTCCAGTTTTGAGATATTATAGCTCAAAAACGGAAAAAAGGTCAAATTTCGGAATTTTTCAAGGTCAAATTTCAACTGGCATTAATTCGACCGAACCTTTTTTAAAAATCATCCACAAGTTATCTGGAGTTCATATATGACCTTGTATTAGAGATTTGACCTTTGGCTGGCCTTTGAATGTTCAGAAACGAATATAGGGCCTCCGTAAGATTGCTTGCAATCTTAGATCGTTAGATCTCTAGTTATGAATAATCAACTGAAGGACTCATGGAACATCTTTGAACATATACATCTTATGCCATCACTGATACATTTAGACCTATCAGCAAACAATATGACTTCACTTGGACCAATTCCACGAGTATTGGCAGATACTCCAGCTGTGCTAGCTTGTGTGAATATAAGTTACAATCGTATCACAAGTATTCCAGAAAACCAATTCTATCTATCGACGTCGTTGAAAAGTATTGACCTCTCCGCCAACAGAATGAAAACGATAAATCAACCAAAGTTTAGGAACAAACCTGAATATTTTGTCAAATATATTGATGGTGATAACGAAAATATATCAGCAAGCAATATCACTTTGCCTGAACCGAATCCACTGGTATTGGAACATAGCCCGTATTTGCAAGATCGTGTAAATATAAGTTACGATCGTCTCACCAGTATCCCAGAAAGCCAATTCTCTCAATCGGAAAAGTGGCAAGTTCTTGATCAGTCTGTCAACAAAATAAAAACAGTAAATCGACAAATGTTAAGGATAAAACCTAAAGATCTTGTAGAGTACATTGTTGGTAAACAAAATCCGTTTGTGTGTGATTGTTTAATGCGATGGGCAAGAAACTTGATGAATGAATCTCGATGCACGGTTCCGATTCTGAATGAGTGGACGGAAAAGAGAATGGGAGATGTTCCGGCTCGCCTATATCTTTGTCAAACAAAAATGAAGTGCCCAGAAAAATGTGAGTGCTTTGCTGATAAAGTAAAAGAACCGTACGATTGGATACATATAAAATGTTCCAATAAAGGACTAGAGTACGTACCCTTTGGAATTCCAAGTACAACAAACGTCCTAGATGTATCTCTTAATATCATAGAACAATTGGATTCAGCAACATTTCATAATGCTAGTTTTCCTGTATTGCAGATTTTGGACTTGACTAGCTGTCAAATTAGAGCACTTATTGGAAATGACATTTTTAATGGATTTGATCAGTTAACGATATTGAACTTAAACAATAATTACATAGTACAGCTTAATGGGGAACCCTTTAAAACTCTGTTTTGGTTGAATGAACTTCACATTGCTAATAACTCCATCAAAACAATCCAAGACAAAGTATTTTCTCCACTTAAATTATTGTCTTTCCTTGATCTTGAAGGCAATCAGCTACAAAGTGTAAACCTTACTATTTTTGAACCACTAGGTCTGATGCTGATAAATGGAAAGCCGCTATCTTGGATATCTATATCGGTAAATGGGGTCGGCCCTATAAATGCTCGAGAGCACTGGGAATCAAAATGGTCCATTTTGCTATCTAATAATCCATGGGATTGTTGTAGGGGGTTACCTTTAAAGAAATGGTTAAACGCCCACCAATCAATTATACCTAATTTGGTAGACATTCACTGTATGAGAGGTAATCTCACCGAGTTGGTTCCTTTATTCGAAATGAGTGATTCGAACCTTACATGCATTCCAGAGCCACCAATACCATTCCAACAGACTTCGTACTTTCAAGCAATCATAGGAGTACTTGTTGTTGTATCATTCTGTCTTTCGGGTCTATTGATTTTTAGACGATTTAAATCACATATAAAATTGAAGCTCTTTGTCCTGTTTGGTTGGAGATTTGACAAGATAGACGACAGTAATAAACAATATGACGCATTGTTGTCATACAGTGGACTCAATGGTGAATGGATGCGTGATGAATTGTTGATACAACTTGAAGAAGCTGGGTACAAACTCTGTCTACACGAACGTGACTTCAGAGCTGGGGAACCTATCATGGACAACATAAACAATGCCATAGACAACAGCAAAAGGACAATTATAGTTCTGTCGAATGAGTTTCTAGAAAGCGGATACGCTATATATGAGTTTATAAGGTCACATGATGATCGGGCCAGGGGTGAACGCGATCCCGTCATCTTAGTGCTATATGATTCGTTGGATAATTTAGACGAAGATGCCTTGGCAAAACATCCAACGTTGAACACGTATATATCTACAAGAACATATCTTGTGAGAAATAATAAATACTTCTGGGAGAGCATTATTCTTGCAATGCCCCGGCGACAAAGGCAACGAATTCCAGACAATAATGATGACGATGGTTTGATGCTGCAACATTTCAATTAGTTTTGTCAGAGGTTGACTTTTATATGATATACGTGTAGGGCGCGACAATTAAGATGATTTCCCAACATTTTGGTCAAAATAGATCAATAGATAAATGACGTCAGATTTGTTTATTTCCTGTGGGCCAGTGTGAAGTTTACAGGTTTTTACATGAGATTATCATATTCGTGCAATTTACAGACGTGTATTCAACAAAGCATGAACGTGTACTTCTATGCGCGCGCAGAAAGTTATATTGGTAAACCCCAATCCTTAATTGGAAATAAGAATACATTTTAATGGGTAAATGACAACTTCAAATGTGATCGTTTGTTCATTCCGTACAATATAAATGGGCAGGGCCAATTTGATACCCGGGGCCTAGTACAATATGTATACTAAACAAAATGAAATGACAACCAGGGCAAGAAAGGATCTAGTGCGCCATCCATTATGATCTCCCCATGAACAAAAATAAATTCATCTGATTTTTCAAAATAAATATACTGCTTTCATTATTACATTTATATGTACACTAGTATCTTGTTGACCTATACTCAGCACTGTATTGATGAATGGGCCACTTATTAGGGCCAATATTGAATCATAAAGTGTACATGGGTAGAGATGCCAAACCAGGAAGTATTTTTGTGTCCGTCAAAATCCAGTTGTATCCTACACATCCCTACATTGTATCCAAATATGTTATTAATTAATGAAACATAACAGTATAATCTTTGGATTTACAAAGTTGTATGGGATTTCATAAGTGTAAAAGTTGCTTTTGAAGAATTTTTCTATAGCCATTTTGTAGGAAAAAATGATGAAAAAATGTATATACACGTCGCACGAAACTGGGGACAATTAGAGTAACATTATGGCGTCAAAATACCAAAACAATACAATGGGCAGTATAGGGCGCAATCAGCATTATAACGTCAAAAACGACAAGCGTTACATTTTGTCAAGTTTAGTCAACCTAAAAATAAGATGCTTTATTCTTATTCAATCTGGGTAAAATTCACAGAGCAACAAGATCTCGAGGACAATATTTCTAAAATGTTTTTGATTTTTGAAAACCTGTCAGGAAATCCACTCGGGGCGTTAGTAAAAATTGATATGTATGGGATTTGTGGTAAAAAATCGATGCGTTACATTTTTTCAAGTCTCTAAAAGCAACTCTTATTCTCTTATTATTTGAAAAATAAAGAAATCGGTTATTGTTTTGTAAATTTCGCCATGACAATATTGTGCAGTTAATTTTTTTTTGAAATCAGACCTAAATTAGAAGGTTAAATAAAGGTAAACTTATTGCTTGTCTCCTTCGCCTTCAAAACCTTACACAATTTTGAAAATCTTAAAAGCGTTCATATAAGACGATTTGAACTGTAGCCGCTAGGCAATTGTGACGTCATAAAGGCACATGTTTCAATGAATAAAACGTGAAAGTTTAGTAAAATTCTGATCAGTATTTCAAAAGTTATCCCGATTTCAACGAACCGTGTAAGCGTGAAATGTTACGCCTTACAGCGTATTTGACGATGTCGGAGTACATGTAACTTAAAAAATATGGTAAATCCCATCACACTTTTCAAGGAAAAATAATTTCAGTGAAATGCGAATAAAAAATACTTCAAAATGATATATAATGCACATAGTTAGCTTTTTAAATAAGGCAGATATTAACGCTTAAAGCTGAGATTAGCCCGTATTTCCAGAATTGTCCCCAGGTCCGTGCACGTCATAATAATCTTTTAATTTGAAGTATGACCTGAATAGATTGCAAACTTTGTATTTGCACATCTGATGTACTGATATACCATTTGTGTCATATTGTGAAATCATTTACATTGAAATTGATTTAGGTCATAGTGTATTTTAGGTATTTTTGTGTAAGTCAATAGATCACAACCAATGTCAAGTCAATATACCCTTGCTGAACTTAATGACCTCAACCTCAGCCCACGCTTTATATTTTCCAAATTATTATGTGACATTGTATTCTTTATGTTACACCTAAAAAAAGATTCATTTTGTTCATGGGGACAATGGAGTGCACAAGACCCTTTAATTGTGGTTGAATATGAAATAAAGCAAAAATAAAAAACAAAATGTTTTAATGCGACTAGATTCGAACCCAGGCTCAACGGACACGAGTCCGAAGTGCTAGCCATTACACCATCGAGACATTACTTTTAACAATCACCACATAAATATGCCTCCACGTCCACTGACATGGTTTCAGACGTGTAGCTTAACAGAAATTTTCTTAAACGTGTACTTGAGCGTGGACTTACGCGTTCAGGTTCACGGTTTGCATTTATACGTGTAGCTTAACCTCTCTATTATTGAAAACCTATAAATTAAGGTACCTGTAAAGCAGATTGATGGAATACTTGTGAAGTTATAAATGAATGATAAAAGCTGATCGTGGTAGAAAATATTATTTCCTTGTCGTTCCTATATGTGATATGGTAAACCCAATATATACAGTACGGTTCTTCCTTGACTATAATCTCCAATATACTCTTATTATATAGATAATAAAGGATTATCTGAACAACAATGGACTTTCTTACAACATATTGTTTAATTAGTGATAACTACCCCATGATAAAATTTCAAATGGTACAATTTTATTTCAAATAATAACAAGTGATTAAGGGATGAGGAAATGACTGATACATTTCCATATTTAATTTTGTTAAAATTAGAATTTTTCATCATTAGTATATAAGAGGTCGGTGAAATTTAAGAAAAATCAGATTTGATTATTCTGTATCTTTTTTACACTTTCTTTTGGATATCGGTGCCCTTTTAATATCATTCATATTATCAAATGTGTATTTAATTTCTTTTTAAATTTCATATGTTAGTGTTTCTTTATTTTCTATTTCGATTTGAAGTAACATTACATTTCCTCACACTCAAACTCTTGCAATGTGTAATATCTAGCAAGGTTCAATTCCGTGGGGTGTTCGACTTCTTTCAAATTGAAATTTCTTGCACAAGTTTGAATTATCTTTTGTCAATAGTCATATACTGACCTATCATTTTGACCTTTATTAGCTAACCCTTTTCAATAGTTCGATTTATATGAGAACTTCATCTATGCTCTTCGGATAAGAGATAAACATTTGGATGAGTCGCATCCAATCAGATCATGTCTTAGAATTTAATATCCCTACAAGTAGATGTCTTTAATTCTGTATTCAAACTCTTTTTGACTTCATAAAGTTTTTGTTATCGTATTTGCATCAAAATTGTAACACTTTCTTATCTAATCAGAGGGCAGTAATTCCCCGCGTTCTCTGTGCCTCAGGGTTTGGTTCGACATTATACAGGAATTACAGGGAGTGATTTCTTTGAATTTCTGGATATTATAAATAAGCACAATGAAGATTTTTATTCTTAGCATCCTGGGGATATCGGCCTTTGTGAGTTTAACGAATGGATCTAACTTCGGACAAAGGTTAATGCAGAATGACGATGAAGCTGAGAAAAATGCTCATACCTTAGAGGGGTAAGTCCTATTTTTCGATATATCAATTAAATTTTATTTATGTTTCTTGTGTGTTGAAATTTAAGGGACAGGTGTCAATGTTTAAGGGAAGAGTAAAATGCAGTACTTCCAGGAGCTAAAAATCATTATACATGTATACATATAATCTAATATTCACAAAATTATATACGCAAATTAGTACAAGATGCTAATTGGGAAAATACCAATAATGTTAAGGAATAGAAAAAAAGAAAACATTGGAAAGTAGAATTGTTCATGAGGAAACAAACGCACCCCAGACAATGAATATTAGGCCAACACTTGTTGAAAACTTTTAGACAATGAATATTAGGCCAACACTTGTTGAAAACTTTTATACAATGAATATTAGGCCAACACTTGTTGAAAACTTTTAGACAATGAATATTAGACCAGCAGTCGTTGAAATTCTTAGACAATAAATATTAGACCAGCAGTTGTTGAAAACTTTTAGATAATGAATATTAGGCTAGCACTTGTTGAAACTTTTAGACAATGAATTTTAGGCAAACACTTGTTGAAAACTTTTAGACAATTAATATTAGACCAGTACTTGTTGAAAATTTTTAGACAATAAATATTAGGCCAACACTTGTTGAAAACATTTAGACAATACATATTAGACCAACACTTGTTGAAAACTTTTAGACACGAAATACTAGGCCAACACTTGTTGAAAAGTTTAGACAATAAATATCAGGCTAACACTTGTTGAAATCTTTTAGACAATTTATATTAGGCCAACACCCGTTGAAAACTTTTAGACAATGAATATTAGGCCAACACTTGTTGAAAACTTTTAGACAATGAATATTAGACCAGCAGCCGTTGAAATTCTTAGACAATAAATATTAGACCAGCAGTTGTTGAAAACTTTTAGATAATGAATATTAGGCCAACACTCGTTGAAAAACCTTTAGATACTAAATATTAGGCCAACACTAAATATTAGGCCAACACTCGTTGAAAACGTTTAGACAATGAAAAAAGTATAAGTGGCAAACGGGGAAAAATCAAAGAGTTTTCTGTAACACAGCAAGAAAAGGAAATGTCAAAGAGGATAACAAGTCAATGAAATCAAATCCATCCCCAATATCTTAAACTATGATCCAAAACAAAATGAAACAATATCCATCACCCCGTTACCTTTTCAACCACTCAAAAATTGTTTATTCTCTATAATCCAAATGTGTGCATCATAGAGGAAATCCAAAATTACCCCCTTACCTTCTCGATCACTCAGAAATTGTTTATTTTCGATATATTTCAGTCCAAATGTGTGCATCATAGAGGAAATCCAAGGTGGCAGCTATAGGAAGTTACACACAGGATGTGGAGGATGGTATAAACACAGGGAAATATGCCAACGTAGTACGTGAGTACAATTTTATACACAAGGAAATATGCCAATGTAGTACGTGAGTACAATTTCATACACAGTGAAATATGCCATTAACGCCCGGCATTAACGTAGTACGTGAGTACAATTTAGGGAAATATGCCATTAACGCCCGGCATTAACGTAGTACGTGAGTACAATTTCCTTTGTAATATTCACTCACAGTAACTACAACTGAGATTTTTTAATTGACCCTTCACCCAGTTGAGATCTTGAAAATTACCCGACAGTGTGCCATCCTATCATTTACACATTGTCCAAACAAACTTTTAGGACATTTTAGCAATGCGTTCATTCTGTGTTTGTTTTACAACCAATTGCAATTACTCTGAACTTAATCGGATGAAATCAATTTGAATCTGTCAAATAAATTGTTGAATTTGAACTTGAAAATTATGTAAAATTCTGACCTACTGTAATATTATAAGGAACAGAATTCGGATTTGATCATACAGGCTTCTTAGGCCTATACCACACATTTTAATTTGAACTTTCTGAACCAAACTTAACGTGGGGTGTATTTCATATTCTTCTAGAATGCTCCTCCAAGAGTGCTGTGAAGGGTTTGAACAAGTTGAAGGTGAGAAGGGATGTACTGCAATAAAACCCCTAAAGAACCTGGTAGAAGTTGCAAGGGACCTTGGCCTGGAGTCATTCCTGTCTATAGCTGATGGGGACGGACTTCTTAAGACGTTGGAAACAAGAGGAGCTTTTACTGTCTTTGTCCCAAGTGAGGAGGCATTCAAGTAAGTACAGAGCAAAATATTCTAATTTAAGTCCTCATTGGATAAAAGTTATATCTATCAAAAAACCGAACATGTAGTTATTTACAATAATATCTTGAATCTATCAAAATAACTTAATTATGTATTCTGCTTTCAATATGAGAAAGGCGATCTAAGAAGAACTATAGAAATGAAATAAATAAACTGAAAAAAACTAAAAGAAAATACACACCTATATCAGTAAATGTCCCTCTTAATAGTTCAAAGGTTAATATAAAAGGTTAAACACGGAGCCAATATGTAAGTGCATTAACAAGAATTCTAATCAGAATTCAATGTAATTTCAGACAGGCGAAGAATGCAGCAAACATCGTACTGGAGTACCACATGGGTAATGGAAGATACAAGACTAAAGCATTGAAACATACCCAAGAAGTGGAGAGTCTTATCTCAGGAATGAACCTTAGGATTGGGAAGTACAATAATGGTGTAAGAAAAGAAAAATGGTGTTTGATATTCCTTTTTTTGCATTCTTTAAGCTGTGTCATTATAAATTCAGACAATGAAATGTGTTCATTGGTTTAGATCGTTATAATGGTTCTTATATGATGTGGGAAATGGTTGTTTCTTTTTCTTTGGTCTCCTCTTTTTCACTTGTTTTTCTATACTTATAGATACTTTACTGAATTGTCTGTTTTGGATTCTGATTATGGTTTTATGTCACAAGTACAAGTTGTGACATTTTTATGGTCTATTACTTTTTTGTGGACGGTTGTTGTTTCTTACTTTTGCTTTGGCCACCGAACTTCCTTTTGTTTGTGAGACCAAATGTAGTTTCGTGATCCAGGTGTTGTTTCAACAATGATCTTTCTTATAGTATTACTTCTGGCGCATATTTTATGTGTTTTATGGTGTGAATTCTCCAGGTATCATTGAATTCCTCATGTTGGTGATGTGACGTACATTTGTACTTCGTATATTATAATTGAATCTTCTATCTTATCTTCCAGATCAATACAATGAACTGTGCAAGAATATTAAATGGTAACCAAGAAGCTACCAATGGTGTCATTCATATTATTGACAAAGTTCTTGATGTTCCAGTTAGTTCAATTGTTGATATTCTTCAGAACGACCCGAGGTAACATCAATGGAGGTTTCTTCTCAGTATATGTAGATTCATTTATGCAAACGTGGGTCTGATTTAAACCCCAAATATCACGTTTGTTTAAATAGTGGGACAAGCAATATATATAAGATTATGAGAAAGGTACATCATAAAGCAATACAACAATGTCATATGTTATTCCAAATACCATTTGCATTCTTCTGATTTAGTTTTTTAAAAGCTTACAACTTAACTCTCTGCTCAGGGTATACTACAATTTAGGCCTGTCGAAAGGGAAAGAGCTTTGGGGGAACGCCTCAGGGCCAAAAAGATTTTCAAAATCATGCAGTTTTTCACCATTTTGAGCATTTCAAGTGGTTTGGGTCAACGTTGACAAATGTAGCTACAGTCCTGCAATAGAAAATGCCATTCATTATTGGTGCTAGCATTTTATTTTAACATTTCAACACAATTATTCTTGTTAGTATGTTTTTCATTTTAGGCTAACCAAGTTCAAAGCTTTGTTGGAACAGGCTGGTAAACTTGATATCTTAAATTCAGCAGGACCATTCACCATATTTGCACCAACAGATCTTGCCATTGAATCCGATTCTCAAATTGAACTGATTATTGCAAATGAAGACGGGCTTGCAGGTAATTCAAAAGACTGTTGCGGATAATCATAACGGGAAACTTAAAAACAGAGGGCATACAACTTTTATGTCCAAGTTGTATGGATAAATAAGTTCCCCCATCTTATGAATATACATTTATTTGCTGAGCTAAAAAGAGCAAGATCATAAAACATCAAATCAATTCCTTCCGAAGTAAAAATAAAGTCTGTTTATATTTTGTATATAAAGCTATATGCCTTCTAATGATTATTAATCATACTTGTTGTATTTTGCAGCTATGTTGGATAGTCATGTTCTGAAAGGTCTGATCTGTTCTGCCGCCCTTATTAAAAGTCATCATCTTACGACATTGGAGGGAACTCGCCTCAATGCTACATGCTTGCCAGGGGAGAGGATTTCTGTCAATGGAGGCAAGGTGATTGAGAGTGATATTATCGCCACCAATGGTGTTATTAACATCATCAACAATGTTATCATTCCAGAGAAAGGTATGTATACACATAAAAGAGTAAACTATTGTTTCAACGAGATCACCTTGTGTCCATCCTCAGAGATTTAAAGAGTCAATTAAAATCAAAAGCATCTGATCTATACCCAAGATGTATTTCTCATTTTCATTAGTGATACTTGAAAATACAAAATCACATGTTCATATATTATTCAGCCAAGACTGTACTTGCACTTGCTAAGAACATAGGATTGACTACATTTGTTGAGAGGCTTGAGGCCCAGAGTCTGCATACAACACTGGATATGGAGAATCCAAAGTTTACCCTATTTGCTCCTTCTAACAAGGCATTTGAAAGTAAGTCATACTGGTTTCCGTTTGATAATTAAACATTTATGAAAGGGTAAATAGCTGTAATTTCCATCCTAAATTGTCTTGGAATATTTTTAAATCATAGCATACGTGATTTATGAGCAAAAACTCAATGAATAATTCATCAACCCGTTACTCCATGAGGTATATCAAGAACTTGGGCAATATCAAAACAATAACAAAAATAAAAAATGAATTCCATAGATACAAAAAAAACTTATGTGTAAAAAAAATCATTTTTTGACACACACGTTTATGGTATTTATTAAATTCATTTTTTAATTTTTTGACACACATATTTATGGTCTTAAGGTTAAAATTATATTTTTGATATTTTTGATTTTTTTGATTTTTTTTATATTTTTAACTTACCCAAGTTCTGGATATACATCTACTCCATTGACCACTGTATTTGTATTTAAGACCTGCCCAAAGAGATCCAGAACAAACTGGCTGTCAATCCATCATATATGCGTGAACTCCTAGAGACCCATCTTGTTATTGGAAAATTGGCATCAAACTCATTCATCGATGGTCAGATGATTCCAACTTTTAGTGCTGTAAATAATCTAAGAGTTAACGTCAACAGAAGGGTAAGTTCAAGATAGAGTGTCACAAAACGTCAACTTAGATGTTGTAATGATAACCCTGGCTTTGTAAATGATCAATTGAGATATGTAAATGATCAATGCAACTTATCTGTGTAAATGATGAACTTATATGTGTAAATGATCAACTTAGATGTTGTAAATGATAACCCTGGCTTTGTAAATGATCAATTGAGATATGTAAATGATGAACTTATCTGTGTAAATGATCAATTTAGATGTTTTTAATGATAACCCTGGATTTGTAAATGATCAATTGAGATATGTTAATGATCAACTTATCTGTGTAAATGATGAACTTATATGTGTAAATGATCAACTTAGATGTTGTAAATGATAACCCTGGCTTTGTAAATGATCAATTGAGATATGTTAATGATCAACTTATTTGTGTAAATGATGAACTTATATGTGTAAATGATCAACTTAGATGTTGTAAATGATAACCCTGGCTTTGTAAATGATCAATTGAGATATGTTAATGATCAACTTATTTGTGTAAATGATGAACTTATATGTGTAAATGATCAATTTAAATGTTGTAAATGATAACCCTGGATTTGTAAATGATCAATTGAGATATGTTAATGATCAACTTATCTGTGTAAATGATGAACTTATATGTGTAAAATGATCAATTTAGATGTTGTAAATGATAACCCTGGATTTGTAAATGATCAATTGAGATATGTTAATGATCAACTTATTTGTGTAAATGATGAACTTATATGTGTAAATGATCAACTTAGATGTTGTAAATGATAACCCTGGCTTTGTAAATGATCAATTGAGATATGTTAATGATCAACTTATTTGTGTAAATGATGAACTTATATGTGTAAATGATCAATTTAGATGTTGTAAATGATAACCCTGGATTTGTAAATGATCAATTGAGATATGTTAATGATCAACCTATTTGTGTAAATGATGAACTCATATGTATGTAATATGTCGAAATGATCAACTTACGTGCGAATATTATCAACTTATATGTGTAAATGATCAACTAATATGCGAAAATTATCAACTTATATGTGTGAATGATAAACTAATATGCGAAAATGATCAACTAATATGCGAAAATGATCAACTTATATGCAAAAATTATCAACTTTTATGCGAAAATGATCAACTTACATGATTGAGTAAATTATCAACTTACATGTAATGTAAATGATCCACTTAGATGTTGTAAATAATCAAATTTTGTGTTGTCATAATTTACATCATTGAGTTAACATCAAAGTATCTCAATTACAAGTGATAACATTTGATGTTGTAAAAGACATTGTTGCTACCAAAATATATTTTCTTACTAAAATAATAACGCTATCAATACTAATACTATTCAGTTATTTGATTTTCAAAGACTGTTCATCGAGAACAGATGTGCTTTGTGTTATAAGTTATAGGTTTATCTCATCAATACATCCCAGTCCTTGACCGCCTCTACTGTTGTTTGTATTCCAGAGATTGTCCATTGAGAATGCCTGTGTGACCGACGTGGATCCTGTCGCTAGAAATGGGTTTATCTATTAATTAAAGATATAAACACATATATCCAGTCCTTTACCGTTTTTCCTGTTGTTTGTATTCCAGAGATTGTCCATTGAGAATGCCTGTGTGACCGACGTGGATCCTGTCGCTAGAAATGGGTTTATCTATTAATTAAAGATATCAACACATATACCCAGTCCTTTACTGTTTTCCTGTTGTTTGGATTCCAGAGACTGTCCATTGAGAATGCCTGTGTGACCGACGTGGATCCTGTCGCTAGAAATGGGTTTATCTATTAATTAAAGATATAAACACATATATCCAGTCCTTTACCGTTTTTCCTGTTGTTTGTATTCCAGAGATTGTCCATTGAGAATGCCTGTGTGACCGACGTGGATCCTGTCGCTAGAAATGGGTTTATCTATTAATTAAAGATATCAACACATATACCCAGTCCTTTACTGTTTTCCTGTTGTTTGGATTCCAGAGACTGTCCATTGAGAATGCCTGTGTGACCGATGTGGATCGTGTTGCTAGAAATGGGTTCATCCACGTTGTAGATAAAGTCATTATACCAGCAACAAAGTCGGTTCTTGAGATTCTAGAGAGTGATATCAATTTCAGGTACGATTAATAAATTAAATTCTTTACTATTTTTATGAATATATATTTATTTCTTCATAAAATATTATAATGAAAATTGAACTAATTCCTTCAATCGCAAAATAACACAAATGCAAAATGTGATTTGGTCTAGGAGTTCACTCTACACTTCGGGTTGGCCATAGGGTGGATATATGACATGTGAATCTAAAGTAAAGAAATCTGAGACACACGTTCTCATCATAACCATTTTGATTTTATAAATGAACACTGTGACGCCTCGGTATTTTTGCTTAGCTTTCTGTTGTTTTGACAAAAATAATTGAATTTTCAGTTCCTTGCACATGGTGATACAATCCTCAGGTTTTGCCTTACCAACCTCAGGCAGGATGACAGTTTTCGCTCCTCTGAATGAGGCCTTTGATTTGATACCAACCGATATCCTCAATGACCTGCTGGATGACCCTGAAGGTCTCAAAAAGGTATATTTAACTTTAATGTTTCCAATCCCAAATAATGTCCACGGTACTTAAAGTAATACTGTTTTTAGAGATACTAGATATGTATGACCTAAGTATGACCTGAATCAACGTAACTGCTATACATACGATTTCTAGGGTTGTTGCTCTACTAATAAATGTTTTTATAGAATGCTAAAACGAAAGGATTACTTAAAAAATGTTTTGCACGACAGTTTTTCGATGTGTTAGGTAGTTTATAAATTTAATGACTCGGACGCAAATGACTCATTGAATTTTAAATTCAAAAAGCCTAAATAATTGAAATAATCCAACTTATCGATAATTTTAGGCGTCTCAGGTCCAAACGTACAGTATCTCTCTTATTAAATGTGTTATATGGCCATGATCTTAATTTTTATTCAAGTGGTTTCACGCTTTCACAATTATGACGTTTCAAACAGTTTTATAATTATATGTTTAAATAGCTCTGATACTACTAGTTTCTGTTATTAGATTTAAATATATATATTTATCTAAGTGCTAAACCTAATGGGAATAAAACTCCGAATAACATCTAAAAAGTCCCAAATTAAGAACCTAAGGGTTAAACAAACAAGGTCCAAATCCACTCTCATTGGCATTTTAGTCAGTGCTTAATAACTTTGCTAGGTTATTTATATTGTTAGTACCTCAGTTGAAATACTCGATTTTGATTGGTCAACGAGCGGTGAATAATTTTAACTGTACACCGCGCAATGCATTGCCGGTGAATAATATTCCCAGCATTCCACTAAAATGACGTCATTATCAGACGATAAAATGGCCGCCGCTAGCACTAGCCGTTTCAAAAATGTTGAAGATGAGGATATTATTAGTCTCTTACAAAGCTTTTAGTGGACTTCGCCCAGGAGAGTAATTTGACTCCATTGAGTGAACTTACTGCCGTATGAACGTCTCGAGGGTCTGGATCCAACTTCAAGTCAACTTCAAGGGTCAGAAAAATCTAAGATATTCTTCGGACTAACAAAACAATTATAGACCTCTCCATTCGGTTTACTGTCAAAATTATATCCCTCGACTGTAAACCTCGACCTACGGTCTCGGTTTACAGTCTCGGGATATAATTTTGACAGTAAACCTCTGGAGAGGTCAATAATTGTATACTGTATATATGTATATTGACTGTGCATGTATATTGCTGCCTGAGGATTTGAATTAGTTGCAACATATATGAAATCATCTTATGTTTTTATTTAAATTTTATTATATTTATTACGTGTGCCGTGCGTTGACTTTTCAATATTGTATATTATATGAACACGAATATTTCTAGACTGTTGGAGGCCACGTCGTCCCCGATATGCTGTATTCCAGTTGTGCCTTCAACCGTGAAAGGGTTGTCTACCCATTGGAAACCATGGCGGGTTCCACAACCACCGTGCGCAATAACGATGGAAGGTTGTCATTCGGCAAAGCTAAGGTGGTAACTGCTGACATTATGGCTACAGATGGTATTATACACATCGTTGACAAGGTCATCACACCATGAAGGTCATTTTAACACGACACATCATTTTATAACTGATTCCGATGAAGCTACAGCGAGAGCTTGAAAAGTGGCGCATATTATGAGATGTATCAATGCTAAAACAATAATACATGTGCAGTTTCGACTAAGGCGAGTTCAGAGCGATTTAGTTATCCTAAATAAGACATTTTTCTCCCCTTTGATTTGAGACAAAGGACAATTTGAATTGATTATATGTAGAGGTATATGAACGAGTTCTTGATTGTACATAAGAATGGAATAAACTACCTAAAGTAGGCTATGTGATCAGCAAAAATTGAGTTGAATTATTCTTTAATCCCACAGAAATGTTATCACACGATATCACATTCTCTTTTATTGCATCTATAATAACATAATATTAAAGGAAATAGAAGGGATGGAGCTCAATTATAGGAATGAGTAGAAAAATGGCAAAAATGGCGTAACCCACTCTTTTGCTTTATTGTAATGTCAGGATAATCATGTCATGGACATTTTAATATAAAACCATGCATATACACTCGATTAGTAATTAATTCCCTGGGTGTATAACTAGGCTACCTCAAGGAAGTATCATTGAATATTGGACACAGTGCATATATTTCTTGCCTCAATCGATTCTAAACACCACCAGAAACGTTCCCCAAATGGACAAAAAGTAGCGGCTGTCTCAAATTGCAGCGGTATACACTTCATTTTTTAAATCGGCCAGTATTTCAAAATGTATGTCATCAACTTCTGGAATTATTTCTCATGTATACTTTTAAGAAATCAAACATGCTTATCTGCATATAAATGTAACACAGAATGGAATTCATCATTATTATGGCAATAATGAAAGTGTGAGTTCTGTCACAAACTACATTTTAAATGGAATGACGTGTCGCAAAATGCTCGCGCACGCATTGTTACACATTTTGTGGCGTAATCCAGAGGATCCTCGCTTTTAACATGATAGAATGAGACGTTTTTGAGAAAAATGTACACACATGAAAATCCTTTCGTCCTCCACATTTACCTCTATATCTCAAAACATTTTAGACGAATAACTCTGATATCATATATATATTGTTAATGGGCTAGGAGCATCATAAAACACGAATCAATTGATATTTTAGGTGAAATAAATATACGTGTTGCTGTGCTTGAAAATAGGCGAATGGCGTAAATTAGCCATATTTTAATGAATTTTGAAAACCTTTCGTCCTCCACTTTTCCACATACAACAGAAAACACATACTTTTGTGAACATAATCAACTATTTATTAATAAACTAGAGTTTAGGAGCAAAATAATCATGTATGATTTATTAAAAATTGATCTCGTATTTTTTGTTTAATGTACACCTGAAAAGTTGAAGGTAGCAAAAAATGAGCAAAAAAGGTCGCTGTCAACAGATTCTATTTTTCAGACTCTATGACGTCACAATATGGGACGCTTACTAAAATTCATCCTTTGAAATAAAACTTCTATCTACCTTTATCAAGACGAAAAATAAGTATAATAGTCATATATTGTTTGAGTTATGAGCGTTTAAAGACGAAAAATAATTCAAAATGTAACGTGTCAACATGGGATATTTGCCAGATGTTTTGGTAAAAAACTCTTTTTTAAAAACGAACGCGCAAGAATCGTGAACGGAGTGTAGTTGATCTAAAATCTTCATCGAAACAGCTTTAAAATGATATATAACTTTAATTAGAATATTATCTTATAATTCGGGGAATCAAAGTTACATTCACGCGATACCCTTAAAAACAAATGCGCCACCTTTTTGCGACACGTCAATGTGTTCCTGGATGATTACCCACAATGTAACACCTTTTCTTTTTATTGGTCAATATTCTTTTTAATAATATTATAAATATATGAATGTGTGAAAACTGTACACATTCCTTAATCCACAGAATTTTCTCTTTGAGGGATTTGCCATAGAAATCCAATGGTACAGTTCCAAACAGATTTTGAGATAACAGGAAAGTAAATCTTTAATACATTTATATGGGAAATTCCTCAAAGAGAAAATTCTAGGGATTAAGGAATGTGTACGGTTTACACAATTTGAGAAATTTTTGGCATACATAAAGCCTATTTAAAACAGCATTTATATAATTCAAAAGCGTTGATTATCAATGATTCCCAGCCCTCTGAAGTTTGAAAAATTAAATACCTGAGTGTTAATCCATAGATAATCCTTGAAAACTATACATATATTTTGGTATTATATGATGCAATCTTAGAGTCAATAAAATGTTTTAAAGTGTATTGATGTTTTTTTGGATGAAAAACATAAGCGAAATGCATGAAAAAACTCCCCAAATTCATTCGACAAACAACTCCCACTCCTTTTAGGTATACCCTTTGAAGACCCCTATAAATCAAAATCTATGAACATATTTGTACCATTAATTGTTTTCTAGCTCAGAGAAGTAATGTATGATATATCCTGGTTTGGTTTTCTGGTAGTTTTAGCATTCTTTGTTTGTAGGTATGTCTTCATAGGCCTGCAATCGATTTAATCGAAGCATATCATGAGAAGGCTCATATCATTCTACTGGTATATGCATAATTGAAGATTAGTCGTTTGATGTTTGACATATTCCGGGCTGACTATCTGGTAATTTTAATCATCTAAGACGTTAAATCATTGTATTACTGTTTCATACTGGTCTAATCATTGAATATACTTCATTTACAAGGTCTAACATTGAAGTATCCAATATGACATTTTCTGAGAAATTCAAGAAGGATTCAGAATGAAATAAACCACAACATTGGATCGACCTTGATGTGGTCTCGGATGACCCAAGCCAAAAGAAAGGAAATTGGTAGCTTATATCATCCCATCAACTCAATGTGGTAATGTGAGGCGAGCCCAGGGAATTCTCTATTTATAGTTCATCAGCGCCTGGACGCATGCGCATTTTTATACTATATCGGATTCAAAGAAACACTGATGATTGATGATGATGATGATTAAATAATTTTTTATTCAAATTTTTGATGTGGACCGTTTTGTTATCAATAAAAAGATGTTCGATGCTGTATTCAGTCTCACACTTTGCTTTCGGATCGCTTTTTAAAATTGATTTCAATTTCTTTGGGATGGAAGATATTAGGTTGATGTAATCTAAGAAGTTGACACTTACCTCAAGCTTGTATTTGAAATCATTCAGTGCCATAAAACCACCATTCTCATTGAGTACTATAAATCATATATTTGAACAACCCCCATTTCAAAAGGCTTTTTTTAAATACCTGTTTACCTTCCATAAGTATGTATTTATTATGCCATAGTATCTCGCTCTTTACCTCAGAACTGTTTTTGGTTCATCCGTCTCATTTTCCGTTGAATAATACAAAAGAGCATTCACATAGAAATCGGGGAATTTTTGTTTAAAGAGGCGTAAGAATAACTTTGATTATACAGTTATGTTATTTAAATCATTTTCCATGACTTTTTAAAAAAATTGGGCCAAATCTCCATTGATGCAATGTTTAAATTCTCTAAAAACCTTGGTTTATTAGTTTAACAACCCAAATGATGATGATAAATCACAATGATATAACAATCAAGTTGTAAACTGATTCACCGAACACTCATTCATTTTTCAGCTATTTAGAAACTATATTTTAAGTTATCAATTTATGATGCGTAATGTTAAGATGAAATAAACCCCTTAAATGACCAACCGCACATTTAAGGTGCGCTTCCTCTTCGATTCATTACCTGCATCGGTAACGTTGAGACGTAGAAGAGATAGGAGAACCCCTTATCCTAACCTAGTTTTGAAATGTGACCCTGCACTTTACACTGGAAGAAAAAACGGGAGTTTTACAAAATGGTGTCTAATGGATGTGCTGAAGGAGCATTGTGTATTATAAGTGTTGTGCTGGGAAAAAGTGACGATGTAGTAACTAGTGGTAAGCAAGGTTACAAAATACACCGATTTATGCATCTTTAATTACATGCAATGATAAGGAGTTACACAAGGTGTTACAGATTATTTGGTAACACAGCAAAAACATTTTTACTTCTGAAGAGTTGATGCCCCAAGAATTCAGGAAATATATAGTTTATGCCTAGGTCATATAGAGCCGGGCGCGATCGGCCGGTTAGTTACTGTGAAATCGGGCGATTGCCGGTGTAAAAGGGTAGGAGGTCCTATTAAATTATGGTCCTACTTTCCATTGATTTATATGGTGACCTAAATACAACTCTTTCCCTTATTATCGTATCCACAATCAGGGCCAGTAAGGGCTTTTAAGAAAGGGGACCATAATCCCCAGGGGACCATATTTTCTTTCACACCTGGGTCTTTTCTCCGATATCTTATGTTCATCATGTGTAAGCTCACACATCGTACGGCGGCCGCAAACAATACATGGACATCGAACGATGATCGGACGATTTCCGTATGGAACCCGTCTGGCCATCTTCATCTGATTTAAACTTTATAATACAGATATTTGAAATACATTTTGACTTGCGAAAACTTTAATATAACTATTTACTCATTAGAATCAAGTCTTATTTATTTATTGAAATCACAGGATGACCGTACGATGACACCGATAGCCGTAAGATAATCGTACGATGACCGTACGGGAGCCGGCAAAGTAGGCTCCGATGAGTTTCTTCGATATAGTGAGACATTGGCAACTTTTACGTCCGAGATAAATTCTCCCGGCATCCTAGGATGTCTAGAAATCGGCCGAATGTTGCCCGTGATCGGCCGGCCCCCGCACGATGAATCGCAGCTTTTGTGAGCTATTAGGCATAATGGGGTTTCTGGTGCTCTTTATGTTTCAATATAAGTTAACAAACAGACAGTCAAATTTATCGAAAAAAACTAAAACATTTTATTGGTTTTGAACACTCAAGGCTTAGGTGCGATGATCTCGTCAACGATGTGTATTATACCATATGTAGCCATAATAATATCATCGGTAACCTTGTATGGTTTTCAAAGGGTAGATTGCGCGTTCGGTATACTTTCATACAGCACATCAAGATCCACTTGGTTCCCAATAGTCTACAAATATGATATACCTTTATTTGTACCAATGATAACAATGACAATAGGTGTATAATGCACGTTGATAAAAATATTTATCCCACGCTTAATGTGTTATCTGTACAATAACAGCTATTGATATTTCTGATATTATTGAAATCCGTGTGATATTTTCCAGAAAATCGTTTATCAAACTCATATGCGTGTGATATCGTTTATCTCACGCATATCCGTGTGATATCACATTTGCATTTCGCGCCACAATATTGTTGGAAATTAGGTCAGATAATTTATTCTCTTTTGAGAAAATAGGTCCGTTAATTTATACTCTTTAAGTTTCATTGGTGTATTGAATTACGATTGTGTATATAATTTGATTAGAAGGCTGCTAAATAACGATTAAAAATGGTATTTATGACGAACTATATCGTGTAGTTGTGCATATTACTGCGCAGTGAGTAAAGTACAAATCAAAATGGCCGGTGCAAATTTGTCTGACGAAGAATTGGCGAATTTCGACATTCACACGGGAAACTCTGACGTTTCCGATGAAAATCAAGAGAGCAGTTATAACAGTGAGTTTGACAGATTCGGGAATGAGGATGTTAATACATTCATTGCCATATCAAAAGAACAAAAACACATTGCGAAAAACAGCGAGCGATATGAAAATACTTCGTGAATTCCTGAACATCACATCACAAGGTGATTGTAATCATGGGATAAACCCAATATCACATAATTTCTCGTGATATCATTTTATCGCCTCGTAGATATCAAATATCAACACTCATTCGCTTCGCTCACTCGTGTTGATATTTGATATCAACTCGGCGATAAAAATGATATCACTCAAAATGATGTGATATTCTGTATTTATCCTACACTTAGTGTGCTAAATGTATAATAAATTCAAAAAATTAATTTGATATTTATTGGCAAAATGAATAACTGGAAGATGTCGTGATGATATACTCCGGGCGGAGGATATCGTGACGATATACTTCGGAAAACCCAATATGCGGAGGATATTGTGACAATATACTCCGCTTGTTAATTTCCCGCCAAATTGACTCTATTTGGCATGAAATTCATTTTGCAATGAAATTATACATTTAATACACTCCTTTTAAGTGTAGGATAATAAGAACATCCTATGATTTTTTTTCAGAATATCATTTTAATCTACTCGGTGATATTGATATATGCACTTGTTTGCTTTGCTCTCTCGTGCAGATATCAATATCACCTCGTAGATAAAAAGGATATTGCTCAAAATCATAGTATATCCTATAGATATTCAGTTCTTTTGCCATATACCTCGTATTCAGATTTACATCCTATCTTGCATACCTCCCTTATGGGGATTTTATTTGGATTTAATTGTGTTTGCTCTCTGTACTTATTTATTACTTTATGTCAGACGATTCTGTACTCATGCAGGATATTTTTCATTTAAATAATTTGATTTGTTTCATTTGGGGACAGTGTGCTAAATGACAGGTTGTGACATTTTGCATGTCGATGCCTTGTTTATCAATTATCATCATGGTGTGATATTCTTCCAAATCGTAGTCTGTCGTAGTGTATGTAGTATGTACCTCATCTAAGTGACTTTTTCCTGTTACCCTACAGCATTGTTTTGTGGATTCAGAACAACAACAACAAACTTTATCACAACAGTTGAACACCAGGTCTTGATTAATGTCATCCAGCCGAGGAAATCCTTCAGCAAATATAATCATATTAAACCTTATTGTCATAGTTTTTTATGTTGTTATGTCTGGTATATAAGATTATATGGATTTATTATATCGTGGATTTAAATTGAACCGTTTGGAACAACCATTTATTAGGACTTAGGTGAAAATTCATTTACCTGTCACACATAGTTGTATAGATGAGACGATCATTCCAAATATAATCGTCAATAATGTACCAAACCCAGCCTGCCACATGTAAGAAAGTCTGTAAAGAGTCATTATGCTGCTGTTCTCGGGTGATCTGAAGCATAAGTCGGGCTCAACTGTGACTTATTACTTACTTATTTCATGGCAATCCTTCAAAGAATAAATCATCTGGGAAATAATCACACTACCCTACCACGTGACCACATTTAAAAATGATACAGGGTACGGTTAAGTTGCAAATGGAGCGGGTATTCTCTATCTTTGTCCATTGGGCTTTTCTGGTAATAATACGTTGCAGACTGCTCGATGAATCTATACAATGTATAGTAGAACACTTAGAATATGTGTTAAATCTAGTATACATTCAGAACTATGGAAATAAACAAACGTCCTCCATTTGCAACTTCCCTGTAGCCTGTACTTCTTTTAAAGGAACACAGGATACAGTATGGGGGTATAGTAGTGTGATAATAGAGAAGTGAACTTTAGACTTGTCACATCTTAATTTTCAATAACTCCTACATTTGGCACTTTTTCAGAAAATTAAATCTTGATCAATACTGAAACATTTCTGAAGCGTTTTTTTAGAAGACTGCTTCGGATAATTCATTTTCTCTTTAAATTGAAATTTTGTTAGAGTTCATACAGTACTTGATTAAATAAATAAATAAATACAAGTAAGGAGGCATACGTGTAGAATATATACTGTTATATAGAGTAAAATTGTGAATGTTTAGTACTGTAGACACTAATGGAAAACGTCGACAATGTTTAGAATAAAAACAAAATGACGCATTAAAGGGTAAAAATTATGTTGGACTGGGTCCTTACTCCGATAGTTGAGTAGTTGAAACAAAACTTGGCCACTCTGTCGTTAGATTAGTTACTATGGCAACGGCTGTTGCATTCGCCAATGGGCACCCTTCTACAGATGACGGAAGTGCAGTACTGGGACCCGGATGTAAAAATGCACCTATCCCTATCCAAGTTGTAAAACCCATGCTGACGAGTGTGCCAATGAGAGCCCCCTGAAAATAATTGCATGCTGACACAGATAATTTCTTTTATTCTATTTGTTTCAAAAATTGTTCATGGAATATATATCAAAACAAACTTATCATATATATATATGTGAACATAACCTTATTAAAGCATAAACTTACAGATTTTGTTTCTGAAATGGCGGGAAATTCAAATATTTAACAAGAACACAAATGTGTACAACATGTCCCCACCAATGGGCGATCCCGTCAAATGGTTATCTTGAAAAGGAGTAGACGAGACTTTACCGACACAATTTTAGGACGGAAAATCTAAAATGGCCACCTCAAAATTTACTCAGAATGCCAAAACATTAGTCAGTTCTAGATTTTCATACTAAGAACCATCCCTGAAAACTTGAAATTGATCCGTCGAACAGTTAACCGGAAAACGCGTAAACAAGACTTTACAGACAAGATTTTAGGATGGAAAATCGAAAATGGCTGCCTTGACATTTACCAAGAATGCCAAAAACTAATCAGTTCTAGATTTTCATACAAAGAATCATCCCTGAAAATTTGAAATTGATCTATCAAAGGGTTCACCTGAAAACGCGTAGACAAGACTTTATATACAGACAAGATTTTAGGAAGGAAAATCCAAAATGGCTGCCTTGACATTTACCAAGAATGCCGAAAAACTAATCAGATCTAGATCTTTATATTAAGAATCATTCCTCAAAATTTGAAATTGATCTACAAAACGGTTCACCTGAAAACGCGTAGACAAGACTTTACAGACAAGATTTTAAGACGGAAAATCCAAAATGGTTGCCTTGACATTTATCTAGAATGCCAAAAAACGAATCAGTCCTAGATTTGTATACTAAAAATCTACCCTGAAAATTTGAAATTGATCTATCAAACGGTTCACCTGAAAATGCGTGAACAAGACTTTACAGACAAGATTTTAGGATGGAAAATCCAAAACGGCTGCCTTGACATTTACCCAGAATGCCAAAAAACTAATCAGATCTAGATTTTCATACTAAGAAGTAAGAACCATCCCTGAAAATTTGAAATTAATCTACAAAACGGATCACCTGAAAATGCGTAGACAAGACTTTGCAGACAAGATTTTAGGATGGAAAAATACAAAATGGCTGATTTTTTTGCTGATTTCTTTTTACAAAATTATCGCATATAACTACTGTTAACAATAACATAGGCTTTTACAACAAAGTACACATGAAATTAATAATAAAGCTACTAAATATTTAAAGAATGAAAACTCAAAAACACCTTTCAAATATGATACCGCGCCCTGACTTTTCTTAAGACATTCAAAATGGCTGCCATGACTGGGCTAACAGGTCCAAAACCTAATCAGATGTAGAATGAAGGATTTTAGCATTTGATTTCAAAATTGCCGACAGGAAGTAGGTATCGAATTCAGGTATCCCTGAAAATGTGAAGGTGATATCTGTAGCGGTGATATCTGTAACTGCCGGACGTACGTACGTACGTACGTACGGACGGACAGACGGATGGACGCGCCTAGGACGACAATATGGCCCCACACTATGTGGTGGGGACATAAAAATGATCAGATGAACAGCTTTTTTAAAAAAGTCATATTTTTTTTAAATGTCTCAAATGGTTCTTCCATTCTTAAAAAGTAATATTTGAATGACTAAACTATATTTTCAAACTTTACACGTGTTCTATAAGACATAACAAACGATTGAGGGAGATTCTCTTATAATAAACAAACTGCACATATAACAGCATTATTTGTTATCGAAAGCAACAGAGGACCCAAAAGTCAAGACAGTGGGCGCTAAAAATAGAAAGGTTGATATCAATACCGGTGTTGTGGTCCATGGAAAGAATACCGAGAGAAGAAATAGTCCTGTCATTGGACCAACAGCGATTCCACCGATTCGCACTTGTAAAGTGACCAATGTCGAGCCAACGTATTCAGCTGATAAGGCAATGCCTATAACTAATATCCCGATCACAATTGCTAAAAATATGTAACATTATTTATATATTCATTTTCACTGCATATTTCCTGAAATCATAATACACGAAATACCAATGCCGGGGAGTCTTATTAAGTAAAGTTATTAAAGTGAAATTACTAAGGTTAAAAATGATTGTTCTCTTGTATATTATACATACATGTAGAACTCTCGTTATTTTTTAATTCTGGAACTTACCTATTATTTGGGCCGCATGTTTTCCATTTAGATCAGATATATCCCTTTTGTATATTTTTTTATAAATTGGTTTAATGAAGTCTTCGAGCAAGACTGCTGCCATTGCATTTTGTACGGAGGACATTGTGCTGTAAAATAATACGGTATCACTGGTCCTCACCTAGTTACCCAGACGATACGTCAGTGTATCATCATCATGACGGAACAACTTCCGGGACTCGGTTTCAGCGAGATTTTTTTTATTTTTCGATTTCCACGTACTTTTAAGTCACGTTGTGGATAATAATTTGGCCCGAAATAAAGGAAGATTTTGAGAATGCGTTGATGGTTTTAGGTTTGTTATGTTAACAAAGACGCAATTCATATGTTTAGATTTGTTATATTAACAAAGACGCAATTCATATGTTTAGTCTCCCGATTTTGTTACACTGACGAACAACCAGTGTTACACAGACGAATGTTTGATTTGGAACTGTTGTTAACCTCTTGAATCCCAGGTTCTAAAATAGGTTGAAACCAGATTATTTTCATTTTTGCCAGCTTTTGACATTTTACTACATACATATACAACAGCCGGTGTTCAATTTTGTAAAATTAGACAGCAGTGATCATTTCTAGACATTTTAAAATAATTTTTGTGTAAATTGGATAAAAATTGTTCAAATAAGAGCAGTTTAAGTGGAAGATTTTGTGACGGATTATCTCGTCACTCTGAGTTTCAAGGTCATTTCTGAGGTGACGAGAAATCTCGCCACTTTGGGTAGTCAAGAGGTTAAACTGACGAACCATTGTATTAGGTAACAACCATGAGTATATAGTTAACCTATTTCAGAGAGTCATGAATGTCGCAAATTTAAATGTTACTATAATTGTAGTAGGGTAGAGGGAAGCGCTAAAGATGTAATTACGGACACAGTCAAAGCTTTCGAAAGTTTTTTTATGGCGATAATGTCAACTGTTAGTATTTATTTAGACCCTGTTTAGCCCTCCACTGCTTGATTTCTAGTAAAATAGTGACTTTTCTAGAATAAGTATGGGACTGTCTCTCTGTTCATTTTCCAATTACTAGGTGTGATATATGTTAAAGACCACAACTGACCTGAGAGCTGCACTTGCCACACATGCTACGAGCAAACCAACTGCCCCAGGTGCTGATGATAACATGTCCGTCACAAATAAAGGCATCAGCTAAAATATTTTGATTGATATAATTTGTATCAATGAATTGATAAAATGATATCACATGACAAACTGTGATGTTGGATTATTTTTTGATTACCCCTTGTGTTACATCAATTTCCTTCTTGTACGTGTATGTATTATTGTTGATATCTTGACGAATAATATGTATGATGCTGAATATATCATAGATTACCACACACCTAATTTAATCATCTGACAAACAATTCGGTCAACATGACCAATGGAAAATTCTACAATTAGGTCAGTTTTATATTTAGTTTTATATTTGAGAAATGTGTATACATGTATATACCCTTTTGAGTTAGAGTTAAAAAAGACCAATGAATCGAACATGAATACGCCTTATCTTGACCTTCTCATTAACATTGAACAAGACAACAGTATACATTGTAAGTTGTATGATAAACGAGATGATCTCAACTTTGATATTGTGAATTTTCCCCATTTAGACAGTAATATTCCATTAAATCCAGCATATGGGGTCTATGAATCCCAGCTTATTCGATATGGCAGGGCATGCTCTAAATATTTAGATTTTAAATCAAGACACAATACTTTAGTGATCAAACTGTCAGGTCAAGGTTATAATTCTATAAAGCTTAAGAAATTCTTTCTGGGCTTTGCTGAAAAATACAAATCATTAATTTCGAAGTTTCAAGTTTTACCACTTGAGATGCTGAAGGATGTGGGAATTGTTTAAGACATTGGCAATGAACTCACAATATTTTCACTTGGCACCTTTCGAGGTGAATCCCGGCTATGGCATTAATGGTTGAGAAATAGGGATCGAAACCAGCCATATTTTTCTCCTGATGACCATTGTAAATTATATATTGTGTTTTATGGATTATGACGACGGCTTTTGTGAATGGATGTTGACCCTTTGAAATGCCTATGGACTTGGAGACTGGATTTTATCTATCCCACATCATTTGAGACTGAATGCTCTATCTTGTATGACTACTTATATCTACAACAATTTTTGAGGTTATGAGTATTGGCTATCAATTTCTAATTTTTTCTTCAACATGTATTTTAATGACTTCAGTATGAATGAAATGTCCCTTGGTCTTCTGGTCTTGGATTGTGATATTGATTCTTGAATGGTGGGGGAAAGGGGGTATTAGACGTTGTTTCTTTTCACGTTAGATCATGGTTTTGGGCTATATGGGGTTTGTTTTTCTTGACTGGTATGCACTTAGAGTTTGCTTTTTCTTGCTAAGTTCCATTACAACTTTTGGTCCTTTCCCTTTGGCACTAGAACTTATATATTTTAGTAGCACCTACATTTTCATATGATCAATACTGACCATATCAAAACATTTTTCCAAGTCTTAGGGTACAGCTACAATATATTAGCTACATGATCTGACACGGAATATCCCTGTAACTGCTAATTGAAAAAAGAGTTATCCCGTCTCATTTGGGTGCCACCTTTTGGTACATCTTGTTATCAAAAGGCGATTATCTAATTTTATCAATTATCAAATAAAGATATTTTCACTATTAAAATCACTTTTTGTTCTTTGCTTATATTATTGACTTCTGGAGGTCTAAAAATGTGTTCTAGGCTGCTTGGCCCGTTAATCAAAGTGATACAGCAGGTTGTGGGTTTGAATCCCATGTGCTCCTTGTGTTTATATGTCCTACCTGATAATGACTCCGCACCCTGCCGCTAGTCACAGGATCACACTGGTGATAAACGGCATACATTACAAGTCCAACAAACGTATACAGTGACAAACATACCATCAGTATCACGAGTGATATGTATACTGATCTAAAATTGGTAAAGCATTTATTGAACAGTTTTGAAATAAGAATAGCTTTAGAATTAGGATCAAACGACTGTAAGAATGACAACTTGAAAATAACCAATGCACTAAGTGAATGGTTTTACATCCAATCTTATTCACGGATGAAGAAAATCATTGTACATGTAAAGTAATTCAAATGCTAGTCAGTTTCTCGGGGTTATTTACTTGTTTTCGAATACTGAGTATATCAATCACCGCTCCGATTTAGCACCTTATTCAAGTGTGGATTTCAAAAAATGCACAAACACGTTAAAATAAGTATCCATGGCGATCTGCTATGATTTGACTCTGACAGAAGTGATATGAGCAATCATTCTAGAATAAATGACATACATTTGTGCATCTCTTTTTGAACTGATACTTCCATAACGTTGAATTGTTACTTGGTCACGGAAATAGCCTCCGCCAAACGAGATCACACTTCCTAGACCAAGAGACCAGACTGTATGGCGAACAAAGGGATTTGGGTCCCAGCTAAAAGAATATTACAAATATCAATACGATCAAATACAACCATGTATTACAATCATACCAACATTATAACTATAGATATTATTATAGTCTCATGATTTCCAATTTTTATAAGTGATATACTATTATTTTCTGCTTTCGCCTATTGTTAATCAAAATAAACAAACCACTGTTTTGCATTATTTTGACGGTTCTATCAAGTGCTACTGATTTCAAATGTATTACTTCCATGCCTGAATACGCCCTTCATCATTGTTTATTTGCATAACTTTCTGGAAACCACCAACTTCAATCATTCCTCGAATAACAATTGTTAGTGATCCTGCTATGATTACCAAAGTTTGCAAAACATCAGTCCATACTACTGCACGAATTCCACCCTTTTTATACATGGAAATAACAAAGAAGAATTATTTAAGTGAGGTGATGTGTTGATAATGACTTCAGTAGAATGAAACTTCCCGCGGTGTTATGGTCTCGGAATGTGATGTTGGTCCTTGAATGATGGGGCTGGGGGGGGGGGGGGGGGGTGTTTCTTTCTTTTCATGTTGGATTATGATTTGAGATTGCTTGGACGTGTTTCGTTATGACTGGTGTACTCTTAGATGTTTTCTTTTTCTTGCTGTGTTGTGTAATAATGTTTTTTGCTCCCTTCCCTTCGGCTCTTGCGCATACATATTTCGGTATCTCTCGAATGAGGCAGGTTTCGGGTCAAAGAATCAATCTCATCATCTCGAGTTAAAGGAGGGTTTATTTTAAAAGATTCATCAAGGTAACAAACAATGTTATTCTATAGATTGCTCCATTGTTAAAACACTTACGATAGATGTATATATGGTGCATATTCCACCCATCGCCAGCACTGCTACCCATGTAGGCATCTGAGTCACTAAAATTGTAAAAATAAACATGATATCTCTATATTACAAATTGGGTCAATAAAACATCCATATAAATTTTGACTCAAATTTTGTGAATGTACAATTATATGATTGTATAATTATATAAATCTAAATATCTAAAATTGCCTACAGTAATATGTACAAAACGAAGGGATAAGCGACAATGTATCCAATGTTGAAACGTGAGTTAGATAAATACCATAGCTCAAAAATGTTGATGGGGCATAAAGTTGGATGCCCAGACTAAGGATCTGAAACAAATAATTAATATATCATCGTGGCACAAATAACGGTTTATGTTGATATGTCAATGAATATATAGAGATTATCCTATATAAGGTTCAGGATATTGGAATCATCCCGAGGCTAATATAATATATTTGTCCGAGGGCCGCAGGATAATATGTTTATCCCATACCAATCTTGGTCATCTGGTTCACATTGTTCAGTCGTGGAAATATTTTAGATTATTATATCATTGCTAGAATTTGTGTCCTTTGATTGGCTGATTCAGTACCATGTGATCAAAAATACTAAACCGTATTTCACAGCTCCCTTAATTTTTGAATTATAAAAGACGTATTGCCCGGCGTATTGCCCGCCCGGGAATTCTGAATCGTCCTGTTTCGTCCAGTACAGTTGTGACGTGCATTAAAATGGCAGACGGAAAAAGATTTAAAAGTCTGAATTCTGATGAAACAAACGACATCTTGAGGGATGTGCATTCTAAAAACACTATTAAATCAACGGAAAAGTCTTGGAACATTTTCAAGTGTTATGTGGACGAAAAAGATATCGAAATAGACGTTAAATCTATCGATAAAATCGTTCTGGATGGATTTTTAGAGGATTTTTTTGAACTGCGAACGAAGGATGGGGAATATTACAAGAGTGCCAGTCTGCAAAGTATTCGTCATGGACTCAGTAGGCACATACAAAGTCTACGCAATGATATAAATATCATCAACGACTCTGAATTCACCAGATCAAAGACAGCTTAGCCTATGTTCACAGGTTAAAACAAATGTTATCTATTTCTTTGAAATGCATTTATTGATCGTAGCGAATGTCTAGCAATGATATAATAAAACAAATATTTCATTCTATGTTCGGGCAATACCTGTTGCACTTTCAATGATTTTTGCAGCATGTATTTCCCTCGCCCTTCGGGCTGCGGGCAATACATGCTGCAAAAATCATTGAAAGATGAACAGGTATTGCCCTCCATAGAATGAAATATTTGCTTAATATTCATGTTTTGTTTTCTTTGCCGTGGGCGGATTTTCCTGATCTCACAAATATTCCCGCATTTATGTTCTCGAATTTTTGATTGATTAAGTGAATGCTCCTTCCCTGTTTAAAGTTTAAACCATCACACAGATCCCGATTGTCTGTGTTTTCTCCATTAATTGTCGTTTACAGTCATCACGCGAACGTTACAAATTATAAACAAATATGCGAGCGGCGATTATGACGTACATGTAGCGAGCAGATATACTATATCTGCCCGCTCGGAGCGGGACGTAAAGCAATATCTGCCCGCTGATGAAAATATAAGTTTTTACAAACCGGCTTTATGTACCTGTAACACGTCCAAGTATGGGATAAAAAGGAATTCGTTGTCATGTCAATGTGTGTAAAGACATTTGTTGATATGTCAGTGTATATTAACGCATTCGTTAGTGTATACAAATAGAATTATTATTTTCTAAAATTTGGGAGGGTTGCATTTTCAAGAATATGTTCTGTTCTGTTCTGCTCTGCTCTGCTCTGTTCGGAAATGTTATGTTATGTTATGTTATGTTATGTTATGTTATGTTATGTTATGTTATGCCATGTTATGCTATGTTATGTTATGTTTGTTATGTTATGTTATATTATGTTATGTTATGTAATGTTTGTTATGTTATGTTTGTTATGTTATATTATGTTGTGCTATGTTATGTCTATTTTTATGCTATGTTTTTTTGTTATGGTATGGTCTCGTATCGTAAAGTTATGTTATATTATGTTATGAAAGTAGAACCAATCTACGTTAAACGATGCAACATCTCCCTTACCATCGACTCATGAGTTAACCCGCCACACGGCGAAATTGGCAAAGTATAATATGTGTAGACGAAACCTACTCACCTCTCCTAGAATGAATATAGCCGCACCTATGAGACGCACCACTTTGTTGTACCTCAGTTCAAAATACTGGAAAAATATAGTAAATTAGCACTAAAAATTCTTCTAAATTTGATAATAAAGTCACTCAAGCAATATCGAGAATTGAATCCTGGTCCACTAAATGGAACTTTAAACTTGAAAAAAGAGTCGAAATAGTTTTTCATGATTCTAGAATAAAAACTGTAAAGTAAACATTTCCTATAATGCTTTAATAAAAAGGGAAATATCGCATAAACATTTAGGCTATACTTTTGATGAGCACGTAATGATGAGCAAGTAAACAAGCTTCTGAACCCTCTCAGATCACTTCAAAAGAAACTCAATTCTAATGTCCTCGAAACTATCTTCATGTCTTTCCTTATTTCACGCGTTGTAGGCAGAATCCCAACGACATTTTTTCACACAATCAGTATCATATGTTTTAGAAAATGTACATGTTTGCGACACAATAGCTCAGAAGACAACAGAAACGTCGATTTAATTCCTCACTTTAGTTACAGAAACGGTATGGGTTAAAAGTGCAGATCTTAACTGTTTTTCGAAATACCGTTTCTGTAATTGACTTACATGGGGCTATGCATCATTGACTTAACACGTGGATACCAGCATGTCACATTCCATTGATTATCACAAAAATATAAAAAATACACTATGACCTGAATCGATTGCAAACTTAATAATTTCACAATATGACACAAATGGTCACTATGACTGTATGACCAGGGCTAAAATAGCAAGAAAATATTACGCACTGAACGATATCTAATTGCCGGTCATTAATTGGATCATTGACCGCCATTATGGACAACCACTATGACGTCACAAATTGCTCAGGTCGATATAGTAAATGAATGCCTTCTAAACTAGCACTAAACCCCCTAGAACTGGGCCGGCAAGGTTGTAATAATACGCAATAGACGAAAATATAGTTATTAGCAATGCATCGCTTCGAGTGGTCCATTGATTAAACCAAATTCTCCCACCTTAAAATCATGATTTTGCGCATTGTCGGGACCGACAATAAAGTTTAAACTAGAATCAAGCTGTAAAAAAAGTTAAATGTCCGAATATTTATTATTTTTTTCTAAAAATGGCACATTTAGAAAGTACATGGTCTCAGCTTTACATACATACCTCAAATGGCCACAATGCATATACTTAAACCTACTATATACACCATTGAAGTTGGCATGGCTTCGTTTTTAAAGTACCTTAATATCCAAAAATGGGAAAATTTTACTGTGATAATTCTTGCTCATTCAGCATTTTTTCAAACAATTGAGTTATTTCATGCTCAAAACAGCTGCATTTTCAAACTTTTAACACGTTTTCTACAAAATCTAGCCATATTTGGGGAAATAGATGAGGGCTGAGTCTCTAAAAACTGGCCAAAATGACCTAAAATTTGGTAATCAACTTCAGAGATCTCATGCAAAAATTTTAGACGCAAAATCCCGGAGATTATTTCATTTTTAAATCATAATAGCAATGCCTTTAAAGTGTTACACAGAATGTACTGAAATGTATGTTGCTAAATGCAAATATTTTGAGTCAAATGTGGTCCCCATGTACAAAATTTGCCCCTTTACTCCCCCTTTACGCCAGTTAGGCCCAAGTGTATTGTGACATCATACTCATACCATTGCTACAATGTAGCAATTTACAAATTAATCATGATTACTCTTCCTGTGATACACACTGTTTTTGCATCACGATATTCCCCAGTGTGTTGACTGATTACACGCCAGCTTACTTTGTTACTTACTAAGTACGCAATAACTACCGTCAAAGACCTGCTGGCACCTATTTTTTCGGGATGGTTATGGAATATTACAAGGGCAATACGAGAAGAATTCACTTTATTTTTCGAAAAACAGTTAAGATCTGCACTTTTAACCCAAACCGTTTATGTAACTTAAGTGAGGATGTAAATCGACGATTCTGTTGTCTTCTGAGCTATTTTTTCGCAAACATGTACATTTTCTAAAACATATGATACTGATATACGTTGTGAGAAAAAACGTCGTGGGGATTCTGCCTACAACGCGTGAAATAAGGAAACGAAAAAAAATCGTACCTTCGATGTTCCGACATTTTGTTATCAAAACGGTTCGTTTCGGTAGCCAGCGTAATCGAGTGGATCACCAGTGTCTTAGTAAGCAGTCTCAATTTACGTTATTATTTACCGTAGCAAATTGGAAACTGTATTATTACGACAATAAAATATTTTCATTTCAAATTTACCTCATAAACACTTGTCAACCGTAGTTTGTGATACAATGGAACAAATACATGGGCGGCCAATGGCCCTACGATAGGAGCACATAGGATCCGAAGCCAGTACATAGAACCGTTAACGTACACTTCTGTTGGTATTCCTAGCACAGCTACAGCAGAGAGACTAGTTGCAATAATAGAAAATGCAACTGGAACAAAATGTAATTTTCTGCCTCCGAGGAGAAATTCTTCTATTTGGCCATCTTTTTTATTTCTTCTTGCTTTCCAAGCTGAGAATATTCCTATTGCCATCGAAAGAGCAAGTATTATTGCGAAAACAACATAGTCCGCAGCAGAGGTACCGCTAGACATTTTGAAAATCGGAGTCCGAATTGCTGTTTGCCGTAAAAAAAGTCCTTGTTTTCGCACTAACCAAAACACGAATAAGATAGAGTTGTCTTAATCATGAATAGATTATTGCATTTTACTTAACACATTTACATATTCACATTTTATGCAGGTACAGCATCATACTCAAGTTAAAGATATACAAGGATTGTGTCATTCTATTTATTAACATGCTTCTTTATATATTTATCGGACAATAAAGTTGTTTGGGGGGGTATAGAGAACGGCTCCGCCCATCGATAGTTATTTCAAATCGATGCAAAGCCCTTTAGTTTTACTCCCTACGATGAAAAGTTGAGGATAGGTCGCGGACTTAATCGCTGTAGGATGTCTTGAAAAGCCATGAATACATAATAGCATTTTGGTTAATACATTTACATATTCACATTTTATGCAGGTACAGCATCATACTCAAGTTAAAGATATACCAGGATTGTGTCATTATATTTATTTACATGCTTCTTTATATATTTATCGGACAATAAAGTTGTTTTTTTTTTGGGGGGGGGGGGGTATAGAGAACGGCTCCGCCCATCGATAGTTATTTCAAATCGATACAAGGCCCTTTAGTTTTACTCCCGACGATGAAGAGTTGAGGATAGGTCGCGGATTTATCCCTGTAGGATGTATTGAAAAGCCACGGAACGAATTTATATACATGTATAAAGAAACATAGATTTTACTCTACATACTCTGTCATTTTCATCCTTAGTTGGATATTCACTAGAATTATATTTTTGGCGGTATCAGTAAATCAAAGGGACAATCAGGTCCTACGTGCCTTACATTTTTAAATAGGACTACATGATCTGAATGGATGTGAGGGTTCAATGGATGGTGTTGACAAGAAGTATTAAAGGGTGAATGGAATACAGTGGTGACTGAATTGCCGTTCAGCCAGTATATTGAACTGATATTTTCATTTTTCCTGGAAACATATATATTTCTAGACATTTTAGAAAAAAGTGTAAAACGTTTTACCAAAGGCCTCTTGGAATGCTGTGTGTAGTGTGAATTTGGCTATTATGATCAAGGATTACCGATATTTTGACAATCAAGGTCGTATTTTATCATGTGTGAATTATAGCTGGCCCGATTAAGCCTAGCAAGATTTTTGGACGGTGGTATGCCTCATGCGGAAAACTCGTTTTGCCGTGGTGCTCACGAAGCAATCGTGTCACGTATGCTAGAGGGGTTGGGGTGGCAAAGACCATCATTATAAAGACTGAGCACTAGTGTTCAATTCGATTGAATCTAATACGATTGGCAGAAAGCTTATCATAGTGTTTGTAACACATGCAGATATAGTGAACAGGCAGATGGCGTACCTTAGTCCCTGTATTCGTAACACATACAGACTCATCTGAAAGACTTATCCACAAACATTTATATTATTCGAAACAAACCTGCCCTATTTCCAGACCATCATTACGCCTCAGCTAAACATAAAAAATAAAATACTTTGATGAATTGCATAAAATTTTAGTTTTAATATTTATATATTCGCAAATTTTGCTGGTACATGGATAAATGGCACCATGCAAAGTGTCACATATGTTACAGAGCAAACCTAGAATCTAACCAATTTAGTGAAGAATATGGCTTTTGAACAGGAGATTAAAGGAGTACGTAGGTTATCGCAAACAATTTCAGAAGGTTATATCTTGGATTATTACTATTTTCTGACAATAAAGACAAGTTTATCTTTTAGATCAATTCATTATCTCAAACAAAAGTATATACAGTAATAATAAAGTCAAACAAACTCGGAGATATTTAACTAGCAATTAACTCATCAACACGTCAACACACTTTTCAAAGATGTTGACCTCATTTTCACCAAAAATGCAATCATTTTTTACATTGTTTAATGCATTACTATTCTTTATTTTAATGTATCAAATATATCTTGAAAGAAAAACTTAATTGCTTTAAGATAAGTGTTCCCCATGTTATTTCTCCATTGGTTTCAGTTCATTTTGGTCATCCAAATATCCTAGATTTGAGTAGAAATAATCTTGATTTAGGTCATTAAAAATTCCCAATTCAGTCAAACTGATGTAATATTTGGAATCTACATGTAAAATTACATTTAAAAATGTGGTTTTGAAAAGAGTTTATCAACTTTAAAAATTTAATTTTGTTTGAAAATGTGACTTCTAGGTCGGGGAGATTCCCCATAGACCCAATGTTGTAAAACCACAATAAGTGAAATATCTTTTCTTGTGTTGGGTAGATAATGTTTTCCTTTACTGGACATATTTTAATTTGTATAACTCTATCAGATACATAAAGATAATTTGAAAAGTGAACCTCTAAAACTGATGCATATTCAAGTTTAAGGGAATTTTGTAATACCCTGCCTGGCAGGGCCTGCCATGTTAATTCCCCCGAATCAGCCACCTGGTGGCGAAACTGGTAACTACCTACTCGCACCTGAGTAATTCAGTATCTTTAAAGTCCCTGGAGCAATCAACTTTTCCTTTTAGGAAATCGAACATGTCTCAAAGCACATTCTAATTATGCATTCAACAATATGATAAAAGGTTGCATTTTGGGTTCAAATTAGGTCAACATTTTTGAAAAAGTATATTGATTGGTCCATTGCCCCTTCAATATCACTTAGGTCTGATTACTAAAATTATCATTATGTATTCCATACCTACTAAGGTTCTAGGTAAATGACGAGCGGGAATATATACTGTATCTAGGGATCTATCACCGAGGAGCGGGGCGGGATGGATACAGCCTGTATCCATCCCGGTCCCGCTAAAAAAAATGTTTTTCCTTTTTTTCAACATTTTTTCAAAAAAATATTTTCAATTTTTTTTTCAAATTTTTTTTTCAATTTTTTCACATTTTTCTCATTTTTTCAATTTTTTTTTCACATTTTTGGGAAATCTCGCAATCTTTAAGAACAAGAAAACGTGTACCGTATGTTTTGGAATTTTGGAACTTTATAAGGTATGATGTACCTAGAACCTCAGTAGGTATGAAATACATCTGTTATGTACGGTCGGTTTTGAATACAGGATTTATCCCACGGGAAATATGTGTATCTCCCTCGATCCCTGCGGTCCCTCGGGAGATACACATATTTCCCTTGGGATAAACCCTGTATCCAAAACCTCCCAGTACATAACCCTTATATATACTTTTCTTGAAGATAATGAATGGATCTAAAAGATACACTCATGTTCATGATCAGAAAATATTCCTAACTCAAGTTAAAATCGTTTGAAATTGTTTGCGATAACCTACACTCCCCTCCATAAGTTTGGCAACCTTTTTTCTCCATTGAACTACGTGTTAAAGCCTCTTTACGTTTGAATTTTTATTTACTTAACCGGCGATGAAATAACTTATGATATTGATGGAAACTTAACTTGACTTTATTTCCAATACCTCCAAATTTTCTCAATTTTTTTCCTCAATTACAATAGGTCGAAAATTGATGATAAATTTGATGAATTTTTGAAAATCGTCATTCTCATGTAATCCAATGGGAAATGGAGGGTTCAGGGCAAATCAGAAATCAGGATATCTTTTCAGTAAAAGATTCAGGAAAAAATATTTTCATATAGAAAATTGAATTGTCTAACATTTTTGAACACTAAGTGTTTAGTTTATTTGATGAATATTAAAGTTACAGCGCTTCAAAGTCATTTTTGAAAATTATTTTTCGCCTCCTGTGTTATTTCAATGGGAGAGGTTTTTTGAAAAACAATTTTGACTTTAAAGCCCTATAACTTTGTTGAACCTGAAGAAACATATCAATTTTTTGTTAAATAAAGTTCGCAAATTCAATTACCTGCCTAACTCGTATTTTTTGCAAGGACTCGGATGGATGGATATTCTGTCATATGACTTGCGGCAAACCTACCATTTCCCATTGGTGAACATGGGCATGTCGATTTTCGAAAATTCATCAAATTCATCATCAATTTTCGACCTATTGTAATTGAGGAAAAAATTGAGAAAATTTGGAGGTATTGGAATTAAGGTCAAATTACGTTTCCATCAATAGTATAAGTATTTTCATCGCAGGTTAAGTAAATAAAAATTCAAAGGTAAAGAGGCTTTAACACGTAGTTCAATGGGGGGAAAAGGTTGCCAAACTTATGGAGGGGAGTGTACGTGCTCCTTTGGTTTTCGTAGCTTTTGATTACGTCTAACCTAAAAGCTTTTTCGAAATGACCCTCGTGATTTTAAGTTACTGGGGTAATTTATTTTTCCAAATAAAACACACGCACATTTTCGTCTGAAGTCTTTCTTTATATTACTCAGGCCCTTAGCCAGGCTGTGTGCGTGTGTGGGGGGGGGGATTGGAGGGTCGTGCGATCTTGAACAATATTCTTTCTATTTGACCTTCAAATTGACCATTTTTTTTCAAATCGTCTACAAGTTATTAGAAGTTCAAATTTGACATTAGATATGAGATTCGACCTTCATTGACCTTCTCAAGATCAGAAAGGGTCAAAAAGGTATTTTTCAACTTGCTTCAAATTATATATATATAAGCACTAGTGCCAAAGGGAAAGGACCAAAAGTTGTAATGGAACTTAGCAAGAAAAAGCAAACTCTAAGTGCATACCAGTCAAGAAAAACAAACCCCATATAGCCCAAAACCATGATCTAACGTGAAAAGAAACAATGTCTAATACCCCCTTTCCCCCACCATTCAAGAATCAATATCACAATCCAAGACCAGAAGACCAAGGGACATTTCATTCATACTGAAGTCATTACAAATTACAATACATGTTGAAAAAAATTTAGAAATTGATAGCCAATTGATAGACAATACTCATTACCTCAAAAATTGTTGTAGATACAAGTACTCATACAAGATAGAGCATTCAGTCTCAAATGATGTGGGATAGATAAAATCCAGTCTCCAAGTCCATAGGCGTTTCAAAGTGTCAACATCCATTCACAAAAGCCGTCGCCATAATCCATAAAACACAATAATTCACAATGGTCATCAGGAGAAAACTATGGCTGGTTTCGATCCCTATTTTTCAACCATTAATGCCATAGCCGGGATCCACCTCATTGCCAATGTCTTAAACAATTCCCACATCCTTCAGCATCTCAAGTGGTAAAACTTGAAACTTCGAAATTAATGATTTGTATTTTTCAGCAAAGCCCAGAAAGAATATCTTAAGCTTTATAAAATTATAACATTGACCTAACAGTTTGAACTAAAGTATTGTGTCTTGACTTAAAATCTAAATATTTAGAGCATGTCCTGCCATATCTAAGAAAAAAAGGTCTTTTTTTCAACTAGCTTCAAATTGATCATTTTTTTGCAAAATCATCTACAAGTTCTCAGAAGTTCAGAAATTCTCAGATTTTTTTTTCAAATCGTCTACAAGTTATTAGAAGTTCAAATTTGACATTAGATATGAGATTCGACCTTCATATCAGAAGTTCAAATATGACATTAGATATGAGATTCGACCTTCATTGACCTTCTCAAGATCAAAAACGGTCAAAAAGGTATTTTTCAACTTGTTTCAAATTGACCAATTCTTTTTTCAAAATCATCTAGAAGTTCTCAAAAGTTCAAATCTGACTATAGATTTGACCTTCAATGACATTCTCAAGGTCAAAAAAATATTTAACCTTCTCAAGGTCAAAAGGGTCTTTTTTCAACTAGCTTCAAATTGATCTTTTTTCAAAATCATCTACAAGTTCTCAGAAGTTCAAATCTGACGTTAGATTTGATATTTCACCTTCAATGACCTTGTCAGAGTCCAAAAGGTCTTTTTCAACTTGTTTCAAATTGACCAATTTTTATTTTTAAAATCATCTACAAGTTCTCGGAAATTCAAATCTGATCTTATAAATTCAAGATTGATCTTATAATATTGTGAGCAACTAGGTGGTGGCATTTCGTCATGTTAATGCCTTGCTTTCGTCTCCCACCCTCTTAATTTTCAGGATCGCGAATCGTATTCACCCAGACTCAATAAAACCGTGCCTTTGGAATTTGATAAAAATTAACTTCCTTCAAAGAGTTTGAGTTCCGGTTGATAATGTAACAATATGAATGTAGTATGCAAACTCAAAATTGTTTTAAGTTAACTTTTAATTTAAAAAAGTTATGGTTAATTGAATTTTATCTTTCTTTGTCTAATATTGGGCAAAAAAACATCCGTTACTAGCAGGTTATCATTCAATTTCTCTCTTTTGCGAATGACACTTTGATGTGTGGAAGAAACTCCGACTTGCAAATGATGGAGAAAATGTTACTCTGTTTTACCAAACGATAGCTTTTGGTAATCTATTTAATATAACTTCAGCAAAAGAAAGAAATTAAAATGCACAAGCAACAAAACTTGTCCATACGTATTTTTTTGTATTTCGATTATGGATACATATCATTTCAAAACAAGGAAATAGGCTTGTATCAACAAAAATATACATTCCCCTCCGAATTAAACAAAAAATCTAGATAACGTATGTTACATTTTGTGAACCGTGATCAAATAGCTCTTATTATTATTATATATATAACATCTCATATATGTCTACATTGTTTAGGAGATAGTCAAACGAAGCTTTCTGTTCAAATGTGATTTTATATGTACTCATCAAAATCGCATTCACAACACCGCGCTTTCAACACGTCTTTGCTGATGTATGTTTCATTTTCATGAGAAATATTTTTTTGATCTTATCATTCTTGTAAAAAGAGTCTTTGTGTCAGATCTATAAAACGTCTTTCTGTACAAATGTCTATTTGGATCGGTATAAAGTCAAACAACGCTTTTTCTTCTGATAGATTCTCAAAGCTGCATTCATCACTTAACTGTAGCCTACAAAATATCTTTGTTATGTATGTTTCATTTACATAAAGATCTGATCTATATTTTCCATACCATACTTGTCTAAACAATATCATGTTGAACGCCGGGAATATCATCTGTAGTTTGCAAATGCAACATATTTTTCTTTTGTAGCATGCATTGAGACACATATGCTGAGAAATCACTAAAAAATATGAACTTGGACATCTCAGTCGGTAAGTTTACACCTTATATTCCGCTTCTAGTAAACCACCTGGCAGATTTGACCCAGTCTTTATAACCATCCATAGATACGTCACCGAATGGAACTAGTTAAAAAGGAAATCTTATCTGTGAATCTTGCCTACAGGCGAGAAAGAGGACATGGTGTCTTTCCCATCCGCCATTTTTTGTTATCGTTACCGCAAAATTTTGCAAATCGCCTTGTCGTAACTGTCATGCTATAACACCGTGTTACTCGTAAGTTACGACCGTTTCCAAGAATGGTCCCCAGGTCGTTTTATATGCAACTATGCTGGAAATGCATGTTTCTCTCCAGGGATCACTAAAAGAACAATAAGCCATGCAATTCAAATGATATGTCGTATGTGTTTTCAACAAAATTAGCTTTTCCAAGCGCACGTTCACTCATATAATCATTTTGAAAGATACCACGGTTTATCTTTATCTTGTTCCAAGCCCATCCTCTTCGTTTCATGTAGAGATAGTCTTGGAACGAGGTAAGGTTTATCTCAGTTGAACTCCTGCGGCGCACTAGCAATGAGCAGACGCGGCTGACACACGCGAGCAGCCGACAAAGTTGCCTCGGCGTAATTAGTGGTTCAAATGCGTTTGGATGAACTGCTTTTGTTGAAGCAACGCATGAGCTCATTGTTCTTTTTTTATGATAACGAGGGGGAAAACTTATAAATATTATGCAATATACTTGCGCCGCGGGCAGTTCGTTGTTTTAGACCTACATCTGAAAAACACCTGCAAAATTTTAACAAACAACAAGATGTGTCTTTTAATTAATAGAGAAAAGTTAAGATTGTTAGTGATTGTAGTTTCAATATTCGACAATGTGAATCATTGCATTAGATAGAAGACATGAACTCTGTCATGGATACTTTATACATTGATTCATTATTTATTTTTAAAAATGACAACATTTTCCTGAAACATCATACCGCATTTATCAACAATATATAAGGACAAGACGGGGCCAGTGCCATAATTGCAGGCAAAATACCATCTACTACATGCAGCATGACTAAAATGATAGAAGGGGGTATGTGATATTACTGTTGTAGATTACGAGCAGACCATTCCGCATATATCAACAATGTATTAGGACAAGACGGAACCAGTGCCACAATAACAGATATAGTAAAATACCATCTACTACATGCAGCATGACTAAAATGATAGAAGGGGGTATGTGATATTACTGTTGTAGATTACGAGCAGACCATTCCGCATACATTAATAATATTTTAGGACAAGACGGAACCAGTGCCACAATAACAGATATAGTAAAATACCATCTACTACACGCAGCATTGACTAAAATGACAGAAGGGGGTATGTGATATTACTGTTGTAGATTACGAGCAGACCATTCCGCATATATCAACAATGTATTAGGACAAGACGGAACCAGTGCCACAATAACAGATATAGTAAAATACCATCTACTACATGCAGCATGACTAAAATGATAGAAGGGGGTATGTGATATTACTGTTGTAGATTACGAGCAGACCATTCCGCATATATCAACAATGTATTAGGACAAGACGGAACCAGTGCCACAATAACAGATATAGTAAAATACCATCTACTACATGCAGCACTACTAAAATGACAAAAAGGGGGGGGGGTATGTGATATTACTGTTGTAGATTGCGAGCAGACCATTCGGCATACATAAATAATAGATATTAGGACAAGACGGAACCAGTGCCATAATTGCAGTTATAGCAAAATACATGCAGCACGACTAAAATGACAGAAGGGGGTATATGACATTACTGTTGTATATTACGAGAGCACCATTCGGCATATATCAATAATATATTGAGACAAGACGCGACCAGTGCCATGATGGCCGATATAGCAAAAGACAATCTACTACACATCTCTCCATAGCACTCGTTGGATCTTGCAGGAGTGTTTGAATCATAAACTAAACCAAATATTTCCTGAAATACAAGCGCTCCAAGACCTTGGGAAATCAGGGTAATACCCAAGTTTTGTCCGAAATACTTATCGCCAAATAGCTCAATAACAACTACAGGCAGGAATACAAAAAAGCCTCCTTGGACTACCCTAATAAATATAGAAGTGCAAAACAAGGCTAAAAAGTCCTGATTGAAAAATATGAATAGGGTTTGGCAAATGCAATCCATAAAACATGTGAGCAGCATTACCGAAGAGATTGGCAATCGCTTCCAATTTTTTAAGATGTAATCGGGTAAGACTCCCCAAAGAAGGCGACTTACCGAACTACAAATTGGAATGACTGTCGTAAATAACGTTGACTTTGCTTCGAGATGTGCAGATTTTAAAACAGTTGTTATATTCATGGTGAATGATGTACCAATCCCAGTTATGATAAGAATAGTCCAAAATAAAAGATGAAATCTTGCAGTTTTTATAACTTGGCAAAAGTTAAGTTCTGGTTTATTTGAGGATATATCTTCGATCAGCGGAGTCTTGTCATTATGTTTCTCTTTGCTTTTCTTTTTTTTCTCGCTTACTTGTTCCTCAATATTTTCATTTGCAATTTGAGCATCAGTATCCCCAGACATTGGTCTTGTTTCTGTAGGCACTAACGTTAGACCCACAATCCCGAGCAGATTGACAAATACAGAGCAAACAGCGAGGAAAATCATAAACTCTCCAACGTTTTGGTTCTCCTCGTCCATAATATGTCCCCGCACAAAATACCTATCGTATATGAGGCTGAAAATTCCAGGGCCTGCGCCATAAATAGCAAAGGTAAGACCAAGTACTTTTCCTCGGTGACTTCTTTTAAAATTTACCGTGTTTGTTCCAATACTTGAAACACCGGTAAATGCGGTACCGAGCATAGTGATACAATAAATAATGCACACAAGCCAAATGTTTGACGTAAAATATTCTATGAACTTTGTTGTCATCCACATCAGAGTATATCCAAGTCCAGTTAATATAAGAGCCACTATAGATGTCACTTGTGGTCCAAATTTATCGAAAACAATTCCAACGGGAAGACCAACACCGTATGTTCCCATTTGACCCCAAGTTACGATATTTTCGATATCGGTTTGAGTACAGTTCAATTTTTTCTTCAACGCAACTGCGAATATATTCCAACTATTTTGAGTTCCACAAAATAGCATTCCGAGAATTCCTACAAATAATGAAATGTATTTTTGTATTTTTATTGCGCATTCCATGTTAGTGTATTGTCTTAGTATAAGCCTTGCTGTTGTATATACGAATGCATAAGACAATGGGATGGATTTTATACGGGCTTATATTCTTTAATTAGTTCATTTTCGATATACGTTATCGACTATATTCACATTATATGATTTCTTATACACAAAGCTTTTGTGTAATACATTTCAATTTTAAAAGTGTTTTTTGAAGGACATTTCTTTAAATCATGAATTTATTCAACATGGATATTTTTACAAGCGACAATTCACACAACTGCATCGCATTCATTGACACACCATACATATTTGTTTGATGCATACAAAAGTATTTAAGTTGGCAAATTTGATTTTGAACCATTGTTAAAATTTGATTGGTAAAGGATTTTAAATACGTAATTTTATACATGTCTTATTCAATAAAGATAAAGGGTGAGGTAAAAATTGCTCATATTTTTACATTACTATCAATTTTATTAATACACCATTTTCATTTTTTACAATACGGAAACAATTAATTCATCTCGGAAATGTATTTCTGAAGTTGTTTAACATATAAGACCAATATTCAAAATGCGGACGTTACTTTTGGCCCACCCTGTGTACGTATATATTAAAAAACTGTCACTAGCTAAGACTAAAACGTACATTGATGCACACAGAGATTAGAACCACATAATAATAATCAATATCAAAAAATCTTAACACTTAATTCATACCGATATATATAATATAAGAAGTTAATGATAAACTGTAAAATATAATGTTTTATGTTTTCGTTTTCAGTTATATTTATTCTAGATAATTTTGCAAAATAAGAATACAAGTAGCGGCTGTACTTGTACTTGTACTCGACTGTACATTATAATAGCCAAATTTTACTTGTTTAATAAATCTTCGTTTTGACGACCATAAACTCTGTAATAGTGGACTCAGAACTCATAAATCATTGTTATTCCAGTCATTAAATCTCATTTCAGTTTTTTTTATATCCAAACATAAGACACGCATTCCATCCTAGTTTGTTTAATCCATCGGCAATTATTTATCCCATGTAAAGCCAAGTCCTTGACCAGTGCTGTATTCAGATATCAGACTATTACAATATGAAAGCATTTATATGTCAAGTACATGTGTAAAGTGTGCCAAGTGTGTGCCTGCTTGGCATACAACGATTTCTTCATCGTAAATTTGTCTTGGTACACGTGACATACTTTGCATATTGCTGTTTTGTTATCTCAAACACATTTTAGTCGAACATTCGGTCCAGTATTATCACGTTTATATCACATGGCATGGTTATAACCAGTCGTGAAGTAGGCCTCGCAAAAGGAAATTAAAACTCATGGGTACTGTAATAAGATCATAATAATATATGATACTAGGAGTTGGCCTAGTATTTCATTGCTTTTATTCTCGACAATGTAATTTGTTTCGCCAACATGTTATCTAAGGCATTATCTAAGTGCATTGACGTCAGCACCTTCACGTGTGAACGAATGTGCATATCAGTTATAATATATTTATAAAACAGAAAAACATTTATCAGATTTTTTCCAAAATACATTCGACGTAAATACCAACAAATGTGGACTTAGATCAACAGGGTGGGCCAAAAAACGTACATATCATTTTAAAGGTATTTGCATTTTCAAACAATTTTGTATATTGCACTTTGTGAAATCAATAGTAAAGTTCTATTATACTTATTTGGGAGGCCGGTTGCTATTTTAGGGTCTCTAGATTTTAGGGAGAAAATAGTAATTTGTTATTTTATTACTTTTGTATTGTACTGATACGACGTCAGATACTGTACATCGCGGCATTTTACTGCATTTTTACATGCGTACTTACTTTTAAAACCGCAATATCTCGACAGCAAAATCATATTTTTCTACAATTTTTCGTCATCAGTTGAACACGTATGTCCATGAAATATTTTGCCTATCAGAATTCCAAATAACTGATTTGGGACTTTTTAAATGAGAATCACGCAAGCCGTACTATGCGACTTTCTATGCTAAAACCGGGTGTCGACTGTAACATTTTGAAGAAAAGTGATTTTAATTTTAAACGAAAAATGAAGATAACTTTTTCATTTCCCAACGGATCTTTCTCAAATTTTCACAATATTTAAATTCACCATTTTGAAATCTGTGTGATGACGTCATAATATAACAATGCTAACTTAACGCTTATATTATATGCAAAAAAGTGTCGACAGGCAGAATTTCGTACCAACAAGATATATATTTTGATCAATTAAACATTAAATCGCTTGAAAAGTGAAATATTCTTTTTTGATTCCCGAAAGGTATATCATATTCTATATTTTTATCAAAAAACTATATCATTTCGATTAAAATTCAGTCTGTAAGAAGTATAAATTGAAAGAAATATGAAGTGAAGCCATGTGAAAAATTCACAAAATTACGTTTCATTTTTTGAGTTCAAATATTTCTAATTAAGGGATAAACATTCAAAACTTTCCAATGTTTCAGCATGTTCTTTTAAATATACCCCTTACTACATACAATTAATTTCATTAAATTTGAACCAGTATATATTGAGATAGACATCGTTTTATCACCGCAACCCCAAGTGAAGCCTTTACAAAATAAGACGTTACGCCGTTAGCGTATTATATGTTCTCCTTTATTATTCATTGCTTTAAATAAATAAAACTAAATATTCGAGTTAAAATAAATTACAAATAATGCATTTAACAATCCTTAATATCTTCCCGTCTGTGTTTATCAGTTGAATATGACAAGGGGCATTGTGAAAGAGTCGAGAAAGACGGTGCGACAACGAGAGCGCAGGGCCGAAAAGCGCGACAAAGAAGAAAACGGGTAGGGTTTGAAATGTCTACTTTCTGGTGATTCTAATTCTGTATATCGTGACACAACCTTTTTGAATATAGAATTGTATTGAAGCGCACATTAATCTGAACAAAACTTGAAGTTTTTAAGAATATTCCACGAATATTAAAACGTTTGCAATTACTTGAAGGAGCATTGCGCATATTTATCACGTAAATCTTTGCATTTTGTCGGTAAAATGAACAATTACACTGTTACGCCGTGATGTACAGTAGCTGACGTCGTATCACTGCATTAAATGATGTAAACTTACCACTGTAAATAACAATAAAACTAAACTAAACTAAACTAGTAAATCTGCGGCGTTATGCTTATTTTTTCTTAAGTTATAGAATATAATTTTGTTATGTGAATATATGCTTGCATATTTTGTATAATTGTGTGAATAAACTTATTGTTTATGAATTTCAGTGTTGTTTAATAGCATTTTAAACTTTATAACAATGTTAACAATTGCTCAATGTGCCCCCCCCCCATACTTCAATAGTAAGCTTCAAGCGGTAGCGCCATCAATCAATAGCCTTATTGACAGATTTCTGTTGCAATTCATTTTAGCACTTTGGGAATTCTGTGTTTCAGCTCAATCAATACTACTTATTGGATGCTTGTGATTGTACCATTTCCCCGAGATAGCTATATGTATGGTAATCCCCCATATTAGCATCGGGGCTGTCCGGTGGCCAAGCATCTAGATCAAACATATTGACACATCAAAATGATATTCTATAAATAAAAAATTAACATAACTCCGAAGATTTACTAGTTTCTCTCTAAAATCTAGAGACACTAAATAGCAACCCGGTGTAAAAGGGTAGGAGGTCCTATTAATTTATGGTCCTACTCTCCATTGATCTATATGGTGACCTCTTTCCCTTATTATCTTAAACACAACCAGGGCCAGTGAGGGCCTTTAAAAGGGGGACCATAATCCCTGGGGGACCATAATTTCTTTCCCACCTGCCTCCCAAATAAGTATAATAAAACTTTACTATTGATTTCATGACATAGTGCTATATACCAAATTGTTTGAAAATGAATCACCTTTAAAATGATATATAAGGAAATGTACCATATTGAACATAACTATTTTTATCCCGGTGTGAAAGAAATTATGGTCCCCTTTTACACCAGTTTAAAGTTGGGTATTGTTTTTTTGTACTCAACCTGTATATAGAGATTGCACACGTTGACCAGTATGAAGATGCACTTTAATCACAAAAAACATAAAAGTAAACACAAGAAGACAAGGTCATATTTTTAGTATTACAGGCCCGTCCGAAGGGGAGGGCATGGGGGCGACCGTCCCTCCTTTCCCAGGTATTGTCTCAGATATGCTCAGAGAGGATCTTAATTTCAGTTTTTTAGAGGACCCTAGCTTGCATCGCTCCCCACCGCCGACGCTATGCGTGAGACGCGCCTTGTTTGTCGCCAGCACAACCCATCCGTAGGCAAAAGTCGCCATCCCCTTAGCAAATCCTTCGGGCGGGCTTGCATTACACAGCGATATTTTGTACAAGATCATTCAAGTTTAGGCTAAATTAGGATATAGAGCCGGTGATAAACTCGAGTAGAAATCTGACAGTTACCTTAAAAATTGACACAAAAGAATTACAATGTAGGCATAAATAAGGTTTCCCAATTATCTCGTCAAAAACAGAGCAAAATGTCGTCGGTTGCAGACTATGTTGTTTTCGGTGTAATCCTTGCTTTGTCTATGGCAATAGGAATAATTTCAGCTTGGAAAGCAAGAAGAAACAAAAAAGATGGCCAAACTGAAGAATTTCTCCTCGGAGGCAGAAAATTACATTTCATTCCAGTTGCATTCTCTATAATTGCCACTAGTCTCTCTGCTGTAGCTGTGCTAGGAATACCAACAGAAGTGTACGTTAATGGCTCTATGTACTGGCTTAGGAACCTATGTGCTCCCATCATAGGGCCCATAGCCGCCCATGTATTTGTTCCATTGTATCACAAGCTACGATTGACCAGTGTTTATGAGGTAAATTTTAAATGAAGAGAAATAGTTTCAGCTTGCTAATATTTGCCAGGATGACGAAAGATAGTTATGTGTGCGCAAATGTGTTTTCTTTATCCTACACTAGGGTAGAGCTTTTGTACTGAATGAGATTTTTTCCTTAAATGTTTCAGTTCACATTTAGTATACATGTATGTACGATACTGAAAATGTACTGAATTAAAAAAAAACATTTCCAGTACAAATTAATGCAATGAAAAATATACTCACTCTTAAAAATTATTACTTGGATTTCCTTATATTGAGAAATTGTACTACTCATTTTAAGTAAAAAATTACTTAAATAATCTTGAACTACTGAATAATTTTTAAGTAATTTTTAAGTAATTCATTTATGGTGAATTTACTAATGCAAGGAGAGAAATTGAAATACTTACTGTAGTAATTGTAATACTCATTTACATAATTAAGCAATTAAAAAACTCAAAATGACAATATAAGTTAAACCTAAGTAAAATGAAGTAAAACTAAGTATTTAACTTTAAGTAATTTTTATACTTGGGAAATACTCATTGTAATTCATTTTTAAGAGTGCTGAATTGTAAGTACACATTTAAGTTAGCTAGGAAAGGACATAGAGCAATTATGGTACATACCCCCATGGTCAGAATGAATAATTTTTAGGTGCAACATGCGAATACAATGTCACACAACACTTTGCAAATGTGTAAGCGTTTAGACTCACATGGGCTGAGGTTGAGCTCATTAAGTTCAACAAGTGTGTATTGATTTGACATTGGATGTGCTCCAATGATTTCACATGAGGATATCATCATATCCCAATAGGAGCCATTGGTTTCCATTCATTATCACAACAGAAAATACACTATGACCTGAATCTATTGCAAATTAAATAATTCCACAATGTGACGCGAATGGTATATCTCATCAAAAAGTTTTCAATGCAATCGAGCCAGGTCATACTTCAAATAAGAAGATTACACATTTGTTCTTCATTTATCCTACAAAATGGCGATAGAAAAATGCTCCGAAAGCAACCTTTACACTTCTCAAATGTCATGCTACTTATAAGATTATACAATTTATTTCATTAATTGATAACATAGTTGTATAAGATGTCAGGGTGCAAATGAATTTTGAAATAGTTTAGCTGATTTAGCATGTACGCCTTTGATTGAATATTGACCCTAATAAGTGGCCCATTCCATCAATAAAGGGCTGAATATAGGTCAACAGGATACTATAGCTAGTGCACATATAAATGTAATAATAGACGCAGTGTATTAATTTTGAAAAATCAGATGGATTACTTTTTCGTCATCATAAATCATCATTCAGTAAAAATAACGTCTTCATTCCCTGATTTTCTTCTTCCTTCTACACGGCCTTCCAATATTCGAATAAGAAGTAAATCGTTTGACTATTCCTCCGGTCGTTTTTATTTCCATTTTTATACCATTTGATCTAATTATTACACAATTCTTTGAAATGTTGTGCTCAACCAGCGTGAATTTTTGGAATTTACATACAGGGTGGTCCAAAAAAAAGTGAACCCCTGTAACAGGCCATATTTCCCTTATTACTTTCAGGAATCCTTTCATATTTTCACATATTGTAGAGGAAGGTCTAAAATTTTTCTTGGTACCATACATTTTTCTTAGTCTTGAAATTTGCAGAAATTATAAGCCCTAACCAAATATTACTGAAAATGGATAAAATGCGATTTTCAACATCCGCGATTCTTCAACCCTTCAACACCCTTCCCCTGACAATTTTTTTAACTGCTGTCTTAAAGAGCTATTATTTTCTGACTTTGTTTGGTTTTGAATCACGCACATTGTGGCGTAAAAACTAGCATCCTACCTCTGTTAGTTGCAAAGATATTGTGATCCAAAGAAATATTCTAAGTTTCCATAGATGACAATTTTTCCCAGCGAAATCGCAACATACTCCTATATGATCTTAAAATGTCAATATCTTCATTAACCATGGACCAATTCTAGTGAATTATGGCTCAAAACATTAAATATTAGATTTTCATTTGATTTTCTAAATATATTTGATGAAGGGCTTCTCAGACTCCTGGTCACAGGGGGCAACTTTGCCCCCCTCTATCCATTTGGGTAGGTAACATGCCCCTTAACTATTGAATAGTTAAAATTGCTTCAAAATGATCAATGAAAGTGAGAAATGTGTTTTCTGCTCAAATAGTATCCCATTTGTTATATGGTAGGGTTTTACACGTGTATCTCAAACTGAAAGCTGTTTTAAGAATACCTAACATGTTTCAACAATTTCCATTAATTACGTTGGTAATATTTTGCACAATCTAATTTTCAGGCATGTTCGTTTAAGTCTTCTAATTTCTTAAAAATTTAAGACTGAGAATAAATTATGGCATCAACAAAAATTTTAGACCTTTCTCTACAACATGTGATAATATGAGGCAATTAATGCAAGTATTAAAGAAAATATAGCCTGTTGCAGGGGTTCACTTTTTTTTGGACCACCCTGTATATGTCATCGTAATCTTGATGTTATTTCAATATGCTTCATTATGCTTAATAAATACATTATTTCGTTATTAATTTTCAATAATTTTTCAATGAAGTTCATTCGAATTCACTATTTATTACACTAGCTTTGAATCTATACATTCACTTTTGGTTAAAGTAACCATCTATAAGGATTAAAGATGTACATTTTCATGCTGTTCTTTTAAATTTTAATCGAATGTTACGAATGTACATTTGTGCTATTTTTCTAGGTTTGTATAAATTAAATTAAATGTTATGGTATTTTTTCCAGTATATTGAATTGAGGTACAACAAAGTGGTGCGTATACTAGGTGCGACTATCTTCACACTAGGAGGGGTAACTATTGAATTTCAATTTAATTAAAAAAAATGGGTTTCTATTGTTCAAGTGCCGTTCTGTGCATAGTGTGATGTAATGTATGTTGTAACATGATGCTACTAAATGCCATCTTGATTCACGTGGTTTCAGTTGATTCAACTTCATTTGAACCACCTTGGAATTCGAAGATGACGTAATGCAGCATAACACAACTTTCAATAACACACCATAACAATAACACACAACATCACAACACAGCAACATGCTTGAAAATGCAAAACTCTTCAATTCTAAAAATAGTTTATACTTCAAAGCCTCCCAATCAAATGTAACAATAAAAATGTAGTTGGTGTGTAAAATAAAAACACTATAGATTTATACATGTTTTTTGCATAACATAGTTTTTTGTTGAGAAACAATACAAACAGATTCATACATACATCGAAAATGATATTAAATTAGATACATATAAGACACTACATAATATATAATAAATTACGTAACATTACGCAATATGTGTTTTGATGGTTGAGAAAGGGGCACAGGGCCACACTGCTGTGACCAAAGACCTTATGTAAATCGTGAACCAGATAAGTCTTAATTCGTTTCTTTCGTACCAACGTATGCTGTTATATACACCGTATAACGACATTTTCAAAACACAATATTGTCTAGTGTTGACTCGAGCTTACATCAACTATTATATTGTATATTATTCCATAGTTAGCATGATATTCATAGGATAACATGTGAAAATAAAAACGGTATTTTTGTAATCAGTGGTAACATATGATATTTTTGACAAATTTTCACTTAACCATAGCATACGGTTTTTTAGCCATGACATACGGCGCCGTATGCGATGGTTTATGGTTTTTTGCTACTTCAGACTCAAAACGAGGCTAAGTGACATCGCCGGATCGTTTGGAAAATTCGAATTAAATCACTTAATTTCCGACGATTCTGATGATGACTTTAACTATGGAATAAAAAGAACATCCTATGATCCTCTATATATCTCTCACATCCTGTGTTGTGCATTAATTAACTATACGCATAAATAATTCAAATAGGCAGTTTTATTTAACATTTTGCTTAACATTGACATATTATTCGGTTTGTTTCAGATCCTTAATCTCGGTGTCCAGCTTTATGCCCCATCAACATTTTTGAGTTATGGTAGGTCCATGTTTTCAAATTGGAGAAACTTCCGCAGGCATTTTGACGCCGCTGTAGATATATACAGTTAAAAGTAATGCAAATATGTAATTGAATTTGATATTTTCAAATATTCTATTTCAATAAAACAATATTATACATTCCCAAAATTTGAGTTATTGTTGTTATTGGCCGATACGTAATATAGAAATATTAAGTTTGTTTCTCCAATTTTAGTGATGGATATGCCTATATGGGTAGCAGTGTTGGTGATGGGCGGAATATGCACAATATATACAGCTATTGTAAGTGTTTAAACGATACCGCAATATACTGTGTATAGCCTAGTAGTCAATGTAGAGGATTGGTATCGATATGGAGAGCTGAATTCAACAATCTTTTTCTCTTAAACCAATCATTGAAAAAAAATTGTAAAAAACACGGTGTTTTATGTAATGTTGACTGATTGACAACAATTTAATGCTGTTATATACACCGTATAACACCATTTTCAAAAGACAATATTGTAGAAATTTAGAAATATTTTATATAACTGTTTTTGGTACTTTCTACCAATTCTATAGAATGAAATAAAATGTCTTTCCGAACCTTGTTGGAACAAAATAGCATATACAACATGTTTTTAGACCTCTCAATATTATAGTTATACAAAGGAATTTTTGGTTGATTTTAAAAAAGTATTCAAAAAATTAAAACAAAATCCCCCAAAATAGATAAAAAATCAAGATAAACCTTTTATTTCACTAAGATACTTTTTTGAAATCAACCAAAATTTCCTTTGTATAATTACATTATGCGAGACCTAATATGTCGTTTTGTTCCAATGAGGTTCGGAAAGATGTTTCATTTCGATTCACTCTGGAAACATGATACCAAGAACAAAACAATCATGATGTGTTTTCTAAAACAATATAGATGAAAGTATATAAATATATTTCAAATTATATTGTTACCATTCAAAAGATGACCATTAAATTGACGATGTGTTAAATTTTTAGATTTTTTATGACTGGTTTAAGAGAAACGTGCGTTCAAAAAGTTCTTCATATCGATACCACTCCTTTGAAAGTTACCTCAGTAAATTGCTTTACCTAAAACCCAAGTTTACTTCGAAATATGACCAATTGTCTCTTAAATCCGAACCCTGCCTCATTCGAGAGATCCCAAAGAATTCTTTCTTCTGTATAGCTTAGCATATGGGTTGCATATGTAGGAGGACGTTCTCTATATATTTATATTTTAAATCAAGACAGAATATTTAATGATAAAACTCTGACAAGGTTAGTACACATTTTACCACATGACATGCTCAGGGAAGTATGAGCTTCATAGCAAATAAGTAAAGTCAATTTCTTTCTCGTTGCTCCTTCATGTGGATTATGGCAATTATGATTGAGAAATAAGGATCTAAACAAGCCATAGTTTTCTTCTGATGACCATTTTGAAAATAGTCATTTATATTCTTTGTTATTCCCATTTATGAAAGATGACAATCCTTGCTTTTTCTGGTATATGGATTGATATTATTTTAATTTCTATTATAAATTAGGGTGGTATTCGAGCAGTAGTATGGACTGACGTTTTGCAAACGTTGATAATCATAGCAGGATCACTAGCAATTGTTATCCGGGGAATGATGGAAGTTGGTGGTTTCGAGAAAGTCATGCAGATCAACAATGAGGGAGGGCGTATTCAACCATGGAAGTAATGCCTTCGAAATAAATACAGCGTCAAACAATGCAGAACAATAGTCTATTTACTATTTATTCTGATAAATAAAAGGCGATAACAGAAAATTGCGTATATAAAATCGGAAACCAGCGACTGTACTGGTTTTAAATTGTTATACCTTCATTTGATCATTTTGTTCAATTGATGTTTCAGTTGGGATCCAAATCCATTTGTTCGTCACACTGTCTGGTCGCTTGGGCTTGGGAGTGTGTTCTCGTTTGGATCAAACTATTTCCGTGGCCAAGAAACGATTCAACGTTATGGAAGCATCAGTTCAAAAAGAAATGCACAAATGTATGTTCATTGATTCTAAAAGTAAATGATCATATTGCTTCTGTCAAAAGCAAAGCAAAGCATTTCTTGATTCGCAGTTGATTCGTTCGTGATTTTTTTCAATTAACGAGTTAGACTGTAAAATTAGAGCGATGTTTAATATATAATTATTTGGTAGCAAATGACTAATGTCTCTGTATCAAGAAAGTTAAAAACGCAAAATCAATTAAAGTTAAACTTTGATCGGTCATCGTGTCATTCTTTAATACACATATACATGGTAGAACCAGGATTAACTTATTGAAAATCTAAAACATTATTTTGTTTACAATTGTTGCCTGCCAACGTATGACATGTACCAGTGCACGAACCTCTTCCTGTTTAACATCACTGTATAAAGTTCTATCCTTGTTATATCCTTTTAATATTTTCAAAACATTTAACTATATCACTATTATTTGACGTATGCTTTACTAATTTTAGATCAGTATATATCTCTTGTGATATTGGTTGTAAGTTTGTCACTGTATACGTTTGTTGGGTTTGTAATGTACGCTGTTTACCACAAGTGTGACCCTGTAAAGAGCGGCAGGGTGCGGAACCATAATCAGGTATGAATATTTAATCCTAGACCAATCGGTCCGGTTTGCAACCAACATTTAAAGATTTTATAACTGACTCATCTTATTGATCTACGATAAATGAATCAATCATATGCATGAAGTCACAATGAAAAATATAAATCATGTATCGAAATTTTGAGCTGATTCATTTGATTGAAAATTTTAACTATATAAAAGGTTGAACATTAATTATTTCCTTACGTAAATAAGATGTAAAATATTGCAGAATCGATATTCTAAGTTTTAATTTTGATGTCAATTACAGTTCAAATCTGTATTGTGCCAACGGCAAGACTATACATAGCCTCTCGGTTACCACATAATGTCTTGTAATTATGTATATATATTGTTAATCAAAATGACGTCACTCAAATTTTTAGCTGATGCCTTTATTTGTGACGGACATGTTATCATCAGCACCAGGTGCTGTTGGATTGCTGGTCGCGTGTGTCGCAAGTGCAGCTCTCAGGTCAGTCAAGGTCTTTTCAATATATGGTAGGTTTTATTTTTTCTCGTGTTATATCATCAATAGGGTCCATTTACAGAGGTTGCGGCAAAGTGGACGGATGTTTTAAATCCATGTGTACGTTCTAGTAATACAATACACATCTTTGTATATCGCGTATCTTCTTTTAATAGAGGACAATGAATATATAGTCATACATAACGTTTTGAAGTATTCCCTAACACTCAAAGGTCATGGCTTTTCTTCATCATATTACACGTATGCAAGGGTTTATCTCATTAGAATGAAATTGACAGGCATATCAAAGATTTCGAAAAAAATTGTTGTCAGAAAAGAGGAGATTGGGGGAGGGGGTGGTTTATAACTATAACTATATAATCACAGTGTATATTTTGTAATCAAATTACATTTTTTGCAAGTCAACATTCTATGTTACCATATTATTTTACAGCACAATGTCATCTATACAAAACGCAATGGCAGCCGTCTGGCTCGAGGATTTCATCAGACCAATTTATAGAAAAATATACAATATGGAAATATCTGATTTCAAAGGAAAACTTGTGGCTCAAATTATAGGTTAGTTCCTGAATTCAAAATTAGAACCTGAATTACCGTGTTTATGTAATTGAGCACCTATTTAATATAATTTCAGTAATTTCAGACTTACCCCTCGTTACCCCCCTATCACACCAAACTAGTTCTTACCCGTTCTTGCCAGTCCTACGAAAACGGCTCAATCTGGCTGTGGTCGGAAAATATGTCTGAAATAATTAGCTTCTTCGTTCTTAAACAGTCTTCAAAACGTCCATCTCGTTCGCAGTTCGTTCAGGTCGCACCACGTCGGATTGCAACGTCGTAGAACGCGTCCCTTAGTCTAGAAGGTCAACATGACCTGATTACAGAACGGTATGGTCGTCATCGAATTTTGAATCAATTCAAAATTCTAAAATCACATTCCCGTCTGAGAACGTTCATAAAGTTCGTAAATAGACCTTAGAAAGTTGCAGCTACGTTCATTCCGTTCGCACACAGTTTAAAACCAGTTTTGAAGAACGCAGTGGCAACTTGTTTGGTGTGATAGCTATATTTTTGCTAACTCGTTCAGAAGCAGTGTTAAATACGTTCCTTATCAGTTTAAACCCGTTTGCAATTAGTTCTACCTCGTTCTCAACACGTCCGCAGACAGTTCAACACGTTGTTAAAACGTCCCTAGTAGGATTGAAGTACGACGGTTCCGTTCGTAGTACGTCCAGCTCGTCGTTAGTACGTTGTCACTCGTTCTAATTGTAGAACGTGACGACCACGAGAACATTTTGAGCATTGTCTAAGTTCTAGAGGACCTACCCGTTCGAGTACGTTCGATGAAGTTTGTAAATAGATCCCAAACGGTTCTTAGTAGGTCCAGTCCGTTCGTATACAGTTGAAGCCCGTTTTCGAGAACGCAGTGAGAACTAGTTTGGTGTGATAGTAGGGTTACTTGTATTTCAAAAATAATGATGATGAAAATATCCAGTAAAAATGTATAACGTTTATGTATTTCAGCAATTGTTTTCGGGATATTAGTTATAGGCGTCGCATTATCAGCTGAATATCTTGGATCGACCTTGGTCACTTTACAAGTGCGAATCGGTGGAATTGCGGGTGGTCCAATAACTGGACTATTTCTCCTCTCAGTATTCTTTCCATGGACAACAACACCGGTATTTACACCAACTTCTCTTCTTTTGAGCCCACTAAATTAAACGTCGGGTCCTCCTCTGCGAATATGACAAATGCTGCTCCGTCAATGGATTATTTATGCTATTATTTGTGAATCCTATTCAATCTTTGTTGTCTTAACAAGGGTCGATTTTGGAATTATTTTCAGGGGGCTCTTATTGGCACACTCGTCAGCATGGGTATTACAACATGGATAGGGATAGGTGCATTCTTACATCCGGGGCCCAGTACTGCACTTCCGTCTTCTGTAGCAGGGTGCCCATTGGTTAATACAACAACTGTTGTCATGGTATCTGATCTAACAACAGAGTTTTCCGGTTTTGTATCAACTACTCAACAATCAGGGTAAGTATGACTCAAGAAGCACAGTCTGATTTTTACACTTTCAAATATAATATATACATATATAGATAAGGTATATACATCTTTCAATTCATATTCATTTTCAGTATAGCATCTCCAACTATTGTTCTGTATATTTGTACATGTATGTCATCACGTACACTTAACGAGGTTCTATGCCATAGGATAGCACAATCAAGACTCCTATGGACTTTTTGTATATTGAGTTTAATCACATATATACCCACCTACTTACCAAAGAATAAGTCCCAAATCCCCTTCTTTTAGTGTTAATTTTGCGATTGTGCTGGCCGATATTATCATTTTCGAAGTTTGATAATCCGGGAACGTCCTCCTGTTATCTGATGAATTTGTTTATCATGAACCTGATTGGCTCTCTGGTTCAAAGCGCTTGTGTGACTCAGTTGGGATTCCCCTCGATTGTGTTTAATTCTGGAGTTTGGTTGTTCTGTTGATTATTTCCGATATTCAGGCAATAATATACCCAAAAGTTATTCTCAAGATAAATCCATGGTATGTGAGATATTATATGAGCAATAACAATAGGACATCATTGATTGTCTTAGGGAGAAACCTATGGTATAATGCATCTTTAATTTGTAAATGTTTCATTTTGTTGCTCTGTTTTTAACACCTTTTGATATTTCCTCGTTGGCACTTGCGCACGCACATTTTAGAGTATTCTCTTATCTATGCTTCAGACATAGCGGTAGCAGCAGTATAATAACTCTTTATAGACTTTCGTACATGTGGCAAGGTGGGTTCGGTGCATTAATGACGATTATATTTGGAATGGTCGCCTCTTCTATACAACTCTGTGTTACAGGTGAATGAATTCCTTTAATTGTCGACACATCAGACTTAAAATGAATTCCCGAATGCCATAGACATCTTAAATGTCTTGGTGAAATTGTGAAAATTACACATGATGACAGACGCAAACTATATATATAATCATCCGAGACCTTTTCCAATTACGACTAGTTATCCAGGAAAACACAGATCTTATCAAAATACTTTTAATAATCGGCATATCAATCAATATTAATAAATATATATTTATAAAAATCCGGATTGGACCCTAGTGAAATAAGAACATTACACACAAAATTGATACCATGGATATAATTTGAAGGATTTCCTCGGCTGGACGACGTCAATCAAGACTTGGTGTTTAACTGCTGTGATAAAGTTTGTTGTTGTTGTTCTGAATCCACATAACAATGCTGTAGAGCAACAGGAAAAAGCCACTTAGTTGAGGTACATAAAAACATAGATACGTCTTCCTTTATTTTGTGTCCCAAATTTTTTTAATGACTTGTCAATGGCTCATATACATTATTCCAAAAGACGTAGAGTGTGACATATTACTTAAGTAACCTTTTACTTAATTTCTGACATGAAAGTTAAACGTATTAATCATGATAATTAATGAACCGTGTGGATTTATTCCCTGTCAATCAGATTGATCATTGAGTTCAGTTCAGTATCCTGGGATGCTAAACAAATCTTTATTTTTTGCTGTATTTACAGAAACTTGATTACATAACTGATAGCGATTGTGTACCTGGGAGTGAGTACTATTACAATAGCAAGGAATATTTATCAAGACATTCACCCGGAGAACTAGATGTTGATGAAGTAACCAAGATATGAATGCATGTGTACAAAATTTATAACTAAATGATAAAGCGAAAAAGCCATATTGCATTTATGTTTAAGTGAAAGAGCTATATATGGATCAATAGATCGGCAAAAGTAGATGAGGATTATGTTTTATTTTATCTCTGTTAGACCCTAACTGCCTGGCAGCGCGCTGGTATATAAAAGTACAAATAAAATGCTTGAAACTTTTATAGATTTATTAATTTATTAGCTTTATCTTTATCTCTGAGAGAGATTTTCATTGTAGTCGTTTCAAAATATTTGGAACCTAAATTCTACTTGACTTAAGTGAAATCGAAGGCTTAGCAATATCGAAACAAGGCACGGGGTGAACAATATCGTACCTAAAACATAGCAGTGTGGATTTGATGACCCAGAAAGCAAGACGGCTGCCGAAAAGTTAATCAGTTCAAGAACTTCTTACCATATATAACATATGTAAACAATTTTAAGTGGTTTTCCTGGAATCGCGATGACAAGATTTATTTAAGAACTTCCAAAATGGCCACCAGAATGCAGGATGGCTGCCGAAAAGTTAATCAGCTCTAAAGTGCGTATCAAACACACGCAACAGATTGTTATCTCAGAAAAGCACAAAGCCAGTGATAACAGCATTGATTTCATTCAATGTATCATAAAGTCGTGTGTCTCCTCTTTCCAATGGTATATAATTCGTTGATATTGGGTCATGGTTGGGCGAGTAATCATTCCTTTTGCAAAGCGGGCCAAAATTAGCTCGGGACCAATTTATTAACATCGCAAAAGTCAGTGTATGGGGCCCAATGCAATATTGGAAGAAAACATAAAACCAATGATGACTGCACAATTTTCATTCAATATACCATAAAGCTAAATTACTCCTCTTTGCAATGGGATGCCATTCATTCACAAATGTAATAATTAAAGCAGAATACTCATTTTGAAAAATCAGATGAATTATTTTTTTCTCATGGGGAGATCCCAATGGAGGGTGTATAAGGTCCTTTAACATTTCTATACAAGCTTTGACGCAGGAGTAATACAGGAAAGCAGACACTGGTGTGTTATTTATATTTTGAATTCCGTCGTGTTGCTGAGCATATCGTTCATACGTCCATGTCCAATAACTACATGTAAAATATATATGTCAAGTACACGACGTATAAATTTCATGATTACTTGACATACATATTAAATGATTTATATACCTTGAACATAAGAAATCGAGGTAAATGTACAAAGTACATACATTTGAAGCAAGTTAAAAAAGACCTATTTTACCTTTTTGACCGAAGGTCAAATCTAAAATATAAAGTCAGATTTGATCTTCTGAAAACTATTTTGAAAAAAAACTGAAGTCAGTCTAAACAGTATTTGTTAAATATTGGAAGTTTTGAGAATTCATTACAGACCCCAACCGCCACCCGCCTCCCGCCGATCGCCAACCGCCATCACAAACAACGGAGACCACCCCAATATGTCACCACTTGACATAATAGTTCAGTTAATCAATAGCAACAGTTCATTAAAGGTAGCGTAAAGGACAAGAAAACACACAGGGCTTCATGACCGACACAAGGCCATAACACAGCGGATGCATTGGAACTCTATAGAGATTGTACACTTCGACCTGTATACAGAGACACTATTTCTGATCACAAATCTATAAAAGTAAAGCCAAAAAGACAATGTCATACTGACTCATTTAGAGTTGATATTTGATACAATCAAGATCATTCAAATTTAAGTTTTAAGCTATATAGACGTAAGTGATTCAATCAACAAATCAACACGAGTCGACATGATGAATACCTCGTAATGTAGAAAAATATGAATTCCAAATTATTCTCTCAATAACAGGACGGGACACGTGACAAAATGTCGACTGTTGCGGACTATGTTGTTTTCGGAGTAATACTTGCTCTTTCGATGGCAATAGGAATGTTCTCAGCTTGGAAAGCAAGAAGAAATAAAAGAGATGGCCAAACTGAAGAGTTTCTCCTCGGAGGCAGAAACTTACATTTTATTCCAGTTGCATTCTCGATCATTGCCACTAGTCTCTCTGCTGTAGCTGTGCTGGGAATACCAACAGAAGTGTACGTTAATGGCTCTATGTACTGGCTTAGGAACCTATGTGCTCCTATCGTAGGGCCCTTAGCCGCCCATGTGTTTGTTCCATTGTATCACAAACTACGGTTGACAAGTGTTTATGAGGTAAGATAAAATATTTATTCTATATCTAGGATTCTAATATGATAATACAGGGTGGTAAAAAACGGAAACCCTGCATTTTCCTCATATCGTTGTCATTTTAAGAAATTACTCCCTGATATTTCACACATCTGTAAATCATTCAATTTTCCTACCACCCTACCATATTTCATGAATATAAGACTGATAGTCACAATTTTACAGCACTTTGAACATCATGCTTCAGGTTTGGCCATCATCGCGCTGTAGGCAAACCTGCACAGCTGTCAATGATCCAAATGCATTCCTCAGCAGGTATGGCCTGAATGTAATACAGATGATCTCATTTTTGAGGTCTGCAATTGTCCTGGGGTCATTATTATACACTCTATCTCTGCCATATCCCCATAGGTAGGGACATTTTGGACAACATGTGCAGGTTGGTCTTCAGCGCAATAGTGGCCACCTGGAATGTTCTTTAAAGTGCTGTAACATGGTGACTATCAATCAGATGGTCATGGAATATGGTAGGCTGGTAGGAAATTGAGTGATGTAAAAATGTGCAAAGTTATTTCTTAAAATAATAAAGATATTAGGAAAATGTTGTAAGGGTTTCCAGTTTTTTGACCACCCTGTATATACGTCAATACGTCACAATAACTAGAACAATTGATTTATTGGTCATTAAAAAGTTGCTACGTGATTTCGGTCATGTATCGAAAATTTCACCGTGGACTTTTTGAGGAAAGGACACTTTAGTGAAGCCATATTGATAGCCGTTTATAATTGCACCCAATGGGGAGTTACCAACAAACAGATTAAGAGAACACCAATTATGGAAAACTGCTCAAAAGGACCATACGATACCGAGAGAATCATTAACAATGGCGAAGGTGATATCAATGCCACTCGAAAATAGGGAATATTTGTGTGAAAAATGTGGAATACTTTACAATGACACTACGATATTTCACATATTCTTCAAGAGTGCGCCAACCACAACTCGCAAAGAGAGCAAGTAATCAGAGCCCTCAACTTAAACCAAGATGAAGAATTCAGTCGTTTGCCGAACGTCAGTGCTATGATCTGCAGACCACCAGACTCAAACACAGAGATCTCAACAACTGTAGTTACAGAGTATTTACACTATGTTGATCGATTGATAAGGGAAAATAATGTATCATTGGTACCTCCATTTCCGAACACTGCACAAAATTAACCATATGATTGTATTGTTTTCTTATTTAACCTTGTTCCTTTAAAATTGTGATGTTATTATTAATGACGCTAGCAGAATACTAGTGTCAATGCGCCTGTAATATAAGTTCATATGAAATCCACACATATGTGGGAAATAAAGATACATACATATATATTCAAACGCAAATATCTTTGGAACTAGGTAAAAGAAAAATTTTAATCCTTTTCTTTTTGAAGATAATCATGTTATTGTAACATCATGGGAATGTGGGATTCATTACACTAAAACTGTTCTGCAGGGGATCTTTTGAAGATTGATAAATGTGAATGTCAATGTGAATGTCCAAAAATTCCAAGGCCTGTTATTATCAAATGGGGCCACTTTTCAACACCACTTCGTTTGATATCAAAATTATATGTATTAGTGTTACTCATGTAAAAAAAATGGTGCTATATATATAGCATGTGCAATTCTAGGGTTTTAATTGTTGCCGTAAATGACTCCACTACTAGACATCTTGTAAGTTATTTGATAAGAGAGATGACTTCAATTTTTTATATTGTTAATTTTCCACATTTGGAGAGCAATATTCCATTGATCTCAGCTTTTTAAATATTGTAGGTCATGCTCAAAATATTAAGATCTAAAATAAAGACGTAATGTTTAAGAAGAGGAGGGAAAGCCCCACAGCTTAGCGATGACACATAATATGTCTCTTGCGTACCACCTTCGTTTGCGCAAAGTCGCACCAGTTAATTTTCGAACATAGCGCGTCGTCGTGATGTTTTAATCGAGGTTAACATATTCCTTGCATATTTCTTTATCTTGATGTGAAAAACCAAGCTATGATATTGGTTAATAAGCCAGGAATCAACATAATATTATTCTAAGCGTTATTAGAAAATCTTGAATCCGCCATTTTTGTTTATCGATATGGACCAATCAGAGGACTGTATGTCATCTCAATGCAGGTTTACATTATAAGCGTATGTCATCTTTGAACTCTGGTGTTAATCCTCCTCTGTAAAAGTGATACAACTCTTAGGTCAAGGTTATACTAGTAAAAACTTAAAAACACTTTGTTTCTTGCTGTGTTCTGCATCCTGTAATAATTTTTGGTTCTTTCCAATCGGCACTTGTGCAGACATATACGTAATACGACAACCTGCAATTTGCAAGATAGATTGGCCAGCGCAAATTAAACGATGCGATTATAAAAAAATGAATTACCATACCCAAAAGGATGGAACCGTTTCTTATATTTTGGCATTCTCACACAAGATATGTACCATTTTCTGGTGTAGTACAGTTTATAAAATATGTCTAACGTCGATTTCTGTTCGCCATTTCGAATGATTTACTTAAACGGATGTAAATGTATTATGATACGTAGAACTTATTTACAAGATGATATCTAATCATCAAATTCTTCAGTATATTTGGACATTGCTACCTAACAGTCATACATTGCAAGGTACGATATATCACATTCAAGTCAGTCAGAATAAAGTAATATTTAATATATGACATTCTTTATTTTACAACAAAATGAATGGCTATTTTTGAAAGATATCCGTGTATTTCGACTTTCATAAGATGGAAATTTTCAGTCAATATGGCACTACGAAAATGGGCCATCTGCGCATGTTAAATTTTTTTCTTCAAAACCCAACTTGTTCAAGTTGATACGAATGTCTTTCGAAGTAGAGAATTACCTCATTCAAAAGATCCCAAAATACCTTATTTATACTGAAAGTCTTAAGTCTCAGTATATAGCATACACACCGTCAGTCCGCTTTTGTGTTCTTTAATCTCATTCATAACAGAATCGAATCAAATGTTCAGGGACTGGGAAATTAAGTGTTACGCACACTTTTAATAATAAATCACGAAATATTTTCGCAAGCTATTACATTACGTATATATTTTGTTTATGATATGAAATAAATTGTATTCTTAAATCTATTTTGATCCGAACTAAACTTAAACAATAAACAAGTGACACATTTTTAGAGACTTACAACGTGAAGATTTGACTTGGGCTGTGATTGTAGGGTTTTGCAGTTTTCAGTTTCCCTTCCTTGATGAAGCTTATACTAAATTAGTTTTCTGTTGCTATTTCTTGCCTGGTCTTCCTGATTAAATGTGCATGATTTTCAATAATACTTATCATACTCTTCTACCCTTATCATACATCTTCCAATACAAGCCTTTTTACATCACAAAACAATGGTGTCAGTCTGTCGGTAATTCACAACAGCAATGGTTTTCGGTACAACGCGCACGGATTTCGGTACAACGCGTATCGGTATATTAGTGTTCGTTACTATGCGCGTCGGTAGAATGGGTTTCGGTATAATGCGCATCGGTATAATGGGTTTCGGTATAATGCGCGCCGGTATAATGGGTTTCGGTATAATGCGCGTCGGTATAATGAGGTGATCCCAGTATTACTACCTCTCGAACGAAATTCCCAAATTCAGATCATTTTGCCATGTTTGCACAGCCGCACTGAGCATGTTGATACAAGTTAATATATCCTTAGCAGGGGAGGGGTTGTCGAAAAATATGTTATCCAATCCACTCGATTATCGTATGGATATGTATATCTGCTGACGTTTTAACACAACACATAGAATTACGATGCAGAATGATAACATAAAGCGACCATTAGATTCCACTTGTTATTTCACAGAAGGTTAAAATGCACACAGCCTAGATTTAATGTAAGGGTTGTCAGACATCGGATTGACTGCCATATTTGAAATAAAAATATCAAAACATATCTACTGTTTTTAATGGTATTTTTCTAATTAAATGTTAAGAATGTACATTTTTTGCCATTTGTCTTTGTTTGTATTACATTATATCAATTAGATGTTATGATATTCTTTCCAGTATATTGAACTGAGGTACAACAAAGTGGTGCGTATACTAGGTGCAACTATCTTCACACTAGGAGGGGTAACTATGAACAAGCAATTCAATAGATTACATCCATTCTCAATAACTAGGGACAATTGATGTCTCAAGGCTCAGTCTTAGTATTAACATTACTGACATCAATTGTTGATGTGTTTACAAGTAGTATATATATGACCCTCTACCTAACACGTATGTAATATATGATTTCTAAGTTACACATATTTTATTATATGTACTAGAATAGGCCTATTCATAATTTACGTGACTGTCGCCATATCAAAAATCAGAATTATATGGTGTCATTAAAGAATTTTTGCATGTGCGATTGATTCTTTGTTTTCTAAAATTAATGTCGTGTCATTTGCATGTTGAATCACATTTGTTTCTTTTTTTGCCATCAACACTAATACCTTTGATTAATTTATCATTTTCTATTTTATTTTTCATGATTTCAACACATAAAATAAATAATAATGCAGAGATTGGGCATCCCTGGCGTATACCTCGTTCTGTCTTTACCTCATTTGACAAAAAAACATTATTTTTTATTTTGAGAATTGGATTTGTTTATAAAATTGTCACCCACTTAATAAACCTTTTGCCAAAATTCATTTTCTGAAGGACATTGAACATAAAATTCCAATTAAGACTATCAAAGGCTTTTTTAAAATCTAGGCTAATTATCAATCCATTTCTATTCTCATTGTTTATAAGTTCTAAATAATCTATTAATAATCTGGCATTTGTTCCAATAAAGCGATTTTCAAGGTATGCAGATTGATTTTTTCCAACTAGTTTTTCACTAGGCTTTTTATTCTATTTGTTAATGTAAAAGCTATATACACAATTATGACATAATTTATCGTACGCAGGGCATACAGCAGTCGG